TGGAACAGAAGTTGCCTTCGGAGGTTGTAAATGCTCCAACACTGTAAGTTTTTAAGAGGTGATTGGGTAACCATTTGTCTGATGTGGTGTAGGGTTTCCTGCCTAAGCAGAGGGTTGGACTAGAAGACCTCCAAGGTCCCTCCCAACTCTGTTATTCTCTTCTGTTTTTTCCAAATCTCGCTGGGAAATACAGTTGGGAAAGGTCCTGAAAGCTGCAGCGTCAAAGCCCCTGGAACGTTTTCCTCCTGAAATGATCCTCAGAGCTATGTTTACAGTAGCACGCTGGGGCCGGGCTTCCCTCCCCTCGCCAGCACAGAGGCCCTTTCTCCGAAGGAGAGACTGGGACTGAATGAGTCTGTGTGTCTGCATTTCCTGGCGTTGACTGCTGGTTGGAGATTTTGTATAAACAATGGCAGCGAGAGCTTTTCCCCTTGGCCTCTGTCGTGCAGTTGTGCTCTTTGCTGGGGCTCCAGAAGAGGAGACGGATTGTGCCGCACAATCCGAGGCAGATTGCTTAGAAATGGAGCATCCCGGCTACTAGTCCCACTGCCCAACCTCAGCCCAGGTTTTGGATGAACCTGGTCAGATCAAGCAAAGCCAGTTTCAGACCCTGCTTTCCGACAGCTGCTAGCCAGATGCTCCATCCAGGAAATGAAGAGACAGGAGCACCATCAACTTCCCTTGTGGCTGCATCTCAAGGCTGTGCAAAACAACTAAAACAAAGCCAGCTGCATTCCTACAACATGCTCAGCTGAAATGAGGCCTGCCTCTTGCAGTCTGCAAACCATGGGGGATGGGTTTTAATATTGTGGGAAGCCTGCTGGTCGGGACTGATCCAATAAACCATGGTTGAACCGTAATTTGAAGCCACTCAAACCTTAGTGGAACCATCTAGCTCAGGTGTCATCAACCTGCGGCTCCAGAGTCACATGTGGCTCTTTGGGCCCTCTGCTGTGGCTCCCTGTCAGGTGATCCCACCACTGGCTGCCCCCCACCCTTGCTCTCCCCTCCTAGTCATTCCTCGCCTGGCCTGAGAAGGTAAGGGCGACGGCGGGTGATGGATAAGAGGCCGGGGCAGAGACAGAGAGAGGGAGAGAGAGGGAGAGAGAGAGAGAGACACAGAGAGATACAGAGGGAGAGGTGGGGAGAGAGGGAGAGAGAGATGTCAAAAGGGTTTTGTGGTTCCCGGTGTTTTTTAACAACCAGTTCTCTGCCCTAATGCCCGGCTGGGTAGGTGTGGCTAGGGAGTCATGTGACTGGTGAAAGTGAGTGATGTCGAGTTGGCCACACCCACCCAGGTTTTGTGGCTCCCGGTGTTTTCTTTTCTGTGGGAAACGGGTCCAAATGGCTCTTTGAGTGTTTGAGGTTACAGACCCCTGATCTAGCGGTTGAGACTTGCTAGCTGTGTTCCCGAGGCCTGCTGAGCCATAGACCCTGGAAAGCGTACAGGGAAAAGCCAGAAAGATAATAAAGGGTCTGAGGGCTAAATCATATGACAAAGGGTTGAGGGGGACATAGATATGTCCAGGGGTGGTATTCACTTACTCTCCCTACCGGTTCCCAAATGTGAGTGTGCGTGCATATGCACGGCCTTCCGCGCGTGTGCTTTGCTCGCGTGTGCGCCTTCTGTGCATGCGCCCGGCCTCAAAAATGTGCCTAAATAGGACAGCAGGGAAGTGGGGAGGGGGGGTGGGGGGGTGGGCCCACCTGCAATTTCCACAACCGGTTCGCCTGAACTGGTCTGAACCGGCTGAATACCACCTCCGGATATGTTTAGCCGATAGAAGAGAAGGATCAGAAAAGAAGACATGATAATTGTCTTCCGGTAGAGTACTTGAGGGATTGTCTATGGCAGTGATGGTGAACCTTTTAGGTACTGAGTGCCGAAAAGGTTGCGCGGAAATGTCGTGTGTGCGCATGCATGCTCGTTGAGGTTGCGCTCTGGAAAAGCCAAACTTCCAGGTTCTAGCACGCATGTGCACCTGACGATCAGCTGGCCACTGCGCATGCAAAGGGCGGTTTTCAGCACTGCCACGGACACAAAAGGATTGCGCAGTTGCCACCTCCAGAGCCATTCGGGGCCTGGCCAGTCCCACGTCCTCCTGCATTTCTCCCTCTGCCTGCACCAACTCTGAGGCTGGCCCTCCCGGAGCGCCCCTCAATTGGCAGAGTTCTCTTATCTCACCAGAATGAAATGCTTTGGTGCCAAGCTCCTTTGTTTGGCTTGGCCCTGCCACATGTTCTCCTTACCCAGTTTTGCTGTGGAAGACCCCCATGGCTGCAGCACAGAGGGGGTGGGGGCACCAGACAGAGCTGCAGGCAGGGCAGGGCACCCTTCTTCTCCTGCTTTGGCTTGCTTGCTTGTTTGTTTGCTTGCTTGCTTCCTTCTCCCACCTTTCTTCTTTCCTTCCTGTCCTCCCTCCTTCCCTCTCTCCTTTCCTTCCTTCCCTCCTTCCTCCCTCTCCCTTCCTCCCTTCCGTCCCTCCCTTCTCCTTCCTTTCCTTCCTTCCTTCCTTCCTTCCTTCCTTCCTCCCTCCCTCCCTCCCTCCCCCTTCCTTCCTTCCTTCCATCCAGTGGTGGGATTCAGCCAGTTCGCACCACTTCGGGAGAACCGGTTGTTAACTTCCTGAGCAGTTTGGGGGAATTGTTTGTTGAAGAAATAATTTGGGCAGAGAACCGGTTGTTAAATTATTTGAATCCCACCACTGCTTCAGTCCCTCACTTCTCCCTCCTTTCCTTCCTTCCTTCCTTTCTTCCTTCCCTCTCCCTCCCTCCCTCCCTTCCTTCCATCCCTCACTTCTCCCTCCTTTCCTTCCTTCCTTCCCTCCTCTCTCCTTCCCCCTTCCTCCCCCACTCCTTTCCATCCCTTCCTTCTTCCTCCCTGGAGGAACTGGAAGAGGCAGCCTGGCAAAGACGAGAGTTGGGGGCTTTTCCAAGACTTCTCCTGTCTTGTTCAAGAGTGCAGGACACAAATAACGCTTTTCCTCTGGACCAGCTCCAGCAGTGGCCTCAATTGTGGTTATAAGTCGAGGACTACCTAAATCAGGAGTCTCCAACCTTAGCAACTTTAAGCCTGGAGGACTTCAACTCCCAGAATTCCCCAGCCAGCTTTGCTTTGGGGAATCTGGGAGTTGAAGTCCTCCAGCCTTAAAGTTGCCAAGGTTGGAGACCCCTAATCTAAATTATCAAGCTTCCTGAACATTTGCTGAGATGTTGCAAGGCTGGTTTTGGCAGCTCACTATTTTAAATTATATATCTCTCCCCCCCTCCCACGCACACACACCCCTGATTTCCAACTGGCCCCTGGTAGACTGCCGCAGGATTCACATATGTCATCTGTTGACACCTTCCTGATGATGATTAATGACCAATAAGCAGGAGAGGAAATCAGGGATAACCCTGGGCTGCAACTCCTGGTTGTCCAGCTTTCGGCTATGATGAAGCCCCGAAGGTGGTTATGCCGGTTCCTGCAGCCTTTACCTCCTCCTGCCTTCCCACTCGGGGACTCAGAGCTGCAAAGCCCCCACTGAGGCTGCCCCCTCTAAGAATCACACGAGGCCAGGGATTGCAGCAGAATAAACACTGGGGCAGGGAAGGCGAGAGGCCCACAGGAAAGGCACCTTCAGCCTCTCTCGGCATGGTTTATTTGGCGGTGACTCACCCAGAACCAGAGGTCTGAAGGCATCGGAAACGCTGCTTCCCCTCCGAGATTTTGCTGCGCACAGAGGCCCTTCTGTTGGGCTCGCCTGGCACATCGCTGCCAGAGCGGCTCAGTCAAAAGGGACCCAGTGGCTCTGTGGCTAAGACGCTGAGCTTGTCGATAGAAAGGTCGGCAGTTCAGCAGTTCGAATCCCTAGTGTCGCGTAATGGGGGTGAGCTCCCGTTCCTTGTCCCAGCTTCTGCCAACCTACCAGTTCAAAAGCACGTAAAAAATGCGAGTAGAAAAATAGGGACCACCTTTGGTGGGAAGGTGACAGCGCACCTTTGGCATTGAGTCGGGCTGGCCACATGACCATGGAGACGTCTTCAGACAGTGCTGGCTCATCGGCTTTGAAACAGCGATGAGCATCGCCCCCTAGAGTCGGGAACAACTAGCACAGATGTGCGAGAGGAACTTTTACTTTTACCGTTATCTTTTCCCGGGCTTCTGTGGTTGCTTTCAATATTCCCAACAGAAGTTACATAGATGCCCAAAGACATTTGCAAAGGATACTTTGCCCCTGAAAGTCCGATCTTTGCACAATGTTGCATATGGAATGTAGTCTTTTGTCCAGTCTTTTCTTTAAAAACCTCTAGTGTTTTTAAAGTCTCCAGAAGTTGTGTACCCACAACTTCTGGAGGTAAACTGTTCCACTGGTGAATTGTTCTCAGCGTCAGGAAATTTCTCCTCAGTTCTAGGTGGGATCTCTCCTTGCCAACTAAGACAACTGCCTGTCTATGGAGATTCTCCGTCCTCCAGGTCATGGTTGTCCCAAAGGTGCTTTTTTTTCAAGAGGCAACTGGACTTTCTGGTTTTTCTTTGAAGACGTTTCGCTTCTCATCCAAGAAGCTTCTTCAGCTCTGGCTGGATGCTGGGGAATGGGAGGGTTTATACTCCTTGCAGACAGCTGGTCATTTGCATCCTTTTAAGAGGGTCGTGGCCACTTGGAGGCTTATCTGTGTCCTCAGGGTCACCTGAGTGGTGCAAATGGCCTTCTTGGAACTGCTGAAGGGATTGTGTTGTAGATTGGAGATAGACGATGTCGTATCTGTCCCCCTCTGTTAAGAGAAGGCTGTTCAACTTTGACGTAGATGGCCTCTTTGACCCCTCTTTCAAACCAGAAGTCCTCTCTGTCCAATGTCTCTGTCCAACATCTTCAAAGAAAAACCAGAAAGTCCAGTTGCCTCTTGAAAAAGTACCTTTGGGATAAGACAACTATCGTGTCACCCCAGCTCTATTCTGATTGACTGATTGATTGATTGATTGGACCTTCCTTCTCCACCCTCTTTGTGTCTTGCAGTGGCTCATCATGACTTGGAGAACACCCTGAACTGCAGCTTCATTGAACCTCCTTCTGTGGTCGATCAGCCGTCACCCTCCTGGTCGTCCAGGGGCTCCTTCTCTTCCTTCGATACCACAGACGAAGGACCCGTCTACTGCGTGCCCCACGAAGGTCAGTGGAACTCCTGGCACAAGCCAGACTCCCATCACGCAAGGCGTCCCTTGAGACAGATCTGGCCACTGAAAGTGGTAATCAGTGGCTACCAAGAGCAAAGATTAGTCCAGAAGGGCATCATTTCCTTGAATGGTTATTAGGAAAAGTTGGGATAACAAAAAAACCTGTAAGAGTGCATACACACATACACACACGCAAACACACACATGTTGCTGGGGACCCATTGCCAAGGTTGGGCCACTGCTGTCTAATAATGCCCCAAATTTAATCAAAATACTTTTCTTCTTCTTCTTGTGCCATATCTGTCATCAGACGTTGGCAATCACATTGGCCATCCTATTTTTATCAACAGCTGCACGAAAAAGGGCTGTTGAGTTTTGTCCAAACCAGACCCTTAGATTTTGAAGCCATGGTATTCTTCTTCTGCCTGGACCTCATCTGCCTTCAATCTTTCCCTGGAGGATTAGGTGAAGGATCAGTGGTGAAATCCAATTTTTTTTTACTACCGGTTCTGTGGGCATGGCTTGGTGAGCATGGCAGGGGAAGGATATTGCAAAATCTCCATTCCCATCCCACTCTGGGGCCAGTCAGAGGTGGTATTTCCGGACTACTCAAAATTTCCACTACCGGTTCTCCAGAACCTGTCAGAACTTGCTGGATTTCACCCCTGTGAAGGATGCCGAATTTTTCCGGGTGTCTCATCACATGTCCAAAATATTCTAATTTTCGCTTTTTTATGGTTTTGATGATTTCCCTTGGCTTTCCCAGGCGGCTGACTACCTCCTCACTTCTGATTTTCTCAACCCAACTTATACGTAACAGCCGTCTGTAAATCCACATTTCAAATGCTTCTAGTCTCTTCAAGTGGCTTTCTCTCAGACACCAACTTTCCACTCCGTAGAGCAGGATAGAAAAGGTGTAGCATCTGACAAGCCTGATTTTTCAATCTTAGGCTTATGTCGTGACTGCAGAAGACCTCTTTCATTTTGAAGAATGCTGTTTGAGCTTTCTCTATCCTTGTTTTGACTTCAGCGGGTAAATTAAATGGGTCGTTTGCTGACAACAATGATCTTGGTTTTTGAGGTGTTAAGCTTCAAGCCGTATTTTTCAATGCCTTTAAAAAAAATCAAACTCCAAATAACCCAAAGGGGGAAAAAACAAGGAAGGCCCAGGTGCAAAGCAACTCCCACAACTTGGCTCCTCCTGAAGGCCTTTAGTCTCATCTATCGGACATCAAAGTCGACCCCTGTCAATTTTGGCAAGGGTCCTGCCAATCAGATCGTGGTTGTGGTTTGAGGATGCTAAAATTCCCAGCTCACAAGAGCCCCTTCCCCTTTCAGAATTAGTCCTTTAGAGCAGCATTCAGTAACCGGTGGTCCGTGGACCACTGGTGGTCCACAAGAAAATTTTGGTGGTCCGCAGAAAAATTATTTGCATTTTTTATTTTGCACTAAATCAGGGGTCCTCAAACTATGGCCCCTGGGTTGGATACATGCAATGAACATTTCTGTTGCTGCAGAGAGTCTCCCTCTTTGGGGTCTTTTTGTGTGGGTCGGAGGGGGGCAGAAATTCCAACTTGGTGTCTGCTTCGGCCTCCTGGTGCGGGGCTTTAGGCAAAGGCTGGAGGGAAGTGCCGCTGGTGGCGAAGAGCCAGAGGGCCTCGTTCCAGTGGGACTGCATCATGGCCTGGAACTGGCTGACCATCTCAGCCCACTGAGCCTCCAGACACCAGTACCTGGCCTTGCACTCCTGCAGGTCTTCCCTTTGCTTGGAAAGCCTATGCTCCTAGTCCTCAGTGAGGTGCTTCTGCTCAGCCTCCTTCTCGGTCAGATCCAATTTGAACTGAGCCAGCTGTTTTGCCAACTCTTTCTCGTGGTGGCTGCTTAGCTCCAACAACTGCTTCCTGTTGGGGCCCTAAGGAGCCCGGGTGGAGAGGCAGAGTTGGCCACGCCCACCCAGTCACATGACCACCTAGCCACACCCACCCAGCCGGTCATTAGGCAGATTGTATCAGTGGTACGGGGATTTAAAATTATGAATTTAGTGGTCCCTGAGGTCCGAAAGGTTGGTGACTCCTGCTTTTAGAGCAGGGGTCTCCAACCTTGGCTACTTTAAGACTTGTGGACTTCCAACTCCCAGAGTTCCTCAGCCAGCAAAGCTTTCGATGTGGCAAAATGTCCCTCAAACATCACGTTGCAAAGGGTTGGATTGAGACTTCCCCCAAACCCGTTTCTTGACTAACATATGACTCTTAAGAAACCAGGGATAAAGGGAACATCAAAGCACCAGCCTCATTATTTTGTACAGGTGGTCCTCGATTTACGACCACATTGGAGCCCCAAGTTTCTGTTGCGAAGCGAGACTTTTGTTAATTTAGTTTTGCCCTCCTTTTACAACTTTTCTTGCCACTGTTGTTAAGCGAGTCACTGTGATTGTCAACTGAGTTGCATGGTTCTTAAGTGAACCCGGCTTCCCCATGCACTATGCTGGTCAGTGAAGGTCGTAAAAAAGGGATCACATGATCCCAAGACACCGCAAAGGGCATAAAAATAAGCCTGAATTTTGATTACATGACCGTGGGGTTCTACAACGGCCATAAGTGTGAAAAATGGCCTAAAATCCCTTTTTTTCAGTGCCGTCGTAACTTTGAACGGTCACTAAGTGAATGTTGTAAGTCGAGGACTATCCATACTACAAACTTTCTTGTATCCCTGATGAAGTTACGGGTACCTTTGTTGCCTCTCACTTCGGCTGCCGAAACCTCTCCAGAAGGTTTTTCCTGTAAGATAAACTGTTCATGCCCTCTTCATGTTTTCCTTTGCAAAACTGAGGACTAGGATGCTGATAAGCCCGCTGGAGTTCTCTGGAATTAGAGGGGTGCACCCGTGGTCATAGCAAAGCAGGCTGGAAGTCTCCATTCTGCATTTGGATGGCAGGCCCGCGGTCAGAGCTTCTCGTAGGATCCGAGCTCCTAATTTCTCCTCTCCTCTCTCTGTTATTTTGGCAACCATTATGGAGCCGAGGAATTTGACTCGATCCCAGCTCCACCGCAGCCCTTTTGTAGCAAATAACAGCCCTTCACAAAAGGACCCTGTAATGCCTAAAGAATTCTTGGGCCACACAGGCATGACTTCGAAAGAAAAAAAAGCTACACCATAATTACCAGACAGAGATGTTCCCACCAGTGGAAATTAACTCCTGAAGTCACGGAGGCTCGTTGTGCACAAGATGAAAATTCTGTGGCTGCTTTGGCACATGTCGGGGGGGGGGCATGCATGAACAGGAAAAGGGTCCCCTCTCTGTGGAAACAAACTTTCCCTCTCCAACCCTGCTTTCCCCATTCTCTAGTTCAGGGGTCTCCAAACTTGGCAACTTTTAAGACATGTGGACTTCAACTCCTAGAATTCCTCAGCCAGCAAAGCTGAAGTCCACAAGTCTTAAAGTTGCCAAGCTTGGAGACCCCTGCTCTAGTTGACTCTATATGCTGTCACAATTCCTAGTCTCAGGGATGTCTTCCCTTCCCTGGTTTCCAGCCAGCTTTCAAAAGACACACAAACACAAATGCACACACCGCTTCAGACTCACTTTGGATCCTGGCATGACAGCCAGCCACCCCCTTGGCTTCCAGAGGCTGCTGGATTCCAGCCTCTTGAAATGGACTGTCCCCACAGATGCACCATTTAATAGGCTAACCCTGGTTAGTTTGTAGTTGGCTTGTTTGTTTTCTGGCTTAGGGTGTTGTGTGACTGGAGCGTCCGGTTAGCTTTAAAAAACAAAGACCTATTTGTGTCTTTCCAAGTAACGAGTTAATGTAATAAGCGAGTTAACTACGTTGGGCAAATATGCAACGATATCCGTGGGTGAAGAAACTTCAAAACCTCTCAAAATGCTTTTGGTACAAAAGCCACACATATTTCTCAACAAAAAAAAAAATCCCTTCCAAAACATCATAATCTAGCGGTCTCCAATTTGGCACTGGAGTTGGGAGAAGAATTGTTCCTTCAACTGTTGCCAGGAGGGCTCTTGAGGGAAATGTGTAGCCGTCTCAGACTCAATATTGGGGAAAAAAATGTTTGCTAATCTTGATTTAAAAAAAAAAAACACTAAAAGTCTGCTCAGTATCATGAACTCAATTCAGGCTGTTTAATTTTATCTCAAATTTTGCATACCAATTCCCTCTTAAAAAAAGAAAAAAGAATCCTGAAAAGATGTGGAGACTCTAGAAAGAGTGCAGAGAAGAGAAACAAAAACCATTAGGGGACTGGAGGCTAAAACATATGAAGAACTGTTGCAGAAACTGGGTATGGCTAGTTTAATTGAAAAAAGGACCAGGGGAGACATGATAGCAGTCTTCCAATATCTCAAAGAAGAGGGGGTCAATCTATTCTCCAAAGCACCTGAAGGCAGGACAAGAAGCAACGGATGGAAACTCATCAAGGAGAGAAGCAACCTAGAACTAAGGAGAAAGTTCCTGACAGTTAAAACAATCAACTTCTGTTCCATGGGTTGGTTGCTCTGACAGAAAATTCCTCATTTCTAGATTGAATCTAGGTTGAAAATGGGTTGACCCCCTCCTCTCTGTGACAACCCCTCAAATATGTCTGGACTGAGAGGGTTTTTAGATTTGGGGTTTTTTAATATAAATTACATATTATGTATTTCATATTTTTAACTGGTTGTTTTATTGTTGTGAGCCCCGAGTCCTCGGAGATAGGGCGGCATATAAATTTTATTCAATAAAACAAACAAACAAACAAACAAAATAAAATGTCTCCCCTGGTCCTTCTCTTCACTAGACTAGCCAGGCCCACTTCCTGCAACTGTTCTTCATATGTTTTAGCCTCCAGTCCCCTCATCATCCTGGTTGCTCTTCTCTGCACTGTCTCTAGAGCAGTGTTTCTCAACCTTGGTAGCTTGAAGATGGATGGACTGGCTGGGGGATTCTGGGAGTTGAAGTCCACCCATCTTCAAGCTTCCAAGGTTGAGAAACACTGCTCTAGAGTCTCCACATCTTTTTTATGGATGGGCTTTTTAATAGGCTTGGAGGGGGTCAATTTTGGGGCTGGGGGGATGAAGGCTTACCTGCCCTCAAAGAGTGGGTGGCTGGGTGGGTGAGAGAGAGAAAAGGGGGGGGGGTCTTCCCTGCAGCTTGGCTCACTTGACTTGATCGCAGCCCCGCTGACCTCCCTCCCTCCCTCCCTTCCCTCCGCAGAGAGCGACCACAAGGAGCGCGTCTCGGCCCCGAGCAGCACCCTGGAGAAGGCGCCGCAGCCGCTGCGCAAGGGCCCGGCGGCGGCGGCGGCGGCGGAGGAGGCGGCGGAGGCGGGCGAGTACACCGTCCTGAAGGAGAGCGCCCCGGGCCCGGCGGACGGCGGCGAGGCGCCCCTGCTCAAGTCCTCGGACAGCGAGCGCTCCTCCTGCGGCTCGGGCTCGGTCAGCGGCGCGCTCTACGCCCGCATCGCGCGCCTCTCCAAGCAGTCCCGGGAGGAGGAGGAGGCGGCCCCGGCCAAGCCGCCCTCCCCGGAGCGGGCCAAGCCGCCCCCGCCGGACCCCTCCACCAAGCCCAAGGTCTCCTGGATCCACCACAAGTACAACGCGGCCCAGAGCAACTCCCTGCCGGCCGAGCGCCGGCCCGGCCCCTCCAAGCGCAAGCGGAGCCCCGGCGAGGCCGCGCGGGCCAAGGAAAGGGCGCCCAAGCCCCCGCAGGAGCCCGAGGCCCAGCCCAGGCAGCGCAGCCGGACCGGCCCGGAGCCCGCCGAGAACCTCAACGGCGCCCTGCACGCCGCGCTCAAGAGGCCGGCGCCCCCGGCCGCGCCCCGCAGCCCCGCGCAGCCCAAAGCGCCGCCCGGCTTCTCCTCCGAGGCCGCCACGCTGCTGGCGGCGCAGCTGAAGGAAAAGACGCAGAGCCTCCAGCGGGGCGAGGCGGGCGCGCGGCCCAACGGCATGAGCCCCCTCCCGGCCCAGCGGGAGAAGCCGGCGCCCCCGCAGAAGGCCAAGCAGGCGGCCGCCCCCGCCGGGCAGAAGGCCGGCAAGCCGCTCCTGCCCACCTCCGCCCCGCTGCAGAAACTGCTGGGGCCCGGCGCCCCCGCCGCCGCCCCCGCCGAGCCCAAGAGCGGGGAGAAGCAGAGCGGCGGCAGCCCCGAGGCGACCCCCGCGCCCGGAGAGCCCGCCGTCAAGAAGACGCCCATCAAGAAGCCGCCGCGCAAGAAGGGCCGGGAGGGGGCCGCCAGCCCCCCGCAGACTGTCCAGTAGGGCCGGGCGGGGGAAGCGGAGAGCCCGGCCCAAAGAGGGCCACAGCCTCTCTCTGGATGGCTGGGCTTCCCTGGGATGGGTCGAGGGGCTTTCGGGGAGCCGGCGCTGGCGCTGGGCTCTGGCAGGGAGGGGGTGGGGGGCTTTCTGTTATAACTGCATAGACCTGCTTCTCTCCCTCGAACTCAGGGGAGACCCTCGCAGGCCTGGGGAAGGGTGCCTGGGGGTGGGTTTGGGGCAGAGAGGGGGCTGAGACTGCGCTGCTGGGGGGAGGGAGTCAGCAACAGGCAGCCAGGACTCAGCAGACGGGCCTTTTCTTGGAGGGGGGGGGCTGCATTCATCTCTGGAAAGCCTCTTGCCCCTTAAAGCGGGAGGCGGCCTTCACTTTGGGGGTCCACAATCCCTGGGAAGCGAGGGCAGACTCTGCAGGAAGTGGGGGGGGGGGTTGCAGGGGCTGCTGCCGGCTGACCTGCGGGCTACGATCAGAACAGACTTGGTTTGGGCCCTTCCCAGCGGCCAGGCGGTGGGTTGTGTTCCCCAGGCACTTGAGCTGCCTCTGATCCAGCTCCTGGAATATCTCCTCCTCCTCTTGGGAGCTGGGTGGGGGCAGCAGCAAGGAGGTCTTTGAAGGCCAGCATGGCTCCATCTGGTGCTTCCTCAAATAAAGGGATGGTATTTCTAGCTCTGCCTTGTCCTGGTCTTTGGACTCCTGTTTCTGGTGAACCGTTTGCCTGCCTCCCCCAGGCCCAGCTTTCCCTCCTTAAGGTAGAGGGGCTCAGGATGACTGGCCAGAAGGAAGCCAGTCTCATCTCCTTGGATTTCTCAGGTGGGTTTCCTGGGGGTCTCCCATGCAAAGATTAACTAGGGGCCACCCTGCTCCAGCCCTCAAGGTAGCTTGGGGACTTGGCATTCTAGGAGAACCTTCTGGCTTGGGGTCAGCACTAGGTTTCTGCTGCCCTCCAGAACCATCCCCAGAATTGCTATCCCAAAGACATTCTTATCAGGACAATACATCTGGAAGACGCCCCGCTTGGCAAAGCTGACTCTGGCTTGTGGGCAGGGTGGTTGCTGGCCCATTAATTTCCTGTAATTCTCCAAAGAAACATTGTGCCAGGAGATTATGGGAAATTTCAAAGAGCCACTAAGGTTCTTCCCATCCCAAAAGTGTTTCCAGCTTGGATAAAGCCTTAGTAAGGCCACACCTAGAAGCCTGCATCCAGTTTTGGTCACCACGTTAGAAAAAAGATGTTGAGAGTCTGGAAAAAGTGCAGAGAAGAGCAACTAAGATGATTGAAGGCCTGGAGACTAAAACATGAAGAACGGTTGCAGGAACTGGGTATGGCGAGTCTAGAGAAAATAAGGACTAGGGAAGATAATTATAGCAGTATTCCAATGTTTGAGGAGCTGCCACAAAGAAGAGTGAGTCAAGCTATTCTCCAAAGCACCTGAGGGCAGGACAAAAAATAATGGATGAAAACTAATCAAGGAGAGAAGCAACCTAGAACTAGGGAGAAATTGCCTGACAATGAGGACAATTAACCAGTGGAACAACTTGCCCCCAGAAGTTGTGGGTGCTCCAACACTGGAGGTTTTTAAGAAGAGATAAGACAACCACTTTCTCTGAAATGGTATAGGGTTTCCTGCCTGAGCAGAGGGTTGGACTATAAGACCTCCAAAGTCCCTTCCAGCTCTATTTTGATTGATTGATTGAACTACAGATGTTCACTGCTGCAGCCAGTGAACTTGTAGCTGACAAGAGCTGGAGCTCTTGAACCAAACTCATTTTAATTTATTTTAATATTCATTTTATATTGAAGCGCACTTGGTGCTTAATGGGAATTGTTATTGGGCTTCCAGTACCTGGCTTTCTAGCTGGCAAAGGGCACTGCAGCCCCTGGCCAATGTGCAGCTGGATGAACCTTCCTCCTCCACCTGCTGTTTAAGGAAAGGAATCTGTGCCGAGTTCAGGCAACCCTGTGAAGTTTCAGTAAATTGAACAATACTGGCGATGCCAGACCAAAAATGGGAAGTCCATATAGCACTTAGCCCTTAGACTTATATACCGCTTTTGTTCTGCCCCAGCTACGGATCCAAAGAAAGCAGCACATACAAAGTCTGTACAAACCTTAGTTTACTAAATTAAATCAGTCTTTTTCACCCAAAGGCTGTTAATTAACTTTCTTAACAGCCTACAAGAATCCAAAGAATAAATAAACGTAATCTTACTAGGATTGGCAGAAAGCCCAGAAGCAATTTGCAGGACACTGATAAAAGAACTAAGATCCAGACGCGAAGGAGAGTGAACTAAGTTCCCTGCAAATTGCCTCAGTCATCGTCCTTCCTTAAATAGGCTAAGGGAGTGGCCAATTAGCCCCAAGCCTTACTCTCGAGGAGACCTCCTCCTGAGGAGCCACTCCTGCCTTTTGACAGCTCTGCACGCCCGTGCATCGAGAAGAGGCTCCTCCTCTTCCTCTTCACTTATGGGAGCTTCTGGAGGTTCTGAAGGCCCTGGCTGAATCCCCGCCTCTGGCACCACATCTTCTCCAGCCTCCTCATTGTCCGACTCGAGTGTCAGCTGCCCAGGCTGCTGGTGCAGCACCACACCAGCCTCTTTGCTGTCAGAATCAGCTACTAGCTGCACAGGCCACAATAGTTTTACAGTGCTTTACAGCCCTCTCTAAGCGGTTTACAGTGTCAGCCTATTGCCCCCAACAATCTGGGTCCCCATTTTACCCACCTCGGAAGGCTGAGTCAACCTTGAGCCTGGTAAGATTTGAACTGCCAAATTGCAGTCAGCCGGCAGTCAGCAGAAGTAGCCTGCAGTACTGCATTCTAACCACTGCGCCACTGAGGCTCATATGCTGTATAAAATCAAGCCACAACAAAAGGAACATTATATGTCTATGGAAATTCTCAGTCATCCAGGTCATGGTTATCCAAAGAGTACGGAGGTCGGAAATCCGACGAATCTCCAGGGGCAGCTCGTTCCAGAGGGCAGGTGCCCCCACAGAGAAGGCTCTCCCCCTGGGGGTCGCCAGTCAACACTATCTAACTGACAGCACCCTGAGGAGACCCTCTGTGGGAGCGTACTGGTCGGTGGGAGGCTATTGGAGGCAGAAGGCGGTCTCGTAAATATCCAGGTCCCGTGCCATGGAGTGCTTTAAAGGTGGCAACCAACACCTTGAATCGCACCCGGAAGACCACTGGGAGCCAGTGCAGCTCGCGCAGGAACGGTGTTACATGGGAGCACCGAGTCGCCCCCATAATCACCTGCGCGGCCACATTCTGGACCAGCTGGAGCCTCCTGGTGCTCTTCAAGGGAAGCCCCATGTAGAGAGCGTTACAGTAGTCCAGACGGGAAGTGATGAGGGCGTGAGTGACCATGCGCAAGGCGTCCCGGTCCAGAAAGGGAAGCAACTGGTGGATCAGGTGAACCTGATAAAAAGCCCCCCTGGCCACAGCCATCAGGTGGTCTTCTAAAGACAGCTGTGAATCCAGGAAGACACCCAAGTTGCGAACCCTCTCTGAGGGGGCCAAGGTCTCACCCACTATAGTTAGTGATGGAACCAACTGACTATGATGGGATGCTGGAAACCACAGCCACTCGGTCTTGGAAGGGTTGAGCCTGAGCTTGTTTCTCCCCATCCAGATCCGTAGGGCCTCCAGGCACCGGGTCATCACTTCAAGGGCATCATTGGGATGGCCCGGGGTGGAAATGTAAGCTGAGTGTCATCAGCGTACTGATGGAAATCCACCTCGAAGCCACGGATGATCTCACCCAGCAGCTTCACATAAATGTTGAACAAGAGGGGCGAGAGGACCGACCCCTGCGGCACCACACAAACTAGGTGCCTCGGGGTCGACCTCTGCCCCCCTGTCAACACAGACTGCATACGGTCAGAAAGGAAGGAGGAGAACCACCATAACATGGTGCCCCCACCCCTAACCCCTCCAACTGACGCAGCATGATACCATCTGCATGATATCATCTCTTCAATCCAGTCAGGATTGAACTCATGGCAGTGGGGAGAGTTTGCCTGCAATACTGGATTCTAACCACAGTGCACCATGGATGGATGGATGGCTGGATGGATGGATGGAAGGAAGGAAGGAAGGAAGGAAGGAAGGAAGGAAGGAAGGAAGGAAGGAAGGAAAATAGCAATAGCACTTAGACTTATATACCGCTTACAGTGCTTTACAGCCCTCTGTAAGGGATTTACAGAGTCCGCCTCTTGCCCCAGCAATCTGGGTCCTCATTTTACCAACCTCAGAAGGATGGAAGGCTGAGGTAACCTTGAACCAGTCAGGATTGAACTCATGGCAGTGGGCAGAGTTTGCCTGCAATACTGCATTCTAACCACTGTGCACCATGGAAGGGAGGGAGGGAGGGAGGGAGGAAGGAAAACAGCAATAGGAATAGCCCACCGCTTCACAGTGCTTTCCAACCTCTGAGCATTTACAGAATCAGCCTCTTGCCCCCAACAATCTGGGTCCCCATATTACCCACCTCGGAAGGATGGAAGGCTGAGTCAACCTTGAGCCTGGGGAGATTCAAACTGCCAAATTGCAGGCAGCCGGTAGTCAGCAGAAGTAGCCTGCAGTACTGCATTCTAACCACTGTGCCACCGCGGCTCATAGAGAAGATCCAAAGGGCCACTTAGGGCTGTTCCGTCACCCCTCTCAGCCATGATGTGCTCACTGGGGCTGCCGAATAGACCAGCCATGCAGAAATCCACACACAGCCTCCTCTCCACGGAGTGCAGTGTTTCCCAATCTTGGCAACTTTTAAGATGTGTGGACTTCAACTGCCATGATGGCCCAGCCAGCATCAAAGTCCCATGTCTTAAAAGATGCCAAGGCTGGGAAACCCTGATGGGGCAGATGTGTCTACAAGCCACCACACTTTCAGTCTGTGGTCGTGGACTGAAATAAAAGACTGACGGTTGACCCAATCTGGGAGTTACTGTCTATCCACAGGGAGGGGGGGCGAAAGACAGCTTAAGGCAGGGGTGCCGCATCCAGGCCACGGGGTGCTTAGATCTGTCCCACAGGGCCACCCTGGAAACAGCAAGGTACCAGCCCGCGATGCCTCTGCCAGCGAAAATGGAGTTCAGGAGTCCATTTTCACTGGCAGAGTTCTTGGGTTACCACAAGTGCCCCAACATGAATGACATCGAGCAGGCCACGCCCCCACTAGCCACACTCCCTGCCCCCCTCCTAACACTGCCCCCCCTTCAAACACAACCCTGATACGGCCCTCAATGAAATTGAGTTTGACACCCCTGGCTTAAGGGCTCTGCTCCATCAGGAGTCCACCAGGTGCTCTGGATGGGTATCCCAGAGCATGTCGAAGGATACTGAATTTCCATGTTCCAGACCAGTAAATTTGTTCTCCAGACTTGCCCTCCTCCGCCTCTTCTTTTGACTTCCGCAGCCACTTTTCCTTTACAAAATGAATTGGTGCAGGGCAGTCAATCAAACTAGAGCGGCAATTCCGCAACCTCAGCAACTTTGAAGATGCTGGCTGAGGGATTCTGGGAGTTGAAGGCCACACCTTAGACCAGAGGTCTTCAAACTTGGCAGCTTTAAGACTTGTGGAATTCTGGGAGTTGAAGTCCACAAGTCTTAAAGCTGCCAAGTTTGAAGACCTCTGCCTTAGACATTGCTATGGTTGAGAAAGAAAGAACTAGAGAGACAAGCCCTGAAACTGAACTAGGCCAGAGGTCCCCAACCCCCAGTCCGTGGATCAGCATGGGGCCCAGGCATGCCAGAAACTGGGCCACACAAATAAGCGAAGCCCCATCCGTGGCATGCAGGCAGCATGCAAAACCACACACCCTCTGGTCCACAGAAAAACATCTCTCCACGGAACCTGTCTCTGATGCCCCAAAAGTTGGGGGCCACTGGACCAGGGGTGAAATCCAGCAGGTTCTGGAGAACCGGTAGCAGAAATTTGGAGCAGTTTGGAGAACCAGCAAATACCACCTCTGGCTGGCCCCAGAGTGGGGTGGGAATGGAGATTGTGCAATATCCTTCCCCCAGGAGTGGGGAGGGAATGGGGATTTTGCAGCATCCTTCCCCTGCCATGCCCACCAAGCCACACCACACCCACAGAACCAGTAGTAAAAAAAAAATTGGATTTCACCACTGCACTGGACTACTTTATACCTGGGATGGAAAGAACCTCCTTCTGCAGTCTTCCTGGCCAGGAACTCCCTTCTCTGTGGCTGCTGGGTGGAACCTGGCTCCTTCTTGCCTCTTTCCTAACCCTACATTCTTGGGGTGGTTTATGCTTCTCCTGCGCCAGTTCCTGCAGCTAAACCCTACTCTCCAAACATATCCAGAGGCCGCAACTCTTGCCAGCCAGAAGAGGGCAACCCAGAGATACCAAAACCCTAATGCTCGGCTGCCCTCTGGGGGTGAAAGGCTCACCCACGATTTCAAGGGAGGAAACAGACAAGGGGGGGGTGTAGCACGTGGAGTAACCAGCATTGGGGTCCCTTGGGAAGCCTTTATCACAGGGGAATCCTTGCTATGTCGAGGTGTGGAGTCAAAGCGCCTCCTCCTGGCATCCCGCCGGTGAATCGGGGATCCACTGTTTGAAGATGAGAAGGACCAGGGGAGACATGAGAGCAGTCTTCCAATATTTGAGGGGCTGCCACAGAGAAGGGGGAGAGTCAAGCTATTTTCCAAAGCACCCGAAGGCCAGAGAAGGAATAATGGGTGGAAACTGAACAAGGAGAATCAACCTGGAAATGAAGGAGAAATTTCCTGACAGTGAGAAGAATCAACCCATGGAACAGAAGTTGCCTTCAGAAGTTGTGGGAGCTTCATCCCTGGAGGCTTTCAAGAAGAGACTGGACTGGCATCACTGGGGGAGTGGGCTGGACTAGATGACCTACAAGGTCCCTTCCAATTTTGTTAATCTCTAAAAGATCGCCATTTCCTGACCACGTGCTGGAATTGCAACTATCCGCCAAGCTGATCCGGAAGACTCGGATTCGAAAAACAGCTTATGAAAGACTGTTACTGAATATGGAGGCTCACATGCAACTCTTCCGAGCGCTCGTCGGACAGGAGGCTGGGGATCCAGGCGGAGGTGGAGAGGGGGGCACCCTTGTAAGCAACGGTAACGGAATCCGAGCCAGCAAGCAACACCCAGGACGCGGCTCTGCCAATGCAGGTTTAGGTCGCATCAACCGAAGCGCCAGCTGGGCATCCCCAGAGGAGACCCCGGCCGCCTCTTAGCAGCACCTAAGGCAGGAGAAAGCAGCCCCGGGGAGGGGAGGGGAGGGGGCAAGGCGGAGGAAGCCCCCCCTCACTCCGTCTGGGAGGGGGAGGGGCGAGGGGAGGGGCGTCTGCAGGCTCGCGCGAGAAGCCGCCGCCGCGCTCCGCCCCCCCTCCCTCCTACCCCCCCCCCAGCCCTGCAGTCCATGGAGCGGTTCGGGGCTGCCTTCGTCTTCCCGGAGGGCGAGGCGGGAGGGACCCCGGCCGGAGGAGGAGGAGGAGGGGGCGGCTTGGGCGGCGACCGTCCGGCGCGGCAGCAGGCGCGGCACTACCAGCTGCTCTCGGAGCTGCAGGCGCTGGTCAAGGAGCTGCCCAGGTGGGTGGGGGGGATGGGGGGCGAGGGGGGGGCGGCGGGGTCTCCAGCCCCCTCCCCTCCCCCCCCGACCGCAACGTCCGAAGGTGGTGGGGGGGCAGAGGGAGCTACCCGGAAGCCCCAGGGGAAGGGGGGTGCCTGGTTTTGGGGGGGCACAGCCAGGGGGTGTTTGTTCAGGGGGGAGGCAAATTTAAGGAAGGGCAGCTTCTGGAAAGCCTAACGCGATTTTTTCTAAAAAGGCGTTTTTTTAAAAAAAAATAAATAAACCAAAAATCCTTTTTGCCCCCCTTGTCTCCCCTTCCCCATCTTCCTTTCCTCCTCGCATCCCCATCCCCTCCCCCTCTCTTCCCCTCCCCATCCCCCCCCTTTTTTATTTGATTTATATGCGGGAGACTCAGGGCGGTTTACAGTGTGTTAAGCAATAGCCTTCATACTTTTGTATATTTTATACAAAGTCAGCTTATTGCCCCCACAAACTGGGTCCTCATTTCACCTACCTTAGAAAGGATGGAAGGCTGAGTCAACCTTGAGCCTGGCGAGATTCGAACCTGCAGTAATTGCAGGCAGCGGATGTTAATAACAGTGCTTTAGTCTGCTGCGCCACCAGGGCTCTGGTTTTTAACCCCCTCTTTCTCCCAGACCCCTCCCTACCCCCTCCCCTTCAGCCTGTCCCCCACCCTAAATCCAACCCAGATTCTCACCCTCACTCACCCCTCTGAAGGCTTCCCCAGAGTCCAGGAGCCCCACTGAAGGGCAGCTTATCTCCAGGAAGGCACCTTCCCTCTGATAACTGATCACTGACAGTAACTGACCCTTCAGCCAGCAGGGATGACGTCATAAAGCCATCCGGATTCCCAAGGAGGTGACCGGCCTCCCTTCTCCACCTATCAGAGGGCACCTGCTCCTCCACCTGGGTGACCTACATCCCTGCCACACAAAGCTCTCTAGGAGGCTACCAAAGTGGTCACTCAAGCTGCCTATTTCTCATTTTTTTTTGCAAGGTAGCCGTACCTCTTTGGATGTGGATGGCCTCTTGCGATAGAAGCTCCACTAAGCTCCCCCGAGCAGCTTAATGGTCAGGGTTGGAAGCAGGCTTAACTGGTTTAGGGTAGGCCTTGAAATACATTTAGAACAGAGCAGGAATAGGAATAGAACTGGAAGGGACCTTGGAGGTCTTCTAGTCCAGCCCATTGCTCAAGCAGGAGACCCTATACCATTTCAGACAAGTGACTGTCCAGTCTCTTCGTAAAAGCCTCCAGAGATGGAGCACCCATGAATTCTGGTGGCAAGCTGTTCCACTGGCTAAGTGTCCTCACTTTAGGAAGGTTTCTACCTTAATTCCAACCTGGAATTAAGAAGTTTCTCCTTAATTCCAGGTTGCTTCTCTCCTTGATTAGTTTCCAACCATTGTTTCTTGTCCTGCTTTCTGGTACTTTGGAGAATTATTTGACCCCCTCTTCTTTGTGGCAGCCTCTCAAGTACTGTTATCATGTCACCCCTAATTCTTCTTTTCTTTAGACTTTCCAAACCCAAATCCTGCAGCCATTCTTCATCTGTTTTAGTCTCCAGGCCCTTATTTGTCCCATTGTCCAACAAGACTGAGCTAACACGGGTGTCAAACTCAATTTTGTGGAGGGCCACATCAGGGTTGTGTTTGACCTGGAAGGGGGGGGCGCAGTATGGCCAGCATGACATCACTTGTATCGGGAGCGCCTGTGGTGGCCCCAGCGCTCTGCCAGTGAAAATTGAGCTCAGGAGGGCTGCGCGTGGCCCTCCCAAGCTCTGTTTCCGCTGGCAGAGGCACAGCAGGCCAGCTGAAATGAAAAAATGCTGGTGACCTTTTACCCCTGCACCATAGAGAGTATTTTAACTTACTGCAACCTTTATTGCCAACTGCACAGTGGCAGATAGGACAGCGCTCCAGAGGGTCAACGTCATTGCCCAGAGGATCATGGGTTGCCCTCCCCCCTCTTTGGAAGAGCTTAATAGCCCCCCTGCCTTAAGAAAGTTCAAAACATTTTTAAAGATCCATCTCATCCTGGGCACCCTTTTTTTTTTTTGAACTATTACCATCTGGCAGACGGTACAGGACAATAAAAACAAGGACAAATAGGCTGAAAAACAGCTTCTATCCCAGGGCAGTAACTATACTGAATTCTACTGTATAGTGCAGTGATGGCTAATCTTTTTGCCATCACGTGCCAAAAGTGGGGGGCTGTCACCCGCGCGCATGCCCACACCCATAATTCTATGTGCCCTGCCCCCACCCATGCACGTGCGCCCCCCCCCCCCGCCTCCCCCCGCTTTTGGCATGCGGTGGGCCTGGTAGGCCTGTCTTTTGCTCTCCCCAGGCTCCAGAGCCTCTCATGGCCTCCCCACCCCACCCCGCGGAGGGCCTCTGGAGACCAAAAACGGCACATGTGCTGACTTCTCGTGGAACCGGAAGGCCTGAAAATTAGTTGGCTGGCGTGTGCATGCGTGCTGAAGCTGACCTCGCATGCCCACCAATATGGCTCCACGTGCCACCTGTGGCATGCGTGCCAAAGGTTCACCATCATGGGTATAGTGCAATATTAATGCAATATCGGGTTTTCAATTCAGTTGTATAGAATGTGAAGGATGTGTGTTTGTGTTTTATTTTTATAATTATAATCTACACTAATGATGGCATTTAATTTCGTTGTACGAGGTGCAACGACACTAAAGTAAACTAACAATTGAAAGAGGCAATTTACGGGCCTCTTTCCATGGTTGAGTTTCCATGGTTGAGATTCACTTGCCCTCCCGTTCAGCGCAGTCCTGATGACACAGAAGTTTCTTTCCCCCAGTTCTTCTCAGCAGAGGCTCTCCTACACCATCCTCAGCGACCTGGCCTTGGCCCTCCTTGACGGGACCGTCTTTGAGATCGTACAGGGCCTGCTGGACATCCAGCACCTGACGGAGCGAAACCTCTACAACCAGCGGCTCAAACTGCAGACGGAGCATCGAGGCAAGTGAGCCACTTGCACAAAATTGGGCTGTGAAATAAATGACCTGGGAGGCAGAGGGTTTTGAGATGTTTGGGTAGTTTAATTTAGATTCCTGCACTGAGAGGGGCTTGGACCCGAAGGCCGCAGTGGAGAAGCTCTGATACAGATACAGATTAACAGAGTTGGAAAGGGACCTTGTAGGTCATCTAGTCCAACCCCCCGCCCAAGCAGGAGACCCTACACCATTTCTGACAGAGGGCCGTCCGGTCTCTTCTTGAAAGCCTCCAGTGATGAAGCTCCCACAACTTCCAAAGGCAACTTCTGTTCCATTGGTTTCTTTTATTATTTATTTAGTTATTTCGTTTTATTATTCATATTTCTATGCCGTCCAGTCTCCGAGGACTCTGGGCGGCTTACACCAAAGACAGTATACTAAATAGCACATTGCCCCCAACAATCTGGGTCCTCATTTTACCCACCTCAGAAGGATGGAAGGCTGAGTCAACCTTGAGCCGGTGAGATTTGATCCGCTGATCTGCTGAACTAGCAGTCAGGTGAAGTACTGCACTCTAACCACTGCGCCACCTTGATTGGTTGACTGATCCTTTCTCCCTCCCTTTCTCTTGTCCAGCCACTCTAGTTCCCTGTGCTGGTCATTACAGGAAGTCTTTGTCTTACGACCACGATTAAGCCCAAAATTTCCGTTCTTAAGTGAGACACTTGTTAAATGAGTTTTGCCCCATTTTACGACCATTCTCGCCACAGTGAATCTAGCTTCCCCGTTTTGCTTGTCAAAAGATCGCAAGAGGGGATCACACAACCTTGGGACACAGCAACGGTTGTAAGTATGAGTCAGTTGCCAAACACCTGAATTTTGATCGCATGAGCAAGGGGATGCTACAAAGGTTGTAACTGTGAAAAACGGTTGCAAGTCACTTTTTTTTTATTAAAAAGTTTTTAAAAAAATTTACAAATGTTTTCACATCCCTCCTCCCTCCCCAGCCCCCCCCCCCCCCCCGCCTTCCCAGAGCAAAATACAGGGTATAGCATTTAACAGTCATATACTAACTAACATGTGCTAACTATCTATAGACTCCTATCTCCCTCTTGTACTTTAACTCCCCTTTTACATGACTAAATTTAAATACTTTCTAAAGACACTTTATTCATTCATAAAATATTTGAAACTTTTTAGTCCCATATTTGTTTTGAATATAGTCAATCCATCTTCTCCATTCCAAAATATATCTTTCATTTGAATGGTCCTTCAAATACGGTGAAATTTTGGCCATCTCTGCTAAATTCAGTAGTAGGCAAGTCTTCCTTCTTCCAATACTGTGCCACCAAAAGTCTGGCCACTGTTATTAAATTTAAATCAATTTAGTCTCTATAACCGTACAATCTGTAATTATACCCAGCAAGAACAGCTGTGGAGTAAACTTTATCTTTTTAAGAATATTTTGCGTAATCCACCATATTTTTATCCAAAATGCTTTGATTTTTTTGCATGTCCACCATATATGATACTACGTGGCATCATCACACTCACATCTCCAACACTTGGATTGCAAACTTGGATACATACCGGCTAACTTTTTAGAATCTAAATGCCATCTATAAAACATTTTGTAAAAATTTTCTCTCAAGTTTTGGGCTTGTGTAAATTTTACATTTCTAACCCATATTTCCTCCCACGTTTCCATCATTATTGGCTCCTCAATATTTTGTGCCCATTTTATCATACAATCTTTAACTAACTCCGTTTCTGAATCTATTTCTATCAATGTGTTATACAACCTTTTTATATGCATTTGGCTCTGATCTTGGATTTGTTTTACCAAGTTTTCCTCATTTTGCATGATGCCAATTTTCTGATCCTCTTTCCATCTAGCTTGTAGCTATCCATACTGAAACCAAGTTTGAATTACCCTTTCTTCTTTTAATACATTCAAAGACTTTAACTGTAATGTACCTCTTTCCATATTAAGAAGCTCTTTATATGTAATCACATCTTGTTTTTGTTCTGCACTTGTTCTCTATGGCGTGTCTGGGTACTGCCCATATAGGTATCTTATCATTTAATTTGTATTGATATTTTTTCCAGACACGCAATAAAGCATTCCTTAATATATGGCTTTTAAAACTCTTATCCACCTTATTATCATATAATAAGTAGGCATGCCATCCATATATCAAATCATATCCCTCAATATTCAGTATTCTTCTTTCTGTTAAGTTAATCCAGTCACTGATTGCTGATAAGACTGCTGCTTCATAATATAGTCTTAAATTGGGCATTTTAAGACCTCCTCTTTCACATATATCTTGCATTATTTTTAATTTTATTCTCCGACTTTTCCCTGCCCAAATAAAGTTATTAATACCCTTTTGCCATTCCCTCAAATTTGCATCTTTTTTAAGTATAGGTATCATTTGAAAAATAAATAAAAACATAGGCAAAACATTCATTTTTACTGCTGCTATTCTTCCCAATAAAGACAATTGTAGTTTTTTCCAATTGTCCATCTCTTTATGTATTTTTTGCAATAACAGTTCATAATTATACTTACATAATTTTACATTTGAAATTGTAATATAAACCCCTAGATATTTGACCTTTTTCACTATTTCAAATCCTGTTACTCTTTCTAATTCATTTTTTTGATTTATAGTCATATTTTTAGTTATTATCTTTGTTTTCCCCACATTTATTTTAAATCCAGATACTTGTCCATATTGATTAATTATATCCATTAAGCCTATAGCTGATTGAACTGGTTGGGTTAAAGTAACAACCAAGTCACTTTTTTCAGTGCCGTTGTAACCAGTGCCTTGGTGGCGCAGCGGACTAAAGTGCTGTTAAGTAGCACTTAGCTGCCAGCTGCCTGCAATTACTGCAAGTTCAAATCTCACCAGGCTCAAGGTTGACTCAGCCTTCCATCCTTCCGAGGTAGGTAAAATGAGGACCCGGATTGTGGGGGCAATAAGCTGACTTTGTATAAAATAGAACACCGCTTGGGGGGGGGGCGAAAGCCCTACTAAGCAGGTATATACAAAAGTATGAAGGCTATTGCTTAATGCATTGTAAGCCACCCTGAGTCTCCGGAGAAGGGCAGCATATAAATCAAACTAATAAATAAATAAATAAATAAACAAATAAACAAACAAACAAACAAACTTTGAGCGGTCACTAAAGGAACTGTTGTAAATTGAGGACTACCTGTACACTCCAGGAACACAGCAGAGGCTGTGAGTAGGTTAGTCTGGCTGCATCCTGGGGACCTCATTCCGTTTTCCCGCTCCCTTTCTCACCAGCCCTGAAGCAGGAGACCTTCCGCAAACACAAGGAGGACCAGCAGAGCTGCCAGCCACACAACCTGCCCCTTCTGAAGGCCGCTCAGCAGCGAGAGATGGAGGTAAAGGCAGCCGTAGCCACAGTCGGAGTACCCTTGGTGGGGGTGAAGGTGGGATGGAGGGCCTCCTTGCCCCTTAGCCCATGGCTCGAAGCACCGTTCAAAATGCCAAACGCTGTTAATGGCGGTTCTCCTTTGGCCTTCTGGGTTTCTCCTTTGCTCAGGCTGTGGAGCAGCGAATTCAGACCGAGCTGCGGATGATGGACGAGAAAATAGTCTTGGAGCTGGATCAGAAAGTGGTGGACCAGCAGAGCACCCTGGAGAAAGCTGGCGTCTCTGGCTTCTACATCACCACCAATCCCCAGGTCTGTTTAAGCCGGAAGGCTGCCTTGCCCAAAGCTGAGTGCCAGCAAGAAGGTGGCACTCAGCTTTGGGCAAGGCAACCCAAAGGGGTGGAAGGATGGGGGAGGGGGCTGCAGATACCCTATTCTGTGGGGGGGGGGAAGCTACTCACTCTAGAGCCATGATGGCGAACTTATGGCATGCGTGCCACATCGGTGGGAGCCATATCGGTGGGCATGCAAGCATTGCCCTAGCTCAGCTCTGGTGCCCATGCGTGCGCAGGCCAACTGATTTTCGGGCCCACCGGAAGTCGGGAAACAGGCTGTTTCTAGCCTCCAGGGGGGAGGCCCGTTTTTCACTCTCCCCAGGCTCCAGAGGCTTTCTAGGAGCCTATGGAGGGTGAAAACGGCCTTTCCCACCCCCCTGGAGGCCAGAAACATGGGACCGGAGGTCCGGAAACGGGCCATTTCCAGCCTCCGGAGGGTCTCGGGGGGGTGGGGGTGGAGGCCGTTTTCGCCCTCCCCAGGCTCCAAGAAAGCCTCTGGAGCCTGGGGAGGTCAAAAATGGGCCTACCGGGCCCACCGTGCCATTGAATGCGAAAAGCAGGGGGGAGCGCAGAGAGGTTGCCCGCACATGCGTTTGTGGGGGGGTGCATTGAATTATGGGTGTGGGCACACATGTGTGCAACACCCCCGCACTTCCCATCCCCGCTTTTGGCACGCGACAGCAAAAAGGTTAGCTATCACTGCTCTAGAGGGTCTAGCAGGGAGAGATGCAAGGGCCCATCTTCTCCCCTCCTGAGATTAAGGGATGGGGGCTCTAGCGGCCCACCCACTTGGAAATTGCTTAACAACACCCCCACCCCAGGAGCAGAGCAGCCTGCTAGGAATAGAGGGAATGGGGGCTCGTCTACCGGACCTGCAGAATCTCTTTACATAGCAGCAACAGATGGCCCTGGAGGAGAGACACGTGTTTATTTTTTATACTATGAAGGGAAGTGGTGTGGTGGCCTAGAGGTGGACCTCTCGCCTCACAATCAGGAGGGTGTGTGTTCGATCCTAGGTAGAGGCAGATATTTCTCTTTCTGGGCACATGGATAACATATCTGCTGAACAAAACTCCACACTGGCTTCTCATCCAGAGGTCTTCAAACTTGGCAGCTTTAAGACTTGTGGACTCCAACTCCCAGAATTCTCCAGCCAGCTATGCTATTCTGGGAGTTGAAGTCCACAAGTCTTAAAGTTGCCAAGTTTGAAGACCTCTGTTCTATTCCCTTTGCTTCTTGCAAGATGTTTTGCCGACGGATGGGTGGAAGAAGTTGGCTTGCTTTTATTTCTAAATTAAACGAAACATAAAACTCTTTTTGTTTCTCTCCCAGGAATTGATGCTCCAAATGAATATGCTGGAGCTCATCCGGAAGCTGCAGCAAAGGGAAATGCAGCCCAGGCAGCTGTTCTCTTGAGAAGGGACACGGGGACCGTCTCCCACCACACCTGGTATTGACCCTCGTGGCTCTGGTGGAAAAATGGATGACGAGTGTGTTGTTTTTATTTAAGAGGCTTGCCCCACAAGAGAGCAGAACAAGGCCGGGGGTCAGGCAGGCCCAGAGCTTTCTTGCTGCCCCCCCACCCACCCCCCTCGCGTGAAGGAGCTCAGATCAAGTTTGTCTTTGGTCCTTTTTACAACGGGGGTCCTGGTTTGTTTGTTTTTTAATAACGCTTGAGGAATTTCCAAAATATCTAAAGGTTGATATTTTGAAATTGTAATATAGGGAATACAGGCTGTAAAAAGGCAATAAACGCCATTTATTTATTCAGTATGTAGATTTCTATGGATGCCCATCTCAAATACATGATTCCAGGTGCCTAACAGTATTCAAAAGGATAAAAACATAAGATTAAAAAATGGAAAACACATAGCAGCTGGGGGGGGGGGGTGGAATTGCAGAAGCAACCATCAACATTCAGCCCCACCAAGAAAGGAGCTGTGTTGTATAGCTCGGTTCAAGCCCACGGCCAACTCTCCAAGTTTTTCGTCTTGGAGAAGGAAGCGTTGGGAGAAGGAACAAGAAGAGCCCCATGGATGGGAGTGTTTCCAGAATTTGATTTTTATGATACGGAACAGTTTTTTTTAATCACTCCCATATATTTAGCAAACAGCATTTTATATACCACTTCACAGTGTTTTACAGCCTTCTCTAAGTGATTTACAGAATCAGCCTCTTGCCCCCAAAAATCTGGGTCCTCATTTTACCGACCTCAGAAAATTGGAAGGCTGAGCCAACCTTCAGCCAGTCAGGATCAAACCCCTGCCAGACAGCAGAATTAGCCTGCAATACTGCATTCCAACTACTGCGCCACCACAGTTCTAGTATTCTGGTACACAATGAATTAGTGTTAAATGTCTTTTAAACTTGGTAACCTGATGATGTTAGGACATCAACTCCCACAATTCCCCAGTCAACAACCTGGGAGTTGGTCCAAACATGAGAACTGGAAATAAGGTACTTGCAGATAATAGGTAAAATAGGATTTCTTTATTGTTCTGATTCCGTTATATGTGGAGAATAGAATGAATAGAGCAGAGCACAGTACAACACAACATAATTTTTTATTAGCCAAGTGTGATTGGACACACAAGAAATTTCAGGTGCATAAACTCACAGTATATATGCAAACAACAAATAATCGGTCATAGATCATAAATAATAATTACAATCATTAATCATAAGTTACAAACATCAATTTTATAAATCATAAACTAATATAAGTTAGGAAAGATGAGAAATGAGACAGTGCTGTGGGAATTAAGTGTTTAGCCAAGTAATGGCATGGGGGGGAAATCTGTCCTGTGTCTAGTTTTAAGGGGAGAAGTTGAAATAAATTATGTCCAGGATGCGAGGATCTGTAAATATTTTCCCAGCCCTCTTTTTGACTCGTGCAGTATACAGGCACTCAGTGGAAGGCAGGTTGGTAGCCCTTGTTTTTTCTGCAGTTCTGATTATCCTCCGAAGTCCGTGTCTGTCTTGTTGGGTTGCAGAGCCAAACCAGACAGTTATGGAGGTGCAGATGACAGACTCAATCAATTCCTCTGTAGACGTTGGATCAGCAGCAGCTCGGGAAGTTTGAGCTTTTCTGAGTTGATGCAGGAAAAACATTCATTATTTTCCTTTTTAATGATGGTTCTAATGTGAAGCAGCCATTTCAAGTCCTGGGAGATTATAGAATGCAAAAATGTGAAGGACTCTACTGCCGAGAGATACTGTGCTATCAAAAATAGTAAGGGGTAAAATAGGAGCTATTGGTACCGGTAGTTGTTGCTAGGCATACAGCTTTGTTTAGTGGAAATGAATGATTTCATATTGTTTGACCCAGCCTGTATTACCAAGAAATGATGGAAAATATAAATTTGTGAGAAAGGTTAAATGCAATGGAAAGGAAAATGGCTTAAAATTTTAATACATTTTGAGGGCTTTGCCCAATTCACTTAAATATTTTAATTGATAAGATTTTTTTTAACAGAACACATACCTAGGATTTGTTTTGTGGGAAGCTTCCCCGCCCCCCGCCCCCCCGAAGAATGAAATATTTTGGGTAATATTAAAAAAATGCAGAATATTATATTTCCCTAAAGGAGAAATGGAGAAACATGTTATTAGAGGCAGAAAGCATGCCCCAGTCTTTCTTAATAGCCCACAGCATATGCCAGCACTTAAGGAGATAAAGAGCTTATTGGAAAAAGGAAGCCAACTATCTAGATGGCTCTATTCATAAGCAAAGCAAATACTGCAGGCAGAAACCCATTCAAGACAGGATATTTCAAAACTCCTTGCAGCAAAGTTTGACAGTTAACAAAAGCAGAATGGCAGGATTAGAACAAGCAGCCCCTCACCCAAGATCCAGCACAGGACAAAAGCCATTAGCCACAATAGGAATTGCCCAACACCCTCTCAGAACACAAGCCCCTCCATTGCACAACCCCCACCCCACCCCCAGCAGCATTTCAGGACCTGTATAAAAAACTCTGGCAGTCATCTAGCTCGGGGGTCTCCAACCTTGGCCACTTTAAGCCTGGAGGACTTCAACTCCCAGAATTCCCCAGCCAGCAAAGCTAATCTAGCTAATTGTTCAGCTGACCCAGAATCATAAACCCTGGTAGTCCTGTTCACCAATAAGCAGAAACTTTCTTTCCAATCAGCCGCCATGATGTTTCCAGTGTTTCTCCGCCAGCTTGGAACTGAACCAGATGGATTTTTCTTCCAACAGTTTTCTAAAGCCAAGTTTTTCATACAAAAATAGTGTTTTAATTTGTACTATATGAAAATCCTGAATATGTACCACTGCTAGCCCAACTTAAAAATTACTATTGGGCAGCTTTAAAAGCCATGGCAAGTCCTTTGAGCCAAGTACGGTAGGAACTCTGAAATTTAAAGCAACGGTGAATTTAAGGAAATTGAAGTTTGAAAGATTGAAAGTGGGATAATTAGATAATACTGCTAACAATGTTATTAAATTGCATAATCAAATTTAGAATACACCAATGATTGCTGAATTATGTGGCATTGAATTTAAGGAAATACTAAATGTTTCTTATTATTTTAAAGCCAAGTTAGACCAACAGAAAATTATTTCTGGAAGTGACTGCATTCTTCAACAGCCGTTTAAAAATAGTTTAACAGTTATTCTTAAACTGGCAAGGTAACAATTTTGAACAGACTTCCATGTGTTTGATTGGAAATTGAATGGAAATTCTCGCATGGTTAGTGCTGAACTAATGTTGGGGGAGGAAATTTGAGTTTTAAAAATGTGAATATGCTGCTAAATTATATTCCAGAAATCTGGAATTCATCTATCTGAGAAGCCTTGAATATACGGTGCCTGGACTTAAGGAAAAAGGATGATAGATGATGGCAGATTGGCTAAAAGAAAATTGTCCATTCTCCCCCTGAATTGGCTCTATATGATGGAAGAAGCCCAGCTGGACAAAATAAGTTTTTTAAATTATCTATTTATTCATTATTAGATTTGTGTGCTGCCTATATCATCTAGATAATTCCAGATGATATAGGCATCTAGATAATTCCAGATGGGCCTTGCTTTAATTTGCTACTTCAAAATTGACTATAATTAGTTCCATACCCAGGAGCCTGTTTTTGGTACTGTAAAATTTATAATTACTGTAGAATTTACAATTCTATTTTATTCTCTCTTTTTTTAAAAAAAAAAGGCCAATGCAATCCTAAATTGCATTAACAGAGGGATACAATCAAGATCAAGGGAGGTACTAATATCACTCTATAAAGCCTTAGTAAGGCCACACCTAGAGTCCTGCATCCAGTTTTGGTTACCACACTATAAAAAATATGTGGAGACTCTAGAAAGAGTGCAGAGAAGAGCAACCACAAAGATTAGGGGACTGGAGGCTAAAACATACGATGAACGGTTGCAGGAACTGGGCATGGCTAGTCTAGTGAAGAGAAGGACCAAGGGAAGGCAGGATAGCATCTTCCAATACTTGAGAGGCTGCCACAGAGAGGAAGGGGTCAAGCTATTTTCCAAAGCAAGGGTCACTAACCTTTCAGACTTCAGGGACCACTAAATTCATAATTTTAAATCCCGCAGACCACTAATATGATTTTTTAAAAAAGATAAATGATATTTAGTGCAATATAAAAATGCAAATAATTTTTCTGCGGACCACCAAAATTTTCTCGCGGACCACCAGTGGTCCATGGACCACCTGTTCCAAAGCACCTGAAGGCCGGACAAGGAATAATGGATGGAAACTGAACAAGAAGAGATTCAACCTAGAAATAAGGAAGAATTTTCTGACAGTGAGAACCATCAATCCATGGAACAGAAGTTGCCTTCAGAAGTTGTGGGAGCTTCATCATTGGAGGCTTTCAAGAAGAGACTGGACTGCCATCCGTCAGAAGTGGTGTAGGGTCTCCTGCTTGGGCGGGGGGTTGGACTGGATGACCTACAAGGTCCCTTCCAACTCTGTTAATCTGTAAATTATTTTGGAACAAAGTAAAATAACTTGCTTAGCATGTTACTGTGTCTCTTGAGTCAAGTGTTGACTCCCTGCAATTGCAATTTTCTTGGTAACATTTTTGGAAGGGATCTGTCCTGTCACCTTCTTCCAATGACAGAATGCGGGATCCAAGGTCACCTAACTGGCTCCGTGCCTAATGCAGGACTGGATCTACTGGTTTCCGTCCTTAAGCAGGGACAGAAACAGGTTCTCTTGGCACATGAGCTACGGTTAAAATGCAGCATGTAAGTTTTGTATCCAATTTCTATCTGCTTATTTAAAATTAGTTATTCAGTTATCTTACAAGGAGAGAAAAATAGGCTAAAATAACAGAAATAAGCAATAAAATACAGTTAATAAAATAATCCTGTGCTGGGGAAAATAACATCATACAGGTAGTCCTTAAATTACAACAGTTCATTTAGTGACCGAAGTTACAAGGGCACTGAAAAAAAGCAACTCATGACCATTTTTCACACTTAACGACCGTTCCATCATCCCTATGGTCACATGATCAATATTCGGACGCTTGGCAACTGACTCACATTTATGACGATTGCAGTGACCTGGGGTCGTGATCCCCTGTGGTGACAAGCCAAGTCCATGGGGAATCCAGATTCACTTAACAACTTGTTAAGTTAACAATTGCAATGATTCACTTAACAACGGTGGCAAGAAAAGTCATAAAATGGCTCAAAAAAACCCTCACTTACCAAATGTCTCACTTAGCAAAATAAATTTTGGGCTCAATTTTGGTCATAAATCAAGGACTACCTGTAGCAGAGCTCTTAGAAATTGCTGGATTTTTTCAAAGAAAGGTAAAATGCAGCTGAGGAGGGGAGCTCAGTGGGGAGGGAGGGGGGTGATCGGCAGTCCTTCCAACCTTTTCCTCTTGGGAAGAATCTCGTCTAAATCAGCCTCCCCCCTCCCCGAAAGGGCCCGGGGCCCCCCCCCCCCCCCATGCCTGGAGAGGAAGAGCAGCCTGGGCCACTTCCCAACCAGGACTCCAATTCAATTCCAACCTTTATTGTCAATGCACAAGATGGGTACAATGAGATTGGATGAGCCTCCCTTCCTGCAGCCCCCCCCTCCAAACACAAAATACACCCCAATGACTTATAGAAGATGAAAAAAGCCCTAACCCAATAGATCATACTAACAGACACACGATCCTTTATGCATATATGTGCCTATATAATATTATATTGCACCAGTGTAGACCTATTGCGCCTTGTGGCCAAACGGAAAACGCCCCATTCAGACGGTTAGGGGTCTCCCCGTGCCCCAGAGCCCCTCCGCCACGCCGGTTGCTTGCGCGGCGGGACCCCGTTCCCCTAAGCATGCTTTGCTCCGGGCCCCCCGCAGGGAAGGGAGCACCTGCCGTGGCGCTTCGGGCGTGGCCAGCGGCGGGACTCAGCCTGTTGCGTGGCTTTTGCCCGGCCGGCTCGTCTACCAGCCACCATTGGCCGAGCCGCGGCTTAGCGCATCCCTCACCCCCCTCCACCTACCTGCTGGGAGGGGCGGCGGCCGGCAGGCATCAGCTGCGCCTCCTCCTCCCCGCCCGGAGCCTCGCAAGGCGGTGACGCAGCAGCAGCAGCAGCAGCAGCGGACGGGCGGGCGTGGAGCTGCCAGCGGCGCCGGACAGGTAAGGCGGCAGCCGGGCGCGGCCCGCAGTGGGGGACGGACGGACGGACGGACGGACGGGGCCTGGAGCTCCCCTCCCTGGCGGGGTGGCGGCTGCAGGGCGGACCCCGCTCTCTCCGCTTCTTCCAGGCGCCCGGAGCTGCCCAGGCGTTGGCGGCCCCGCGGGGCTTTGGCGGCCGGAGCGCAGGTGGGTGCGAGAGGGATGGAGAGGCGCTCCCCGCCAGCCCCCCCCCTTTGCGAGTCCGTTTCCCAAGGGCTGGGGGGGGCACGGCTGACCCGCAGGAAACCAGCAGGCCTCTTTCTAATAGGGGCTGGGGTGGGGGGAGGCCTCCAATTCCGAGGGTCCCACCTGCTGCTCACCCTGGCATCTCTTTTGGAGCATCCCGCCAGGTCCTTGCGCACCTGAGCCCCCCAGGAGATCCCCTGTCTCTGGGTAGCTGATCCCAATAAAGGGGCTCTGCGATATTTTATTTATTGATTTGATTTGATTTCTTTGATTTATATACCGCCCTACTCCCGAAGGACTCAGGGCGGTGAACAGCCAAACAGTAACAATACATAGATACAAAATTTAAAAACAAAGTAAAATCGAATTAAACAATTTGGCCCAGACAAATTAAAACACCCCAATCATTTAAAAACCGATTAAAATTTGCATAATTAAAAAGAGGGAAAAGATTAGGCCAGGCCCGCCTGGTGGAATAAAAAGGTCTTAAGAGCACGGCGGAAGGTGCGCAGATCCAGGATCCTCCGTATCTCCGGGGGGAGCTTGTTCCAGATAGTAGGTGCCCCCACAGAGAAGGTAGTCCTATAGGTAGTCCTCGACTTACAACAGCCCTTAGGACCCCTTTTCCCCAGTTCCGACCTTTGCAGCATCCCGGTGATACAATACGTGATCAAAATTCAGATGCTTGGCAACTGACTCGTATTTATGACCGTTGCTGGGTCCCAAGGTCATGTGATTTTAACCTTCGGACTAGCAAAGTCCATGGGGAAGCCGGATTCACTTAACAACCGGGTTACCCAAGTTACCAACTTGTAGTTATTTGCTTAATGACTGTGGCAAGAAAGATGGGGCAACACTCATTTAGCCAATGTCTCGCTTAACAACAGAAACATGTTGCTCAGTTGTGGTCGTAAGTCTGGGATCTGGTGGCTCAGCAGACTAAAGCACTGTTATTAACATACACTTACATTTGCTGTCTGCAATTACTGCAAGTTTGAATCTCACCAGGCTCAAGGTTGACTCAGCCTTCCATCCTTTCTAAGGTAGGTAAATTGAGGACCCAGTTTGTGGGGGCAATAAGCTGACTTTGTATAAAATATACAAAAGTATGAAGGCTATTGCTTAACACACTGTAAGCCGCCCTGAGTCTCCGGAGAAGGGCGGCATATAAATCAAATTAAAAAAAAAAAAACTTGAGGATTACCTGTACTTGGTGCTTTGATGGCCAAGAGGTGCCCATCCCAGCCGGTGCCTCTTACAGCAGGGACCAAAGGCAGTGCAGAAGGACAACCAGGCCATTCCTGGCAAAGGTGCAGCTGATTCCAGGAGTTCCAGACAGGTGCCATTTAAGGACTGCACTGGCTCAGAAGGCCTGCTCAGTCCTGTGGGTTGGTTAGTTGGTTGGTTTCCTAAACCTTTCTGGCACTGAAATTCACGATTCCACAATCTGCCCTCTGGAGCAGGAGAGGAGAAGTCTTCACCTGTTTCCATGTGATCAGCCTCATCCCCCTTTAAAAGATCAGGAGTCTCCAACCTTGGCAACTTTAAGCCTGGCAGACTTCAACTCCCAGAATTCCCCAGCCAGCTTTAAGCCTGGCAGACTTCAATTCCCAGAACTCCCCAGCCAGCTGGCTGGGGAATTCTGGGAGTTGAAATCTGCCAGGCTTAAAGTTGCCAAGGTTGGAGACCCCTGCTTTAGATGCCTTCCCTTAAGGCTGGTCCCAGTCCCTTTCTGAAAGTTAATTTCCCCATTTCCTGGCCATTCTCTCCTGTTCCTGTCCTCAACTTACGACTGCCACTGGAACCAAAATGTCTGTTGTTAAGCAAGGCTCCTGGATTGCCCCTCACAGACCATCCTGTCCAGTTAGAGGCTCTGCTGGTTTGGGTTGCCTCTGAAACCCTCCACTGCAAAAATGCAGAAGGCAGACAGAGAGACCCTCGTCTCCTGCTTAGGCATGAAGAGATGCCGTCCATGCATGCAGGGAGAGAGAGCAAAGGAAGTCCTGGGTCTGGATTCACACAACCCAATTCACCAAGGTCAAAAAGGGCTGGGTCGCCTGCAGGCAACTGCATTGCTCCAGAGACCCCCTTTCTGTTCTGGAAGTTGTTTTTCTGGAAATCGGTTAGACCACCCCTGTTCCAAGAAGCCATCTGGGAGGCGGAGGAAGGAGGCGAGAACATTGCTAATTCTCCAGAAAGGGTCACCCTTGGAAGGATACATACTGTGCCGCCTGAAAGGGGTGTTGCTTCAGGCGGGGGCTCTCTAGCAGCACAAAGCCTGGCTGAAGAATATCCCTGTTTCCAGCCTGTTTCCAGTGACAGGTGCTGGCCATTGTCTCCTTGACACTTTCAGGACAGACTAAGCAGCAGCTATTTAGAGAATCTCACAGTGTTGCTCTGACACAGGCAGCCTTCATTTGCCTGCTTCTGTTGTGACCCGCCAGCGGATCTGGCAGCAGATTGGGCCAATGAGGAGGTTGGGGAGGAACATGGGCCAGTCCTGGAGTCGGGGGAAGGCTCTGATGAGGGCTCTATATCGGAGGCAGAGAGGAGACCACGGCCGTATGCCAGTTATCAGCTGCCTTCGGGTCAGACATCAGTGAGGCAGATGAACAGCTGGAGCCTGTTCCCAGGGTGCACATGTGCAGAGTTGCCAGACGAAGGGAACAGCTAAAGAACAAGGGTCGACTCAGGAGTAAGGCCACAGGTGGACGATGAACGGCCCCTCCCAGAGGGAATAAAAGAGGAGCGAAAGGGGAGTGGAGTTTGCAGGAGACAATTCGTTCATTCCTGCATTCTTGACAAGTATTGCAGCATCTGAAAGATATCGGCCTGGCCACTTTCCAAGGCTGATAAAGGTCAGTAATTGTGAACTATTTTGAAAGACTGTGGGAGAGGAAAGACTTTGCTGGAGAGGAATTCACTGTCATTTAAATAAAAGGGGTTTATCGGGACGAGGACTTGGCTTTGTGCTGTTGGGGAAGCCTAGGTCAGATCAGCTTCATAGCCAGAGGAAGACTGGGGGAGGGGAGTGAACTTTGCTTTTTTCTCCTTCTTGGGCTTCTTCTTCTTCTTTTTTTCTTTTTCTTTTTTCTTTTTTCTTTTTTCTTTCTTTTTTTTTTTTTTTTGTGCCTCTAGCAGCGATTTCATCTCTTCCTGATCCTGCTGTGACCAAATTTCTTTCTACCGTTTGGGCCAGGAGAACACGTTTAGCTCCTCCTCTGCCTCTCGGTGGGTGAAAGGAGGAGAGGGCCTTCTTCTCCGAGATGGCAACCCGGCGGCTTCGCTCTGGAGACCTGGCCCGCTTTTGCCAAAAGCTCAACCGAGTGAAGACTCTGCAAGATGACCTCATGGAGACCTCCTTCAACCGTTGCTTGAGCACAGTTGATCTGACGCTGCTGGGCATTGGCGGGATGGTGGGCTCTGGCCTCTACGTGCTCACCGGCACTGTCGCTAAAGAGACCGCTGGGCCGGCTATCGTGGTGTCCTTCATCATTGCGGGCATCGCCTCTCTGCTGGCCGCCCTCTGCTATGCTGAGTTTGGTGCCCAGGTGCCCAAGACGGGCTCTGCATACATGTTCACCTATGTCTCGGTGGGCGAGATCTGGGCCTTTCTCATAGGTTGGAATGTCATTCTGGAGTACATGATTGGTGGGGCAGCTGTTGCCAGAGCCTGGAGTGGCTACCTGGATTCCATTTTTGACCACAGGATCAAGAACTTCACGGAGACCCATGTTGGCATTTGGCAGGTACCTTTCTTGGCCCATTATCCGGACTTTTTGGCATCTGGCATTGTGCTCATCGCCACGGCCTTCATTTCCTTCGGTGCCCGGTTCTCCTCTTGGCTCAACCACGTCTTCTCGGCCATCAGCATGGGAGTCATTCTCTTCATCCTGGTGATGGGATTCATCCTGGCCAGGCCCCAGAACTGGAGTGCCAGTGAAGGAGGATTTGCCCCTTATGGCATCTCTGGGATCATGGCCGGCTCAGCCACGTGCTTCTATGCCTTTGTGGGCTTTGATGTTATTGCCACGTCCAGCGAGGAGGCCCGGAACCCGGAAAAGGCCATTCCGAGGGCCATCGCCATCTCACTGAGCCTTGCCACCGGAGCATATATCCTTGTGTCCGTAGTGTTGACGCTGATGGTGCCCTGGCATTCTCTGGACCCCGATGCAGCCTTAGCCGACGCCTTCTACAAGAGGGGTTATTCCTGGGCAGGTTTCATTGTGGCCACCGGTTCCATTTGTGGTAAGTTCCCTTATGTCACAGATACATTCTGGATGGCACCCTGGGTGCCGTTTCTGCCCCTTCCCTTTTCTCTAGCCTTTCTCCTAATGTGGTCTGACCAAAGTGGGCTCCTCTAGGTGGGCTGGCACAAGACTCAGGGGCTGATAGGAGAGACCAGGACATGGTCCCCTTCTAGGAATGAGAATGGAATGAGCATTGCTGGGGGCAGTCAGCTAACATAAGAGATTATGCAAAGATGCAACTACACCTAATCCTAAAATAACTGTGCTTAATTCTAAATGAGTAGGTTGGGACCTGTGATTAAACCTAACAGAAAGGCACCAGGTTAGAGAGAAAGCTGCCTCTATGCTAGGCCATGGGTCTTCAACCTTGGCAACTTTAAGACTTGTGGACTTCAACTCCCAGAATTCCTCAGCCAGCAAGTTGAAGTCCACAAGTCTTCAAGTTGCCAAGGTTGCCAAGGAAAGGAAAGACTAACAAGGATTTTAAGCTTGCGTGTTTCTGTCCCTCTCTGTCAAGTTAGCATTCAGAATAGCCCTGGTTGGAGATCGGGGCATCTGGGTTTAAAAAAAGGAGGTAGAATATGTGTCAACCATCCCACTCAATCATCTAGCAAAGAAAGACTGCTGGCTATTTGTTCTTGCCAAGAATATTTTATTTATTTATTTTATTTATTTTATTGGATTTATATACCGCCCTTCTCACGAAGGACTCGGGGCGGTGAACAGCCACAAAATAAAACACAAATACAAAAATTTAAAATAGAATAAAAACGAATTTAATAATTTGGCTGAGACAAATTTAAAATACCCCATAATTTAAAAACAAATTAAAATTTACATTTAAAAAGGGGAGAAGATTTAGGCCAGGCCAGCTTGATGAAATAAAAAAGTCTTAAGCGCGCGATGGAAGGTGCGCAGATCCGGGATCCTCCGTATCTCCGGGGGGAGCTCGTTCCAGATAGCAGGTGCCCCCACAGAGAAGGGTCTCCCCCTGGGGGCCGCCAGTCAACATAGTTTGGCCAACGGCACCCGGAGGAGCCCCTCTCTGTGGGAGCGTACTGGCCGGTGGGAGGCTATTGGTGGTAGCAGGCAGTCCCGTAGGTAACCAGGTCCTAAGCCATGGAGCGCTCTAAAGGTGATAACCAAAACCTTGAAGCGCACCTGGAAGACCACCGGGAGCCAGTGCAGCTCGCGCAGGAGAGGTGTTACATGGGAACGCCACGTCGCTCCCAGAATATATACTGAAGTGTCAGCCTCAGCTTGCCTGCTTCAGCTGCCATAAGAAACGGGGAGGGATTAGGTATGGAGCAAAGGGGGGGAAGAGAGCAGGAGGGGGTTTGTCTTTGTAGGAGGGGACTTCGTGGGAATCAAAACTGTATTTTCAAAAGGGGACGGCTGACCAACTGTCTCGACATTCCTGATGGATGACGCTGCCAGACGTGTTGCCACCTGACCTTTGAAGACCTTTGGGTTGGCTGAGGATTTATAAACACGAGGGGGGGGAGAAGCTTAGTAGATGCATTTCGTGCGTTTTGCTCACTTCCAGCTTAAGTGGTTAAGTGGTTACAGAAGTAGCGACCAATGGTGTAGAAGGAGGGTGCTGCCCACCCTCCAAACAAGACCGCTGCAGCAAGACTCACTGACCTACAGGCTGGTCTTCTGCAGAAAAGGAGCTGACCTGCAGGCAGGGGTCTATGGCAATTCGCCACACCCAACTTGCCATGGCCATCTCGCCACAGGACCCCTCCCTGCAGGACAAGAGTTCACTAATATCCAAGAAATGGTGGACTCGAGTCATTAAAGAAAGGGTGAAAAAGGAGGGACAGAATGAAATGTGAATGGCAAGAAATCCATTTAACAACCCCATAATTCCTTGCGGGGTGGAGTCTGGGCAACTGAATGGAGCTAGCTAGAGTGTTTACTGGCCGGATGCCCTTCCTGTCACCAATGCGGAGTTTTGTTCAGCAGATATATCTTCATTGTGCCCAGAGAGAGAAATATCTGCCTCTACCTAGGATCGAACTCACAGCCTCCTGATTGTGAGGCGAGAGCTCCACTTCTAGGCCACTGCACCACTCCAATGGCAAAAATTAAAATATTTTTTAGTTATTTTAAATAATTAAATAGAATTGTTAAATTCAGAGCCTTGGTGGCACAACAGACTAAAGTGCTGTTAACTAGCACCAGCTGCCTGCAATTACCGCAAGTTCAAATCTCACCAGGCTCAAGGTTGACTCAGCCTTCCATCCTTCCGAGGTAGGTAAAATGAGGACCCGGATTGTGGGGGCAATAAGCTGACTTTGTATAAAATAGAACACTGCTTGGGGGGGCCAAAAATCCCTACTAAGCAGGTATATACAAAAGTATGAAGGCTATTACATAACGCATTGTAAGCTGCCCCAAGTCTCCGGAAAAGGGCAGCATATAAATCGAACCAATAAATAAATAAATAAATAAATTGTCCGTGGCGAGTTGTCCTGCGCCAAGTTGCCTGTGGTGAGTTGGCTGCGGCAAGTTGTCCCATTCCCTGCAGGCACCTCCATCATCTGCAACGCTCCCCAATCCTCTTGGAGGCCCATTGTGACCACAAGCTTGTCTCTCCTCCTCAGCCATGAACACCGTTCTCCTCAGCAACCTCTTCTCCCTGCCTCGGATTGTCTACGCCATGGCCGAGGACGGTCTCTTTTTCCAGGTGTTTGCCCGTGTTCACCCCCGCACGAAGGTGCCCGTGGTGGCTATCGTGGTGTTTGGCTTCCTCATGTCTGTCCTCTCGTTCATCTTTGACCTGGAGGCCCTGGTCCAGTTCCTCTCCATCGGCACGCTCCTGGCCTACACCTTTGTCGCAGCCAGCGTGATCATCCTGCGCTTCCAGCAAGCCAAGGCTGAAGATCAGGAGGCCGCTGGGAGGAGCGAGGCCGCCCCGGCACCGGCTGAGCCTGCGGGCGCCACCGAACCCAAGGAATACGAGTCTTTCTCAGATAAGCTGCAGCTGGTGGGCAAAGAGAAGGCGGGGAGCTTGCGCGAACCAGGGCAGCTGAAGGCAGCCTTTGAACCCTACTTAGAGTTCCTCAGTGATTTCTACCCTGGGGAAGTGGTCACCGTGGCCGTGGTGGTCCTCATGGTGTCGGCCCTCTGCTTGGCATCCATCCTGGTCTTTGGAAAGACACAGCTCCACCTGCCCACCTGGAGTTACACCTTGCTCATCCTGCTCTCCAGCCTGGCTTTCACGGGCAGCCTTGTCCTCATCAGCGTCCATGAGCAGAAGCCGACCAGCCGGACGTTCCAGGTGAGGGAGGCGGGCTCGGCAGTTGCCGTGGTCTGATGCAAGAGGGGGTGGGTGCAGGGGTGGGTTCTAAATTTTTTTATTACCGGTTCTGTGGGCGTGGCTTATTTTGTGGGCATGGCTTGGAGGTCATGTGACTAGGTGGACGTGGCTAGATGGTCAGAGTCATTTCTGGAAAGTCCTCACACTTATGACCAGTCCTCGCACTTACGACCCGACTCATTTGTTTGCTTTTAACACTGATCAGCTGTAGGGCGGCCCTTTGAAGTCCCGCGGCAAGAGTTTAAACAGTTTTTTTCCCTCTAGTCATCAGCTGGGACTCAGGAGGCAGCAATAGATTGGGGGTGGGGCCAAATAAAAGGTAAGAATAACGGGGGGGTGGGAGGGCAGGGGGGAGAACCGGTTCGGTGACGTCATATCGTCACCGCTACCTGGTTCGGCCGAACCGGACCGAACCAGGAGGAACCCACCACTGGGTGGGTGTGAACTGGGGCGGAAAACACATCACCTTCCCCAAACCCGGCTAGGCCAGAGCAGGCTGCCCTTAGGGTTGACCAAGTTGAAATTCTGCAAGGAAATCTGATCTCAAATTGGGCTGCGGCCACCTGGCAGGGCAGGGGGACAAGCCCTTCAATCCAGCCAGCAGAGATTGGGAGGCTTCCTGGCTGACGATGCCCCAGAGCTTATGGAGCCATGGTTGATCGGGTGCTACCAAATGATTCGGTGACCACATAGATGGGTTTTCTCCACGAAAATGAGTAACACGGTTTAATTTTAGGAGAGCATGTTGTGCGAACACTGTATCCACAGTGCAGCTTCGGTTTCCCCCAAAGTAGGTCCTTCGGCACTTCCTTTGGAACTCCTCCCTGCTGCTTTCTGCAAATAAGGTTTTCATTTCTTTTGGGAGACAAAACCTCATTGTTTGTCAGACCATGATGGGCCAAATCCTGTGCCAAGAGGCCTTCGGGCACCAAAGCCCTTTTGCACATCAGTTGGGAGCTGAGCAGCGGCCCCAAGAATGCACAAGTCTCCCAGGCAGCCCTAACCAGCCTGCTGGTCCTCTGCCAGCAATGTGCTGCGGCTGCCAAAAGAGCCAATGCAGTCCTAGACTGATCAATAGAGAGCGAGCCTCAGGATGATGTGAAGTTGACATTTTATGCTGCACTGGTAAGACTACGCTTGGGACACTGCATCCAGTTCTGATCAGCACAATACAAAACAGACACTGAGGCCCTAAAAAGAGTGTAGAGAAGGTGTTGTGGCCTGTTGGCCACCGGCCCCTCCAGCAGCTGAATCAGAAGAGGAGGAGAGGGAGCTGTGGGAGTCAGGGCCAGCATCAAGGCAACCTGAGAGCTCCAAGGGGGAAGAGGGAAGGGAGCTGGCAGAGAGAAAGAGACAGAGGCGGAGCTTGGGCCATCCATCAGCCCTCAGATGGAGAGTCAACAGCCCCCAGGTCTGGAGGTGGCTGATGAGGAAGAGGAGGAACAGCTGGGTCCAGTGCCTGATGCACAGAAGGCTGAGGAGAGGAGAGCCAGGGAAATCTATGGGCCGGTCCTTGGGACGGAAGAGCCACTACTGTTAGCGAAACCCCACCCTAGCTCTGGAGATAAAAGGCAGGGGGAGATGAATAGGTGTGGCAGACAATTATTCATCTCCCTGCCGGACAGACTTCTTAGTCTGTTGTGTGTGTGAGAGAGAGACTTTTTGTTGGGGCTGCTGACGCTCCTAAAAAAGGGAACTTTTATTTAACCACAGAGGGTTTGTCGTGTTTGGGACAACAGCAACAAATAAGGGATCTGAAGAATAAACCATATGATGAATCCCTAAGGGTACTAAGTACCATGAATGAAGGAGAATATACATGTCCCAAGATAATGTTGCAGGATCCAATCTGGGTCAGTCACTGGGACCAGAGGTTTATCATCCAAGCTTTTGAACTTGTGCTGGAGCCAATTTTGGGGAAACGTCTCCGTGTACAGAGAAGTTCCCTGAGGATTGGTTCCAGCATGAGTCCAAAACGGGTGGGCTTCAAAATTTTTAGCAAGGGGTTCTCTGCCAGGTACTGGGTGGGCGTGGCCATGGTGGGCGTGGCCTAGTCCGGGCTCCAGAGACTTTTTTTTGAGCCTCCGGGAGGGTGAAAACAGCCTCCCCAAGCTCCAGAGGCCCTCTTTCCAGCCTTCCCAAACTTCTGGTAGGCCCGTTTTTCAACCTCTCCGAGGCTCCGTGCGCGCCCTGCACTTACCTGCATCTAAAACGGGCTGCGTGAGGACTCCTGGGAGGGGCGGGGTGGGCAGGACCAGCCAGGAGTGGGATTTGGGAGTTCTTTGAACTGCACGGTATCTTAGGTCCAGGTTCTCCCGAGCCCCTGCGAATACTCAGCCGCCCACCCCTGGTCCGAAAGCTCAGAAGACAAAACTTCTGGTCCCGGCGACTAACCCGGATTGGATCCGGTACTAGGTATGACTAACCTAACAAAGAGAAGAATTAGGTGCGATACAATAGCTGTCAATTTATTTTCCAAAACACCTGAGGGCAGGATAAGAAGCTTCCTAAAAAAAGATCCAACCTAAAATGAAGGAGAAATTTCCTGAAAGAACAAGGAATCCGTGGGACGTCTTATCTCCATGGGATGCTCCATGACTGGAGGTTTCTAAGAAAAAATTGGACAACCATTTGTCTGGGAAGGAATAAGAACTCCTGCCTTGGGCAGGGTGGAGGGGCTTGACTAGAAGACCTCCAGGTCCCTTCGAGGCCTACGATTCTATGACCCCTGCCCTCCTTCCTTTCCAGCTTCCTCTGGTGCCACTGACGCCTGCCCTGAGTATTTTCATCAACCTCTTCCTCATGCTGAAGCTCAGCTACATGACCTGGCTGAGGTTCTCCATCTGGTTGGTGGCAGGTAAGTACAAAAAGGCGCACCTGGAATGGGGGTTGGAAGAAACACAGGAAGGGGGAGCAAACTTGGGATGCGGAGGGGCGGGGGGGGGGGTGCATCCAAAGCAGGACAAGAAATAAATAAATAAACAAATAAATAAAAATAATAAAATAATAAAATAAAATAAAATCATAAAATAAAATCATAAAATAAAATAAAATAATAAAAACAAAACAAAATAAATAAAATAAAATAATAAAATATAAAATAAAATAAAATAAAATAAATAATAAAATAAAATAATAAAATAAAATAAAATAAAATAAAATAAAATAAAATAAAATAAAATAATAAAATAAAATAAAATAAAATAAAATAAAATAAAATAAAATAAAATAAAATAAAATAAAATAAAATAAAGCCAGGCAGAGACATTGGCAAGGAGGTCAGAAAGGTTAAGGGGACAGTCATAATACAGACCATGTAATGCAGGTAGTCCTCGTCTTATGACCACAATGGGCCCCAAAATTTATCTTCTTAGGGGAGATACTTGTTAAGTGAGTTTTGCCCCATTTTACGACTTTTTTTGCCACGCTTGTTAAGCGAATTGCTGCCGTTAAATTAAGTGAATCTGGTTTTCCCAGTGACTTTGCTTGTCTGAAGATCGCAAAATATAATAACGGGACCCCCGGACACAGCAACTGTCATAAATATGAACAAGCTGTCAAGCTTCCGAATGTAAATCACATGACCATGGGGATGCTACAATGGTCATGTGTGTGAAAAATGGACATACCTCACTCTTTTCAGTGCTGTTGTAAATTTGGCCACTAAACGAACTGTTGTAAGTCAAGGACTACAGTAGTGGCCCAAATTGTGGAAACCTTTTGGGAAAAGTGTATTTTCTAAAACTAGCTAATAACATCACTTTTTTTGGGAGTAGCACCATAAAGTTATAGATCAATGGAAAGGTAATTTAATCAAGAATGTAATGCAATAATTTTTATGAAGGATTTGATATTAGAATAGCAGTTGCAATATAAAGAAGAAAAGTGAAACAGGTAGAAAAAATGAGATTTACAAAGATGATCACTATGTCAGTTAATACTTCGTTGGGTAACCTTTAGCATGAATTATGGCCTTACAACATCTTCCCATGGAGTGAACCAAGTCTTTTAGTTCTGCAGCTGTTATCACGTGAAACCAATATTGAATGATGGCTTCTATTAACTGGGTTTTATTTCTGGGTCGCTTCTGACTAACCAGTTTCTTTAGTGGCTCCATAGATTTTCACTTGGGTGAAGGTCTGGGTTATTCCCAGGCCATTCCAGCAGTGGAATAGGATTGTCTTGAAACTCCAAAAAAAAAGTGGTGTTATTAGCCATCAAACCTCAAAAATACACTTTTCCCATGAGGTTTCCACAATTTTGGCCACTACTGTACCTGCACTCGAGGTCCACCACATGAGATAACTCTGGACCGCCTGTTTTGATAAGAAAGAACCTCAGCAAAATTATGGGCTAGGCAGGACAGATGGTCCTGCAAGGTGAGATTGAAGGGGGCTTCCGCAGCTTCCGTGGGGCGCCTTGAAGCAGGTCTAGGCTGCCCAGACCCGAGGGATGCAGCCCCTTGGAGCGCCTTTCTGGGTTCGGGATGGAGGTTGATCTGGCTCTTCTTCATCGTAAGAGCCTTGGTGATGCAGCAGACTAAAGTACTGTTAAGTAGCACCAGCTGCCTGCAATTACTGCGAGTTCAAATCTCACCAGGCTCAAGGTTGACTCAGCCTTCCATCCTTCCAAGGTAGGTAAAATGAGGACCCGGATTGTGGGGGCAATAAGATGACTTTGTATAAAATAGAACACCGCTCAGGGGGGGCCGAAAGCCCTACTAAGCAGGCATATACAAAAGTATGAAAGCTATTGCTTAATGCATTGTAAACCGCCCTGAGTCTCCGGAGAAAGGGAGGCATATAAATCGAACCAACAAATAAATAAATAAATAAATTGTCCTTCCAGGCCTGCTGGTCTACTTCAGCTACGGCATCTGGCACAGCAAAGAGAACCTGCGGGACTCCCCGACACAGGACGTCCGAGCCCGCTACGTGGTCTTCCCTAGCAGCAGCCTGGAGGAGACGGTGCAGACAGTGCAGCCCAGGACAGAGCCTGCCCAGGGCCTGCCGGATGCCCAGGAGAGTGGCGAAGAAGCCAAGAGGTGACCTGGGAAGATCCAGCAGAGGCCACGCTTCCCTCATCCCCCCTCCATCCTGCCCGTTGCTGTCCAGTCTGGGCAGAGAAGAGCGCAGGCAGGAAAGTCTGGAGAGAAACCAAGCTTTTACTGCCAAGAGGGGGGCGACCCCCACTACTCCTCTCTTACCTGGCCTCACTTCTCTGACTGGACTCATCCATTTGCCGGACACCCTTGAGAAATGGCTCCTTCGCTTGTGTCCCATGCTTGCAGCCCAGCTAAGCCGCCCTCTTCCAGCAAAGGGGTCCCATCCGGTGCCTCCTTTGTGCCATCTACTTGCTCCCCTCCCTCTCTGGCTTGCCCTCCAAGAGGCAGTGCCTGGCCTGCCACTTCAGGGTCTTGATAAAATCAGTGGGAGGAAGGCAGGGGGCGTAACGTATGCCAGGATGCTGCCCGTTTGAAGGGCTCCTCCAGGGCAGAGACAGAGCTGTCAGAATGATGGACTAACTCTGAGACAAGCTGATTTTTCAGTTTCTGTCTCAAATGGTACCAAAAGTGACCCCGGCACATCTGAGAGCCCGAGCATCTCTCTCTTGCACAGACCCTGCGATGTGGTGATCATACCCATCCAGCTGACAAGAGTGTTCAGGGCTGGAACAAGAGCAGGCGTTAAAAAGTGTGGTAAGCACACTTCCTCCTGCACAAGCTTGGCCCATCAAGATGTGATGGGGACAACCTGGTGGGTAGCACCACCGACGGAGAGAGAGAGAGAGCAGGAGAGCCAGGAGAGCCCACCAATTGCAACGAGGCATTGCCTGCCGTTGGCCACAGCAGGAGCAAACCAAGGCTGGTCAAGGAAGTCAACATGGCAGTCTTGACAAGGCAATAGGAGGTCCTTCAACTCTATAATGGTGGCCACCTTGATTTTTTTGGACTCTTCTCTTCTTCCCCTGGATAGCCCTAGATCAGGGGTCTCCAACCTTGGCAATTCTGGAATTCTGGAAGTTGGAGCCCACAGGTCTTAAAGTTGCCAAGGTTGGAGACCCCTGCCCTAGAGCAAAGCAGCCCCGATGTGGAGAGAAACAGTGGAAGGAGATGGATGGGCAAGAAGGCCAACGCTGGACTTCCCCAGAAAGCGTTGGCAAAGATTACAATGGGTGCCTCCTCGTTTCCTCGGAGAAGCTGGGAGAAGGAGAACAGCTGAGTTCACACAACACCCTACCCCAGGGTTCTTTGCTTTGCCAAATACCCTGAACGACCCAATCATAGGTTAGCACAACAGGCTAAATCACACACAACCATCACACAGACAGAGAGACTGCCATGCTAAAATTCTCCCAGCTGGACCTGTGGGGTAGATACAGCTTGTAATTGCCCTGCCTTGGTGTGCTGTCTGAACACGGCCTCTCGGGTGGCTCTGCTCTTCCCAACGTGTTGTGAGAACACAAAGAGGCCCTTTCTGGCCCGTGGAACTCTGCTGGTTGGAAAGCCCTACAGGGAAGGTGCTTGGAACCAGCCTGGCCTGCGGGGTTTGCCTTCCTCCTGCAGGATTGCAAGGGGGGCTGCCCCCCCTCCCGCACAGACCCTCACCCAAAGGGGCAACAGCATGTGCTCCCTGGAGGATGCACAGAGCACATAGGGGTGGTGGGCCCGTGAGAAGGGGCTGCCTCTAGGTCCATGAAGGAGGGCCGGAGCAGGGGGGAAGCAACATTTTGGGAAAAGAGGAAATGCCTGCTAGGACTTCTGAAGCAATTGGGGGGGGGGGAGAGAAGACAGAAGTCAAATTTCATTTTGGGACAATAATGTAGAGGAAGATCTTGCTTCCCTTTTTGCAGCTTTCCTCCCTGGGAGGGGCTGTCCAGGGTATGTCCTGCCTGGCAGCCCCAGCTCCTTTCCCACTGCGCACTTCCTCTGCTTCCTGCTTAACTGTGTGCTGGGTGTGTGTGTGTGTGTGTGTCTCTGCCCTGGCCACATCCTCCTCCTTTTCCTTTTGTGTGGTGACTTTTGTGCGATGGCATTTGGCCAAGAAGCCAGCCAACCAACGATAAAAGACTTGTTTCTACTGGGCGGCGAGTTCTTCAAGTGACGTTGTGGTGCAGATTACTTCAGCCAGCAATGTAGTTTGCAGGCAGCCTTTCCCCACTTCGGAAATCCTAAATCCACACCCGTCCTTGTAAGTGACAAAAAGGGAATGGTGTTAAATATAGGAGGAGCAACTGTCTCAAGTGTTAATATAAATTTCAGGTTTCTTACAGCAAAGGTGTGGCTTGCCCGAGCTCTACCTTTTGGGGGAGCGCACCCTTTGCACATCATTCCAAAGACAGAGGCAAGGCCTTGTGCCCACCCACCCACCCTACTCACCTCAAGCTCCCTTGCTCAGAGGTGCCTCAAGGCTGAGCTTTGCCACGATGTGGTTCTCCATTCCTTCCAGTGGTGAAATCCTGCCAGTTCTATCTGGTTCGTGCGAACCGGTAGTGGCAGAAGCGCAAGGGCTCCACCCACCCACCTGGACATTACTTCCTGGTTAAAACCAGGAAGTAACAATGTCCAGGTGGGTGGGTGGAGCCACCCGTTTTTTACCCTCTGCATGCGCAGGTTTTACGCATGTGCAGAAGGTCAAAAATTGGACATGATGATGGGGCGCTTTCGAGCACTTCCAAACTAATAGGGAAGGTAAGATTTCACCCCTCATTCCTTCCCACTTGGATTACCCCACAACAGTCATCACAAGAAGTTTAATAAGGTTGCGCTTCAGTAGAAAACTTTTTAAAGAATCCCGCTTGTGCATAAAATTACAAGGCATGAATAGGTTTTAAAAGATCACCTCATTCTTTCTATAAAATAGTGGCTTCTAATAAAATCTTTCCGTAAGATTTTTCTTGCAGAGCTATCACACCCACTTGGTGGCATTCAAAGGACTGTAGCACACAGCATCAAACATTTCTCCCATGCGGTCCTCCGGCCTTCAAACCCCAGGAATTTAAAAAAACAAAAACCTGTAGGGGACTAACTGGTTAAATGGCCTGATCAGTTAATTAATAGCAAAATCAGTGCACAGCTCTGGGTACTTCATTCTCAAGGGGAACAAAACCCCAATGATTTTGCTAGTTCTTCTAAATTGGTGTGTGAACTTCCATCCTCGCAATGCCAGATAGAAGTCACTTTTTGATTCCAATCTTCCTAGTTAGGAACTACTAACTACATGATGCATTTGAGGCTGGTTTCGAACCCATGCCCAGTAGTTTTTATTAACTTCCACATCAAAATAAAGATACTTGTAGGTACCTTAAAGTCTGTCATCTACCAAAGCTTATGGAATAGCAGATCTTTAAAGAATTACTAGATTTCTTGCCATTCTTTTTTTTTTTTTTTAACCTCCTTTCTGAGGTGTGTCTCTTCTAGAACAGATTCATGAATATTGATCTTTCCTCTCTGGCCCATTTTTTCTGTTGAAGCATATAAAGACCCTTGTGCTAATTCACCCAGTGAATTTTATTTATTTACTAGACAACCCGTGCCCTGTTGGGTCATCATTTTAGAAATATTTCCTTGCCAGATTCCTCAGTATCTCTTTAAGAATGGCAGAGCTTCTAAAGGACTTGAAAAGTTCTTAAAAATTCAGGATAACATTCAGATATGTATCGGCCTTGAAAGTAGCCCGTGTTGAATCGTATAGCACACTCAAATATTGACCACAGGAAATGTTTTATGACAGTTTTTCATTATTACATAAAATGCTAATTTTTATGTCATAAAATGCTGTATGAAATTTGCCAAATTTCAGTTCTACAAGAGTTTTTATGTCCAGGGGTGGGTTCTACTTACCTTTACTACTGGTTTGCAACGGGAGCACACGTGTGCTCTTCTGCGCATTCGCAGATCACCCACGATGATGTGCCTCCCGCTGGTTTTACTACCGGTTCTATGGAGCAACCCACCACTGGTTATGTCCCAGATTTTGGAGACACATTCTGTAAATTAGCCCATCTGAAGCATACTGGCTGAAAAAGTTTTGGCTTATGATGTACCTTTTCACCCAGCTAGAGGTTACAGACCCCAGAGTTTTAGGGATGTGTATAGATTTAGATTTATTTATTTATTAAAATTTATACAGCCGCCCATCTCGCACAAAGTGATTCTGGGCAGAATACATCTCAATTTAACAACAATACAATATTTCTCTGACAAGATTGGCAAAACTGAAGTTTACAAAAAGAAAAATAAAAAATAAAATAAAAAGAGAACTGGAATGAGATACATTATTTACTACAAATGGCCCCATATCGAGTAATCAGCCTGGAAGTAATCCACTGCTTGACCCACACATTTTTTTGGGCCGGGTGGGGGTACCCTTCTTCTCTCCCCAACCCTTGCTGCCTTCTTCCTTCAGCTTTCTCTCGGCTCCACCCATTTCTGGCCTCCAGAGCCTGGGGAGGCCGTTTTTTGCCCTCCCGGAGGCTTGAGGAAAACCTCCGGAGCCCGGGGAGGACAACCCCCCCCCCCCGCAACTGTGGTGCAGGAGGCTGACTAGGCCACGCCCACCATGGCTACGCCCACCCAGGTCACCTTCACCTGCTGGCCATCAGGGCTGGGCTGCCTGAGATGTGGGGGACGAGACTACTTCCTCTGGGACCATGTCCAGCCAGGAAGCATGCTGTACAATCCTGGCAATCCTGGAAATGTTTTCAGGGGAAGCTGCGCAAATTGTGCAAGAGGAAAGGTTGCTGTTGAGGATGGCACACAAAACAATTTGGCTAAAAGTACCGGGACAGAGTTTTGGATAGAAGAGCAGTTTCCAAACTCCACAGAATGCATCCAAAGTTCCTGCCCAGATTTTTATCGGCTTCCTGTTAGCCTCAATTGAGGTCGGCTCAGACAATCACTGGAGGGTTTTGCCTCGAAGGGAAAATTGCTAGGAGTGCTTTCGCCTCCTGTGCCAACGAATCCCCTCATATTGCTATGAGCAGGATGCCAAAATCCTTGGAAGCAGATCCCTGCCACAATCATTCAGCATATGAAAAGGCGCATTTCACACAACATGCTGGTTCTAGCACAAAGAGAAGCATGGAGGTGGGGAGGGGATCACAAAGCCTGGACCTCTATCAAGCATCACCAGACGTTTCATGGGGTGCTCCCATCTGGGACGTCAACAAGAAAAGGCGGATCTTCCAGGGCCACCAGGAATCTCTTTAGGAAACCTGCAAATGTGAGAAGACGCACAAGTCCAGACAAGAAATAATGGATGGAAGCTGAACAAGGAGAGATTCAACCTGGAAATGAGGAGAAATTTTCTGACAGAACAATCAACCAATGGAACAGAATTTCAAGAAGAAATTGGACTGCCATTTGTCAGAAATGGTCTCCTGCTTGGGCAGGGGGTTGGACTAGATGACCTACAAGGTCCCTTCCAACTCTGTTAATCTGTATCTGTAAGTTGACCAAGGAGTCAATGGCACTGCTTTCCAAACTTGGCAACTTTAAAGACTTGTGGACTTCAGCTTCTAGAATTCCTCAGCCAGCATGGAATTCTAGGAGTTGGAAGTCCAGAAGTCTTAAAGTTGCCAAAGATGGGGACCCCTGTATTTAGGGCATCTAGCCATGGGAAGACAAGCCGGTTCCCCAGAGAAGCGAAGTTACTTGCTGCACCTTTGAAAGTTTTCTTCTGAACAAGCGAGTGGTTCCATCATGGTGGATCAGAAGGCTCGGGAAAAGTTCTTGGACAGCTTCACACGCCCGGACAAAGTCCTGCTTCACCACAATTGCCTGAAAAGAGGAATTCCGGGCAGTGAGCAGGTCGGAGCCAAAGCTGCCGCTGTCTCAGGCCAGATTAGAACAGAGCAAGGTTCCCTTGCAACCCAACAAACAGCCACAAAGCAAGGCTGCTTCTGGCCAGGGGAGGGAGGGAGGGAGGCAGCCAGGTGAGGCAGGTTCACCTGAAGACAGGGACCGCACCAGCTGCGGCCTCTTCTACCTGAGAAGGACAGAAATGATCCTTCTTGGATCAGACCAAGGCCCGGTTGGTGCTGTGCGGTGTGGAGCTGGAAACCTCATCTTCGGGTCTTAAGGAAACGGCCTTCCCTGTCTATGCTCCCCCCACTTGGCCCTGCTGCATTCCAGTCGGTAAATATGCTTTACCTTCCGTAAGGCATTAGCCTAACCTTAACCTAACTTTGCAACCTACTCTAGGGTTGGAAGCAAAGCAGGGGCAGGTCTGCTTGATACCCGGATGAGGGACCAGAAGGAAATTAGGAAGGCGAACAGGCATCCTGGAAGAAAGAAATGCAAACTACTTCTGAGCCGTGGCTGCCCTTCCTTTCCCGCACTCTGTGCAGTTGCATTAATTTCACAAATGCATTCTTCCCTTTAATCTCCTGCCCCTCCTGCCTACAGGCCTGCTCATCTGCTCACAGCACAACCCAGCATTTCTTATCTGGATTTCCCTTTACTTTGTGTGCCACTCACAACTTCACTGCCCACAAATCACCATCCTTTGGGAACTCACAACGAAGGGTGTTCCGTTCCCCATCCATTTTGACAATCCTGCATCGTCATTTCAGATCAGCCAGTTTTTTCCCCTCTTTGACCAACACCTACTGAAAAATCCAGAAGTTCCATTGCAGCTCCGGGATTTGTTCGAATGGCCTTGAGGATCCCGAGGCAGCCTTCGTTCTGGATGGGGTTCCTGGACATCTGCAGGGCACAGGAAAGAAGAGGGGCCCACCCTCTGCATTAGCTACCTGGCAGGGCTATTTGGATCTCAGTGTCACCTTCCCAAAAGCTGCTCACCTTGAGTCTCCTCAGGATCTTGTTTCCTTTCAGGCCCAAAGCCAGCGCGAGGGCGCCTTCCAAGGCAATGCGATTATTCCTGAGAATAAAGAGAGAAGGCACTCAAAAGTCCCCCCACTTTCTCTCTTCCTGCATGCCCATCCACGCTGGCCCACACTAGCTTGCTGTTGGAAGTAAGTTTAAAAATATATATATCACAGGATCTACCTGCTATGACAAAAGATCAAATCTTCCCTCTTGGTCAATACATTTAAAACACTGTAGAGTTTGGTTCGGGTCTAAAGAGCCCAATTAGGGAAGCAGGAAAGGAACTAAGTTGCAAACATTCCCTTCTGAGGAAAACACTCCCGAGTGGCTGCCCAAATTTGGCTCAATTTCTTCCCATAATCGCATGAGTTCCTAGTCCCGTGGTGGCAAACCTATGGCATACGTTCCAGAGGTGGCACACTCTCTGTGGGCACAGCTCTGCCGTGCATATGCATGTGCCTCCCGTTGACCAGCTGGTCTTTGGGTGTCTGCAAAGCATGCATGGGGGAGACACATGAGTGGGGAAGCATGTGTCAGGTTTCGATGTCGTCTCAAATAAAATAAATTGCATTTCCAAACAAATAGTCTTTGAAGAAATCTTTCATTTTATTAAGCACGACAACCTGTCCCTGATTGTGGCGTAGCCAACACTGACTTCCTGACCCCAAACCTTCCCTTTCCGTTCCCCAATTCTCGGCGTCTCATTGGCCCTCTTCCAAATCACTCTCCCGATATCTAGTACTTCAGCTCCCAGGAATGTCCCCCCTCCCATCTCATCTCCTAGGGGACATTATCTTCAGGGAAAATAAGTAGGTGAGAAGTCAAGCGTCCTCTTGCCAGCTGCCCCTTCTTCTCCTTCTTATGTCAGCACTAGAGTAAATGCAGGTTGAAGTGCTGACAGCATGCATGCGAGGGGGGCAAGGCGCATGCTGGGGGCGCATGCACATGCACAGGGGTGGGGCGCACATGCATGTGCGGAGACGGGGTGCATGCACAGGCCACATGCGCATGCATGGGGGTGGGGCACATGTGGGGGGCGCACGTGCATCGAGCGGCAGGGCACATGCGCGGGGACCCACATTGCATTTTGAGGGTTCGCGCATACACACTTTAGGCACTCAGTCTGGAAAAGGTTAGCCATCACTGTCCTAGTCAGTACGTAAGATGTCCAACTAAATTCCCAGCATTTCCAACTAGATTTCCATGTTCTGTGTTCCATTTCCAGTAGCTGAACTACTAGTAGTTGAAGAAGGAAAAAAACTTTGCTTTTTCCTGAGGCTCCGTGAGTTTTTGCCCCACACAAGGCAGCTTCATCTCTGCGAGGATTGCCAAGAAACATTAAATTGAGAGAGTCTGGAAGTGCAGCAGAATCCTATGCAAACAGTCATCCAGCAAAGAGGGAGAGGGCAGCCCAGGCCCCAAGCTGGCTATCCACAATTTGACGGAATTCTGCAACCCCCACACCTTTCTTCTGGCCCTGTTCTCTGGAGGAAAAGAGAACAAGACTGCTGGATTTTTTTTTGCATGGCAGCCCACGGTTATCTGAAAGCAGGATGTCAAGCTCCCCCAAAAATTTGAAGAACCACTCAGTTCACAAGAATTCACTTTCTGGTTACAGAAAATCTTAAGTCTAGCTTCTGAGATTATCCTCAGATGTTGCACTTTGCCTTTTTTTTAAGGGTTATTTAATACTTTATTTCACCAAAACAGAAAAGGAAAATGGCTTCTTAAGAAGCAGCATTTTGTCGCTAACTCCAGGCTTATAATTCTTCTTCTGTAGGGTGGAACACGGAGTCTGGTGGTGAGCCCCAAATTGCTTAATTGGCTGGCTTGGTATCTCAAGCTAAGCCATGGTTTGCAATTACCAGGGTCACACATCACCCAAGCAACAAGGAGATAACGTTCGATTTGCCTTACAGCACTGGGTGATCCAGGCACAGCCCCTCCCAGGTTCCTCCCTCTCTGGCTGGCAAGAGGCCACAAATTCAGCTCAGCCTGCTGACATATGGCACCTGGACTGAGCGTAAAAGGGACGCAACCTACTTGTTTCATTCTCAACACTAGCCCATCAAACAATTTTTTCCCTGAGTGCCCTAAATGCTACACCACAGGAAGACTGATTGCAGGTGTCAGTGATGGAGCATCCACAACTTCAGAAGTGGTGGGCTCTCCATCTCTGAAGGCTTTTAAGAGGAGGCTGGACAGTCATTTGTCTGGAATGGTATAGAGCCGTGATGGCGAACCTGTGGCACGCGTAGCCATATCAGTGGGCACGCCAGCTCACCTCTGGCGCGCATGTGCGCGCTGGCCAGCTGTTTTCGGGCCTTCTGGGCCAACCAGAAGTAGGGAAACAGGCCCCCAGAGGGCCTGGGGGATGGGGAAGGCCTGTTTTTCTTTCTCACCTGGCTCCAGATTCTCTCTATGCATCTGGGAAGAGCGAAAACAGCCTTCCCCACCCACTCGGAGGCCCTCCGGAGGCCTGAAACAGCCCATTTCCCAACTCCCAGTTGGACAGGAAGTGACTTTTTTGCTGTCCCCAGCCCCTCTAGGAGTCTCTGGAGGCTGGGGACAGCAAAAAGTCACTTCCTGCCCAACCGAGACTTGGGAAATGGGCCGTTTCAGGCCTCCGGAGGGCCTCTTAGGGGGTGGGGAAGGCTGTTTTCGCCCTCCCCAGATGCATAGAGAGGATCTGGAGCCAGGTGAGAAAGAAAAACAGGCCTACCGGGCCATCGTGTGCCAGGAGGGGGCGGGAGGGGGGATTGCGCGAACATGCACAGGGCAGGGTGCATAGAATTATGGGTGTGGGCACGTACGCATGTGAACCTCTCCCGCCCCACCCCGCCCCCTCCTGGCACGGGATGGCAAAAAGGTTAGCCACCACTGGTATAGATTCTCCTGCTTGAGTAGGGGGTTGCACAAGAAGATCTCTAAGGTTCCTTCCAACTCTGTTAAGACTGTTCTGTTCTGGTTGGGCAGCCTGGACAGAGGGCAAGATGGGGAAGAAGAGACTGCCAGTTTCTCCTGCCCCCTCCCCCTAAGCAGGTGAGATCCCTGATTCAAATCCAACCTTTGCTGGAAACTCACCTGATGGCCTCAGTCTCAACTGTCCTGATGGCAATATGGAGATCCTAGAAACTATTCCCTTTCCTGGCTTATGCCGAGGATGACAAAGAAATGGTTCTCGGCACTCAGGAAGTGCAGGCACGCACACACATATGTCTCCTTACCCAATGTGGAGTTCTTCCAGCACATCGTTGCTTTTCAGGGCTGCCCCCAGTGCAGCTGCACCACTGTTGCCAAAGCCGTTATATGACAGATCAAGAACTCGAAGGAATATATTCCCCTGTGGAGAAGACAAGAGTTAGCAGAGCTTGGAGAAGGTGGAGTGTCCACAGGAGACCAAAGCTTGCCATCTAGAGCTTCTAATCACAAGCCACAGCCTGACAGAAAGTTCCCGGGCCTTCATCCACTCCAGATTTGCTTCTTTCCAAACAGGGTATCTCTTCTCCTGCCCAGGTCAGTGCTTCTCAACCTTGGCAGCATAGCTGGCTGGGGAACTCTGGGCTTTGAAGTCCACCCATTTTGAAGCTGCCAAGGTTGAGAAACACTGATTTAGGTGGTTAACCCTCTTGGCTTAAAAAGCTATGTTCCCCTAAATATGTTGGTTTTATTCTTTCAAACCCAGGGAATACTGAAAAGGAATTCAGGAGTGTTCCACAAGGTATAGTCAAAAACAATTAAGATGGATACCACTGAAGCTCCACCTGTTTTTTTAATCCGGTCTGTGTAAACAGCAGGCAGAGATTCTTCACTTGCTTCATCAGGGTCGCCCTCTTGATGTTTTTGACCATAGTTTACACACACACACACACACACGGAGGAATGTAGGATTCTGTCTGTTCATCAGCACCAACACTCCAAGATCCTCACTGTTAGGAAATTTCTCCTTAATTCCAGGTTGCTTCTCTCTTTCGTTGTTGTTAGTTGTGAAGTCATCTCCAACGCATCGCAACCCCATAGACAACTTTCCTCCAGGCCTTCCTATCCTCTATCATCCCCCAGAGCCCAGCCACCTCATTCTCTGCCGTCCCCTTCTTCTTTTGCCCTCCATCGTTCCCAGCATTAAGCTCTTCTCCAGTGAATCCTTCCTTCTAATTAAGTGGCCAAAGTATTTCAGTTTCATCTTCAGGATCTGGCCTTATAATCTCTTTGATTAGTTTCCAACTATTGTTTCTTGTCCTGCCCCCCCCCCCCGCCCGGTGCTTTGGAGAATAATTTGACCCCCTCTTCTTTGTGGCAGCCCCTCAAATACTGGAAGACTGCTATCATGTCACCCCTAATTCTTCTTTTCTCTAGACTAGCCAAACCCAAATCCTGCAGCTGTTCTTTGTGTGTTTTAGTCTCCAGGCCCTTGATTATCTTAGTTGCTCATCTTTGAACTTTTTCCAAAGTCTCAACATCTTTTTTGTAGTATGGTGACCAAAACTAGTTGCAGTATTCCAGGTGTGTGGTCTTACTAGGGTTTTATAAAGCGGCACTAATACTTCACATGATCTTGCCCAGGATTGTATTCGCTTGTTTGACGACGGCTGCACACTGCACACTTTCCCTTATTCTCGGCTGGGAGATACAGGAAATGTGGCCTGTGATATTGTGATGCCACTAGACCAGGAGTGGGCAACTATGGCAAGTTTAAGACCTGTTGATTTCAATTCCCAGGAATTCTGGGAGTTGAAATCCACAGGTTGTAAAAGTTTGTTTGTTTATTCATTTGATTTCTAGAGCCACCCATCCCGGCAAACACTACTGGGCAGCTCACAATTCAGAAACTTATATTACAATTAAAATCTTTAAAACATTTTAAAACAATAAACACAGCAAAAACCATTAAAACAATCAAAAACATTAGCTGCCATAGTTGCTTACCTCTGCACTATGCACTAGACCAGTGTTTCTCAACCTTGGAAGCTTGAAGATGGGTGGACTTCAACTCCCAGAATCCCCCAGCAGTCCGCCCATCTTCAAGCTACCAAGTTGAGAAACACTGCACTAGACCGAGCAAGGCCAAATTATTTCAGACTTATTTGCACTTTAGAAGACAGAGGGGGTGATATAACATCTTATGCTTTACAACTTTATCCCTCAGGAAAACTCTCGAGCCAAGTCTCCTTTCCTACCCCCAAGCCTTTGGCGACAGCCACTGCTCCTCGGCCCCGAAAGTTGTTCCAGCTGAGGTTGAGTTCCTTCAGCCCCACATTTTCCACCATGGCCACTCCAAGAGCTTCTCCTGGTTCAGTGTAGATGGAGACACAAGAAATGGGAAAGAGGCCTGAAACGTCAAACTGAGGGAGGCTTTGCAAAAGAACGACACCCTCTTGGGTCCCACCCCACGTTTACAGTAGCAGCCTCTCCCCATACAGGAGCCGTGGTGGCACAGTGGCGAGAATGAGTATTGCAGGCTAATTCTGCCAACTGCCAGCAGTTCGATCCTGACTGGCTCAAGGTTGACTCAGCCTTTCCCTCCTTCCAAGGACCCAGTAAAATGAGGACCCAGATTGTTGGGGGAAACATGCTGACTCTGTAAACCACTCAAGAGAGCACTGTGAAGCGGTATATAAGTCTGCTATGGCTCTCCAACCTAATGTGGCTTTTTCTGCTGAATTTTCGCAAAGCAATTCTTCTCACCACAGCAGAGTTTTCAGCTCACAGAGGAAGAAGGGAAGGATAGTAGGATCTGCAAGCAGTAGGAAGAGGAGATTCCCATAGAGCCAGGAACTCTGAGGAGCACCTGCTTGTGGGAATCCCCAGAGAGTTCCAGAAACGGCTTTCTGGTGATCAACGTCATGACATGAAGAGGTTTTATTCTCCCTCGGGTCAGCCTAGCTGCTCCCACGACAAAGTTTAGAGCAAAGTTGCTTAAACTGTGCGGCGTGGAAGCCCAGTTCTCCTCAGGTAGTTTAAGATTTCCACAAATTGGACTGAAGATCTAAGAGAAAGTTTCTGGTGGGTTTTGGAGGAAACATAACCTTTACTTTGCCCCAGCAGGATGCAGCTTCTGGCTGACCTTGCTGTCATATAAAGCTAAGGGAAACTTTGGCCAGCACTAGGGAGACACATTTCCAGATTTTCTCTGAAAATCTCAGACTGGTAAATTGGCCACATGTCCTACAAGAAAACATTAACAGCCCCCTTTGTATTTTTCCCCCCCAAGAACACAATGTCTGTAGGTAACTGAACCCAACTCAAAGATCTGACTTGGCTTTTTATACTTTTTCTGGACTACTCCCCTCAGAAAAATTTTATCAGGAGCTAATTGTAATGCTTTTCAGCAATACATGTGTACTTTTTATTTTCCCAGTTCTGGCTTTGTCTCTCTCTCTATTATTCGTATTATTTTGACTTGTTAATTTATACTCCTAGTCCATGTGTGATATGCCATATGCTAAATAAATTATTTTGATAATCCTTTTGTATTGCTTTTAATTACTCCTACACAATTTTAGTTTTACATATCATTTTACATATCTTAAAGGGCAGACAGAAACTTAAGTGAGCCCAACTTTCTAATCCCTACCTTAATTTTCTTTTTCGCTTTCTCAACTTTGGTAGCTCTTCCCTATTTTCTGCACACTCTCTCTCTCTTCCTTTTGTCCCCGCCTGTTCTCCATCATATCACAAAGTCTTCTTCAAAACATAAGGAGAAGAAAGAGGTGGGGCTGGTGGGAAGTCAAAACCTCTCATGGGGTGAGGCAAAGAAGGAGATTCCAAGCCACAGCAGGTAACAAGGGAAGAAAAGGGGGAAGGGAGGGAGGGAGAGAGAGAGAGAGAGGTAGGGAAGATGGGCAGGAGTCACAGGCCAGCAATTCTTTCCCAACAACAGTAAACTTTAATGATTAGTTCTTAGCTTATGAAAACCACAGCTGGCCCTTAATTTAACAATTCATATTCCTTTAAAGGTATGTGGTGTTCTAGAAACGAAAGGGCCATAAACACACAAATTGCATGTCTACGTAGATGTGTGTCTTTCTCACATGTGCTACACAGTGCTCCCCACAGCGCTCCCCACACACAGCCAAATTTCTATGACATTTACCTGCTATCTCTCCGAGCATGTTATGACTCAGATCAAGGTGCTCTACTTTCTGATTGGTCACTAAAGCATCTGCCAGGTATTTGGCTGCCCTGTCATTTAATTCATTTCCTGAAAGTTTCATGGTCACAAGAACTGGATTTTCCCGAAGCACTGTGGACAGAGCTTCTGCCCCTTTCATCCCGACTCTGTTCTCTGATAAATCAAGTTCTGAAAGAAAAAAAGGTTGATCTCTAGCTGGCTCATCATGCAAAATCCCCCAGATCCATTAGCCCAACATGTCTTTGTTCCTCAATCCCTCCTTTGACCAGGAATGAAAGCTGGACAAAGGCTACAACTGGTTTCGTGGAGAATCCCTTGGAGAAAGACACTCCTCATCTCAACCCATCAAACATGGCATCTTTATTTGGGGGCAGCACATAAATGTTGTAAAGCAAATAAACAAATTTACAAGCCACTATTTCATTAGGAATCCTTATGCTTGGATTGCCAGGTGTAAAAGTCAAGAGGTCTAAATTCTTATGAACTGTTTCAACACAGCTTCAAGCTTTACTGCTATATTATATGAAAAGAGTAAGTCTTTGCTTTTTAAAACTGGAAATTTTAGAAGGGATCTGACAATGGTTTAACAACCAACCCAAAATACCTCAAGGCTACGGATTACATGGACTCCCCATTTTGCCTCCTGAAACAATTTTCAGAATCTCCCAATGAAGACGTGCACCTGAAATGTAGCAATTTTCCTTTAACATCTCCGCCATCGCAATTGCTCCGTGTCCATCCAGCCCGTTGTCACACAGGTTCAGCTTCACAATGGACGTGTTGCTGGTCAGGGAAAGAGCGAGAGCCTTGACTGCCTAAAAGAAGAGGCAGAGGAGGGAAGAGCTATGAGGGCAGAATGCTGGGCTCTAGCCCAGTCCTTTGGCAGTGGTCAAGGTTTGGGGGCCTGGGAGAGACAAACTGGGAGGGAGCTGGCATGGCCTTTCCTTAATTTCACAAGAGGCTCTGCCAAAACTGAAAAGCCATTAGCGAGGGGCCTTTTTAAACCTCCAGCCAAGCAACACCTGTGATAAGGAAGAGAGAAGGAAATGAAGGGTTAGAAGAGGTGCTCGGCAGAGACAGCCCCATCCAGTTTTGCCTTCAGGCTCACCTCCCAGTGACATGCACTGCAGATCCTAGTGGATTATTTCAGCAGCCATGAAAAGAAAATGAGGCCACATCTCCTGATCTGCAGCCTGGAAGTGGGCAGCAAAGCTCTACTGCCACATGAGAGCATCTGGCCTCTTGTTTCCCATATAGATCAAGCACAGGCCTTGGGAAGGAGGTGGGGGTGGGGCTCCATCATATGCCAGCAGCACCTGCTGCCTTTGACTCCATAAGTGCCGTTTAGCTGAGATGGCTAAGGCCCTGGAGGCTGCTTGGACAGGAACTGGCCCAGTAACTTTAGACCTTGTTTAAAGTACAGAACCATCCTCCCTGGAGACAAATGGTCACAAACTGAAACAGGTGCCTACCAAAAGTTACAGAATGAAGGATTGGACCTCTCTTCTCTGCATGCTTCATCAGGCGACCCTCTGGCTCTCCTCATAAAAGGCTTAGTGGGTAGCAGCTCTGTGTTCTGATAGAAGCCTGCTCTGCCCTCTTATCAGTGGCAGGCAAGAATCTCTTTACCACTTTGTCGTTTCAACTGGTCCATTTTGTTTCTCTATTTTATGTTGATCAAATTGCTACTAACAACTGTATTGTCTTTAGGTGTGTTTAACTCATTTTTCTCCATAAGACACCTGGAACATTTTTAGTTTTGAAGGTAAAATTTAATCAGGCACCTACATATTTCTGCACCGATGTAGTGTTGGTACCGTAATGCTCCTTGAGTATAACTCTGTAAAGAAATATAATATTCCCAAGTGCAATGCAGATGGAAAAAAGGAGAGGGGGAAGAGAGAATATTCAAAGGCAGTGAGGAGATTCATACTTGCAGAGTGCAAAGCAAGTCCTGAAGTGGCCGGGCCAAAAGAAGAGGACACCCTGCAGCAATTACCTTAGGGTTAAGGCCACGATGGTTCAGAGTCAGTTCAGAATCTTTCATATGCCGTAAAAAATAAGAGATAGGAACCACGCCGTACGCTTGACAGATCGCAAGGTATCTGGCTTTCCCGGCAGGATCATAGCATATTGTAGAGTCTAGGCCAAGACAAAGGGGAAAATGAAAGCAGTGGTCATCCTTGGCTTTCTGCAAGACAACCAGATACAGAAAGCAGCTGTAGTTTCTGGCAGTGCAAGAGCAAGATGACTTTAAAAACTGTAGCACCAACCCAAGTCCCACCATCATCCCCAGTGAGACATGCCTGAACCGAACCAGATACTCTTTCAGTGGTCTTGTATGCAAAAGGTACAGAGGGGATAATGACTTTCTCAAGGCAATTCACAAAAGAGTTTGGTGTGTTTGTTTTGAAACTCACAAGAGCTGCACCAAAGTCACAATGCTTTGAAAATGGCTACTGACCATTGCTTGGCTTAAAAAGAAATAAGACACATTTGTGGAAGCCAGGCTAACAATGCCAAGCTTTCATTTCAGAGGCTTAATATTCATTGCTCAGACTGCAGGTTGGCCACTCAAAAGCATTGCAGGTCCTAGCATTCTGCACCAGGGCATCAGATGTTCAGAATTAAAAATTACAAGAATGAAAGGGTACAAATGTTAATTAAAGAGTGGCCAAATTCTCATGAGATTGTCTAAGATTTATATTAGGTTGATGGGGAGGGAATACCTGATGCTTGCTTAGTTGCCAATTTATCCTTGGCAGCTCTTTCTTGGTTTACCTGCTTAACACATGTATATCCTGCCTTTACATCAATAGCTCAAGGTGGCTTCCATAGTGCTCACTCTATTTTTCCCATAACAATCTTGTGATGTAAGTTGGTCTGAGACAGACTGACTAGCCCAAAGTTACCCAGGGAACTTCCACAGTTAAAGGTGAACTAAAGACCCTGGGCTCTAGTTCAATGTTTCCCAACCTCGGCAATTGTAAGCAGCTTGGCAACTTGTCTAATCCATACTTTCTATTTCAAGGTCTGTGTCCCACTCTTCCTCTTGATCGTCTTCTGATTCTGATTCTTCTTCCTCAGCTTCTTCTTCAGAATAGTTTAATGCTTTCTTCAAGAAGCAGGCGCTGTTCTCCTGGCAGATGGATTCTGATATATCAGGGGACCTCGAAAAAGTCTGATAAAATATCGTGTCAAGATACAGAAATGTAAGAACATACCTAACTCTATCCAAAAAAAAAAAAAAGGAATGACACAGAGGTCCAGCTAACAAAACCCTTGAAAAGCAAGATTTGTTGTTTCAAACTAGGAACAGCAACCAATCAGGAAAAACAGCAGCCTTAGAAACCTGAATAAAACATACGGTTTCTGACAAGCAGCCTGGGAAAAATACAGGATGTAGAATAAATTAAAATAGACTCTCAATATTCTAATAGATATATCAACCACATTGGAAATATTCAAGGGTTCCCCCCTCTCTATTGCTAATATGATTAAGAAGCAGCTCATTTTGTAATTATGTCACTTTAACTAACTTTATCTCAGGAAGTAGTAAAGAACCCAGTAATTAAAGTTTGCAATGTAACTTTCTGAAACATACTTTCACCTCCCAATGAAAACAAAAAACCCAAAATGGATACTAAGCTAAGAAATTTGCACCAGTCAAGCAGGAAATCTAGGCCTGGCCTGGCACAAGCAAAGAGGCAAAATTTCATTCTCCCTGAGTCATGTTTACTTAGATCTGTATAAAAGTGGGAAGAACTTATAAAGCTGGAAGAACCCAAATGACTATTCGACATGGTTTTATACTTTATGTGGTTTATATGGTTACATAAGCAAGAAAACAGCCGTTTGCATGAAAAAAGATAAAAAGCAGAAATTGCTGCAGTCTCGTGGCTTGCCCAAGGTATTTCAGAAGCATATTTAGAAAGAAAACATATTTAGCAAACCCAATTGCCTATATTTGTAGTTTCCTGTCATGCATCTCCTGAGCTGTGGACAGTTACACATTATTACAACTCATTTCTTCTTTTTAATTCAACCGTTTAATCACCGTAATCCTGCTCAACACCAGACTTTTTAATTTCATTTGACTACCAATGTAATTCCATGCACATCCCCCTGCTTTTCAGAGCCAGGAACAAGCCAGGTTCCGATCGCTGAGAGCTTACTCTTAACCTTATTTTGAGGTTGACCAAGTTCAGACAGCACCAAGGCCCCCTCCTCTTAAGCCTGAGCTACAAATATTCTCCTCTGTCGGTCACCTTGTTCTTGTTTTGTCAGGTGAAATTCATTAAAACTGGAGGGTAGGCCATCATTATTGAAAAATATTTATTTTGCTAGGAATTTGCACGAAATAGACTGGAAAGAGAGACAGGTGTCTTTGCGGAAACCCTCCACCTTGGGGGCACCAGGCCACCCGCCTGGCTGAGGTGCTATGTCATCAAATATGAATGACAATAGAGGTGGTCCTTGACTTACAATAGCCCGTTTAGTGACCATTCAAAGTCACGTCATTGAAAAAAAAGTGACTTATGATCATTTTTCATACTTATGACCGTTGCAGCATCCCCGAGGTCAAGATTCGGATACTTGGCAACTGGTTCGTATTTACAACGGTTGCTGTGTCCCAAGGTCATGTTATCCCCTTTTGCAACCTTCTGACAGGCAAAGTCAATGGGGAAGCCAGATTCATTTAACAACTGTGTTATTCATTTAATAACTGCAGAGATTCACTTAACGAATTGGAAAGAAAAATCATAAAACGGGGCAAAATTCACTTCAATTTCTCAACGTAAATTTTGGGCTCAATTTCGGTCGTAAGTCGAGGACTACCTGTATGAATAAAAATAAAACCCCAAAGCAGCATTCTCTCTTTTGGACTGTAACCACCATCATCCCCAGCCAACCCTGCTCAGACAGGTAGATTAACAGAGTTGAAAGGGACCTTGTAGGTCATCTACTCCAATCCCAACCCCCCCCCCCGCCCCGACAAAGCTCCCCACGGTCTACCAGATGTATTGGACTACAACTGCCCTCATCCCCAGCCAGCACTGCTCCTCACGGACTTTCAGCCTTACTGGACTACAACCGCCCTCATCCGCAGCAGGCGTGCTGCCGAGGTTTACCATCCCGGCCGGGTCCCCCCCCTCTTTTTTTTAAATCAATTTGACTCGGCCCATTCCGTCAGTTTGTCCCCGCTGGACTACAATTCCCATCATCCCCAGCCTCGGGAGTAATGGGAGTTGAGGTCCGACATCGGCTGGGGGGGTGTGGCGGGGAAGCGGCTCCTTCCTCCTTGCCTCCGAGTTCCGCGAGCTGGAGGCGCTCGGAGCGAGGGACGCAGAGGACGCGCCACCGGAGAGCCGATCCCCCGCCGCGTCGGCCTCCTGCTCGGGCACCGGCGAGAGCGGCAGTTTGGGCATCGGCGCGGCTGGGCCTCAGCCTGCTCTGCTGCCATGGCAACGGCGTCGCCGCGCAGGAGGCGAAGGCAGCCGGGCAGCGGAAGGGGCGGGCGCATCCGGAAATTCGCGCGTGACCATTGGAGGAGGGAGGAGGGCCGGGCACCTATCGATCTCCCGCTCGCGTTGCCTTGGCAACCCATGTGCCGGGCTTTCTGGAACCTCGAGTAGGCCGGCCTTCCCTCACAGGCCTCGAGCTGCTGGATCCCTCTGGCGGACAAGCAGCGGCCTCGCGGAGCCCCGTCAGCCCGGATTGAAGGGAAAGGCTGTTCTTTGCGGCCTCCAGGACAGACATTGGCGGCTGCGAGGAGGAACCGACGCGAAGCTGAAGCCTCGCTCAGTCCCCGTTGCTGTTGCGGCCACCGCTTCCAGACGCAAGCGGCCGACGGCGTCGTGCAAGACAAACTGACGCGGGGTCACAAGAATCCTGCGAGAGGCCGCCCGGGGAGTCCGGAGCCTCAGACTGTGGCCCTGCCGAGGGCTGGACTAGATGACCTCCAGGGTCCCTTTCCAGCTCTGTTCTGATCCCGACTCTGAACAGCGTGCAAAAGCCACAGCACAGCCAATGGAGGAAGAAAACAGAGGATGCACTTGGTGGCCAGGGAGAAGAAAGCTGGATTCCACAGATCATGTTGTGGTTTCATTGATTTTGGCCCAGGGTGTTGAGAGAATCCAGACATTTGTGGCTTATTTCAGAAGCAGAAAGAACGCAAGTTTGCCTTGGCTGCCACTGAAAAGAGCAGCACCTCAAAAGGTGAAGAAGCTACTGCCAAACTGGGCCACACCAACAATATACTGTAGCTGCTTTGCCTCCGCTGCCCCGATTTTAGCAGGCTGGTAGTCCTTGCAGCTTTTCCTTCTTGCGCTGGAATGGCAGTTTTTATTGTCTCAGGCCAACCTGGTCCAACATGTGGCCTGCCAGTATCGTGGGCTTCAACTCCCAGCATTTCAAGGGCCATCACTGGTTGGATGTCCACAGCCCAGGGAAAGCGCCTGCGGCATCTTTGCCTTTTTAGCACCAGCTGGCAGTTGAGCAGGATGTGTTTTTCTGCTGCTGCTCCTCCGGTGGTTTTCAGGACTGGAGAATCCCTGAATTGGTGCTTGCTTTGGCCCTTTCGGATTACAAAACAGACATTTGCAATGACCAGGATCCTTGCAGGGGTGAAATCCAGCAGGTTCTGACAGGTTCAGAGAACCGGCAAATACCACCTCTGGCTGGCCCCAGAGTGGAGTGGGAATGGAGATTTTGCAATATCCTTCCCCCAGGAGTGGGGAGGGAATGTAGATTTTGCAGTCTCCTTCCCCTGCCACGCCCACCAAGCCACGCCACGCTCACCAAGCCACGCCCACAGAACCAGTAGTAAAAAAATTTGGATTTCACCACTGAATCCTTGGCTATATTTTGGGCTAAGGAAAGAGGGACGTTGCAAGTCATCTGCATTTCCAGGTCATTGTTCCCAATTCTATTCACGGCAGTGGAAGATAACAGTTACATTGGCTGCAGGCAAGGGCGTATCTTGGGACAGAGACTTCTCCAGTGTACTATTACAGAAATAACACTGACAGAGGGGATCTGGGCTGCCAAAATACAAAAGATCACTAGATGGCAGCAGAGGGTATTGCTGCCATCTAGTGGTGATTCACATTTTGCAATCCAGATTTAGTCCCTAATACAGGTAGGAACATCCATTAAACAAATGTTCAAAAGTACAAATTTACCCCCCAAACGTGTAGGAATTCAAAATTGCAATCAAGAAGAGGCCTCTCATGTGACCTGGATTCAGTCACTCCTGCAGTGGCGGCTGTTTTGAATCCCATGACTTTCCTTTTGTCATCTGGGGTTATGGCAGGCAATTTCTGGTGGCCCATATAGTTGGTGCATTATTTTTTCCCCTTGTCATATGATCAATCAAGATCTGGGGATTTTGTAGCCAGTGCAGATGCTGTTCTCTGCACTCTTTCTAGAGTCTCGACATCTTTTTTATAGTGTGGTGACCAAAACTGGATGCAGTATTCTAGGGGTGGTCTTACCAAGGCTTTATAGAGTGTTATTAGTACTTCACTTGATCTTGATTGAATCCCTCTGTTAATGCAATTTAGGATTGCATTGGCTTTTTTGGCTGCTGCCGCACACTGCTGGCTCATATTTAACTATTCAACTAAGACTCCAAGATCCCTCTCACAGTTTCTGCTATTAAGCCTGGTTTTACCCAGTTTATATGTCTACTTTTGGTTTTTCTTGTCTAAGTGTAAGACTTTACTTTTCTCTGCATTGAATTTCATTTTGTTAGAGACTTGCAGAATGTTGGACTCGCAGAAATGAAAAACTAGCAAAACCAAAACAAACAGACTTTACCAGAAAAGAAACTGAGAGGAACCGACGTTCCCAGAGTCCATCCACCCCTGGTCCAAAGTTGATTTTAATTTTGGCAGGGACTCCTCTTTCTTGCAGGAAGTGGATGGTTAGTGCCCCTGCACTGAAACGGGGGCATGTTCAGAGCTGTTGGCTCCCCTCACAGAACTCCTGGTGCCGAACTCTGCCTGGACGCCCTTCAAACTGCATCAGGTAGAACTGCCTGGCCAGGTGCTTGGCCATGTCTTTGAGGGCAAAGGAAGCGGCCACGATCTCCGAGGTGAGGAAGCAGAGGAGGACGCCATGCACCGCCATTTCCAGAGGCATCCGGATCACCTGATGGTCCGTCAGGATGAACAGCAAGACGGGCATCTCAATGACGAAAGACAGGAGGACGAATCCAGCCAGCTCTGGAACCTGTGGGAGCCAGTGGGGGGGAATGGTTCCATGCAGTACTTACTAACCTGGTGTCAACCCTGAAGCTGATTTGACTGAAGCCATCTTGGAGCTTCAGTGTTGCCACACTGGAGCTGAGGGATAGGGAGGAGGGAATAGAGAGAGCCGGGGATTTGTAGCCAAAAGAAAATATTTTCTCTTGGGAACCAAAGACATTCTCACACCTGGTCAGAGAGGAGGAGTGATGTCACCAGGCAACCAGGCGGCACCTTGATTGGACCATGTGACTTGGGGGGGGGACTTAATTAGGTGAAAACCGTGGGAACCTTCAGAGTCAGTTTTCCCCAGAACTGTGCCAATATGATATATCCAAATAAAAGTATTCTTCGAGGAATCTACCTGCCTCGGAGTTTTGTTTGCCATGGATGTATTACTTGGAACCCTGACACCTGTCTCCTAAATTCATCCCGGATTTAAACCAAATCTCAGAAGTCTCTGGGCATCCTTGAAACCAAGTCTGCTCCTCTTAATGCTCTTCTCTGCCTCAATATTTAAGATTAATTGAATGTGTTTTTGAAAACTCACCAGATATTTGACACCTGCTCAGGTGTATCCACAGGGAGGGTCCGAAAAGGTCAGAGGGCAGCCTTGCCCGGACAATTGAAACCACCCCGTATGAGAGGCCTGCAACAACTTCTCTTTCAGGGCTGCAGCTGCAGGGACCCCAGACTCTTTGATTTCAGTGGAAGATATTTAGCAATAACGTCTAAATATATCCACAACAGAATAAATAGAGCAGCCCGTTGCATTCAAGGCTGAGAAGCTCTCCTAGCAAGAGTGAGACAGAATATCATAATCAAGGGGCACCTGCTCTCTCCAAGGACTTGTCTTCTGAGATCAAAATTGATACTAAAAACAGCAAATTGGGGTTGCAGGGTTGCCCTGGAAACATCCACTGGCAAATGTGGAATCTTGCATCACTTTCGACATTTATAAATGAGTCAAAACCCTAACAGAGAAATATCCACACTCCCTCATCTTTCATAAAAAGCCTGCAGAAGAAGGAAAGCCATTACGTTGAGGTGCTTTCTCTTCTCCTCTTAGCAACAAAGGCCTCCACACGCAAGGTTTGCTGCCTTCCCCACAGTGCTGGACATCCTTTCCAATTCCAATTTTATCTGCTCTGGAATTGGGTAGATGGTTAAAAAAATCAAGATAGGCTCCATGACTGCAGTCAGAGTTCCATTTGAGGTGTGTGTGTGTGTGTGTGACGAGTGATGCACACAAAAAACAGCTTCAATCACATCACTACAGTTGTCCTCTTCAACATTTTTGGCCATGCTCTGCAGATGCCCTTCCTTGAGCAGGTCCAGAGAGCATTCTGGTGGTACCGTAGTTAGAATATATTTTTATTTATTTATTTATTTTTATTTGATTTCTATACTGCCCTACTCCCGAAGGACTCAGGGCGGTGCACAGCCAAACAATAAAACACATACATACAAAATTTAAAAGTAGAATAAAATCAAATTAAATAATTTTGGCCCCGACAAATTTAAAACCCCAAACTTTTAAAACCAATTTAAAATTGAATGTATAAAATACTAAAAGATATTTAAAAATTAAAAATCTTTTATAAAAGAGGGAGAAAATTAGGCCAGGCCCACCTGGTGAAATAGTAAGGTCTTTAAAGCGCGGCGGAAGGTGCGCAGATCCGGGATCCTCCGTATCTCTGGGGGGAGCTCGTTCCAGATAGTAGGTGCCCCCACAGAGAAGGCTCTCCCCCTGGGGGCCGCCAGTCGGCATTGTTTGGCTGACGGCACCCGGAGGAGCCCCTCTCTATGGGAGCGTACCGGCTGGTGGGAGGCTATTGGTGGTAGTAGGCGGTCCCGCAAGTACCCAGGTCCTAAGCCATGGAGCGCTTTAAAGGTGGTAACCAAAACCTTGAAGCGCACCCGGAAGACCACAAGCATCACAAGCTCATTCTGCCCACTGCCAGCAGTTCAATCCTGACCGGCTCAAAATTGACTGAATCTTCCATGCTTCTGTGGTCAGTAAAATGAGGACCCAGATTGTTGGGGGCAAGAGGCTGACTCTGTAAACCGCTTAGATAGCTGTAAAACACTGTGAAGCAGTATAGAAGTCTAAGGGCTATTGCTATCCAGATGCACCTTTAGAGAAGTTCCTTTAGGCTCTCCATGGCTAGATATTTCTTTTGGATAATACATTCTACTGTGTTTCCCCTGAAAATAAGACCCTGTCTTATATTTTTTTGAATCCTGAAATAAGCGCTTGGCCTTATTGCCATGCGCTCAAAAGCCTGATTGGGCTTATTATCAGGGGATGTCTTATTTTGGGGGGAACAGGGTAGAAAAGGACCTCATATCTTGATAAACCTCTCCCCTTCCCCATATTTCAATTTTTGGAAAGTAATTTAAGCAAATGATCACTCTAGACGTCCAGATCGTGTTCTGTAGATCTGAAGGAATGAGGTCCATCAGCAATCTTCATAGGAAGGGAGTCAAAAAGTCCAAGATGGCGGCCTTGCTCTTTTTTACGTGCCATAGAGGATGGCATGAGTGTGAGCGCCATCTGGACTTTTGCCTTCCTCCCCTCCCCCTCCACCACCACAGGATCCATGACATCTCATGACAAAATGCATGGGTCGTGCCAGCCATGAGAGTCCCGTGTTTAAAAAGAAAGCTAAGAGCAGCATCTCGCTGTCCTGTCATTCTTTACCTTTTCTTGCAAATTCCCAACGTATCCAAGGAAAAGGCGGGCGGATTCCACTCCGACAATTGTCAGGTACGCAGCAACCAGCAAGCATTGGTAGTAAAGGGGTAGCAAGCTAAACTGCGGGGACATAAAAAGAGATGCGGGTGGGGTATCTGCTAATGGGCCCCTCCTGCTACGCTACTCCTTTCCCCCTGCAGAGCCTTGTTCAGCCCAAGGGAAGCATGGAAAGTCCATCTTTAGATGTTATTGGGAAGGAAGCCCTCCCTGCCAGAAAAAGGGAGTAGCCCCACACACCTGGTGTACCCCAGCTCCAATGCCTGCACCTCGAAAAGAGGCTGAGAAAGCCTCCTCTTTAGAGCTCCAGGGTTGTTTGGCTGCAATTCAGGGGTGGGCTGCTGGGGGTTCGCAGGGGTTCGGGAGAACCTCTAGCTAAGATTCTGTGCAGTTTGGAGAACCCCCAAATCCCACTCCTGGCTGGCCCCGCCCACCCCACCCCGCCCCTCCCAGGAGTCCCCACGCGGCCTGTTTTGGATGCAGGTAAGTGCAGGGTGCACACAGAGGCTTGGGGAGGGCGAAAAATGGCCCTACTGGAAATTTGGGAAAGGTTTCAGGCCTCCAGAGGGCCTCCAGAGCCTGGGGAGGCCGTTTTCGCCCTCCCGGAGGCTCGAGGAAAGCCTCCGGAACTTGGGGAGGGCAAAAAGCCCCTCCCCCCGCCATGGTGTAGGAGGCCAACTAGGCCACACCCACCATGGCCACGCCCACCCAGCAACCGGGCAGAGAACCCCTTGCTAAAATTTTTGAAGCCCACCCCTGCCGCAATTCAACAGCAAGCCACGATAGATTCATTGGCTGCATTCTCACAAGAGACTTGATTCAGCCAGCTGGTGCTTCCCTCCTTTCTGGTACTGTAATGAGGAAAGCTTCCCTTATTATATCGGAAGCAGCCATCCTTTCTGGACTGGCCACCTCTTAAAATAATTTATCTTTACATTCAGAAGAAAATAAAATAGAGTATGGAGCTACTCAGAGTTGTGTTGAAGGCAGATCTGGTTTCCTCTGCATCTGATCTGAGCCCTCAAGTTAACCCTCTCTTCCAGGTTACAGGGGAGGTTTGAAGATAAGCCTCCTGCTGACTTTTGCCTGCTCATATGAGACAAGACTTTTCTCTCGATCCAGATAAAAGCGTAGTGAGAACGCAAGACTTTTGAGGGACCTAAAGCTTTCAGTACGATGGCGTGGTGGGCTCATGATTCATGATTCAGATCAGTGATGATTAAAGGACTGGAGGCTAAACCAGACAATGAACAACGGAAAGAACTACAGTAGGTAACTCTAGCCTAACAAAGAGAAGGACTAGGGGTGACATGATAGCAGTGTTCCAATATTGGGGGGGGCTGCCCCAAAGAAGAGGGGTTCAACCTATTCTCCAAAGCACCTGAAGGCAGGACTGGAAGCAATGGATGAAAACTCATCAAGGAGAAACCCAACTTAGAATTAAGGAGAAACTTCCTAACAATAAACCAATGGAACTGTTTGCCTCCAGAAGTTGTGGGTGCTTCATCACTGGAGGCTTTTAAGAGACTTGTCTGAAATGCTTGAGCAGGGGGTTGGACTAGGACAGAGGTGTCAAACTCACGTCGTCACATCGTTGTCACTTGACATATCACGACTTTTCCCCTTCACTAAACTGGGTGTGGGCGTGCCCAGCGCGTGATGCATCCGTCCCCCGGGCCATGAGTTTGACACCCCTGGACTAGGACCTCCAAGGTCTCTTCTAACTTTTTTATTCCCTGTGTTAAAGACTACTACAGGTTGCAATTAAAGGGAGTAATGCACAAGCGTTTAAGGCAGTGTTTCTCAACCTTGGTCGCTGGACGATGTGTGGACCTCAACTCCCAGAATTCCCCAGCCAATTCTGGGAGTTGAAGTCCACACATCGTCCAGCGGCCAAAGTTGAGAAACACTGGTTTAAGGAGACTAAGCCCCTTGTCCTGCTCCAGCTGCAGGATTCCTCCAACTATAAGCCCTGTTTGCAGGCTCCAGCCACGCCATAGACTGGAAAACCTCCCTTCCACCTTTTAACAGAGTAACAGAGTTGGACGGGACCTTGTAGGTCATCTAGTCCAACCTTCCCAAGCAGGGGAAGACAGTTACCCTCAGCAGCTGTCCCGAGGGCCCTTTACCTTCAGCTCCAGCATCACGGCCTCCGACAGACACCAGAAGGGGAGGAAGAAGACGTTGAAATAGAGCAGCATCTGAAGGGGCAGGCTGGAGAGCACCGTGTGGCCTTCGGGGGACAGAAAAACAAGCACAAAGGAAAAACCGGTTTCCTTCCTGTCTTTGGTTTTGTGATGGACCTTTAAATCCTAAAATCCTAGAATGGAAGAAGCTGTTTGCCTTCCGTCCTAACCCCTGGTTGAGGACAAGGATCCGAATCAAAGCAATCCAGGGAAGCCTCTGCTGAAGGAAGTATGTAGAGATTCTCCCTCATCCAGGTCATAGTTGTCCCAAAGGTGCGTTTTCAGGAGGCCACTGGACTTTCTGGTTTTTGATTTCGAAGACAGAATTTTTGAATTTTCTTTATAAATCCTGTCAGAGCTGAAGAAGTTTCTTGGATGAGAAGCGAAACATCTTCAAAAGAAAAAAATAAGGAAGTCCAGTTGCCTCCTGAAAAAAGCATCTTTGGGACACCCGAGGAAGGAGCCCCTTTTTGGGGTCTGACTCTGAGCCACCGTCAAGTTGCTTTTACACTTGGCCAGTTTTTCCTGATGTTCTGTCATTTTGGGCTGCAATATCATCTCAAATTCTATAAAATGCATAGCTTAGCCCTTAGACTTATATACCGCTTCATAGTGCTTTTACAGCCCTCTCTAAGCAGTTTTACAGAGTCAGCCTCTTGCCCCCAACAGTCTGGGTCTTCATTTTACCCACCTCGGAAGGATGGAAGGCTGAGTCAACCTTGAGCCTGGTGAGATTTGAACTGTTGGCAGTGGGCAGTGGGCAGAGGAAGGAAGGAAGGAAAGGAAGGAAAGGAAGAAGAAGGAAGGAAGGAAGGAAGGAAGGAAGGAAGGAAGGAAGGAAGGAAGGATAGCAATAGCCCTATAGACTTATATACCACTTCACAGTGTTTTACAGCCCTCTCTAAGCGGTTTACCAGCCTCTTGCCCCCAACAATCTGGATCCTCATTTTACCCACTTCAGAAGGATGGAAGACTGAGTCAGTCTTGAGCCAGTGAGACCTGAACTGCCAAACTGCTAGCAGCCGGTGATCAGCAGAAATAGCCTTTAGTACTGCACTCTAAGCACTGTGCCACCTTGGCATAAGTGGGGTTGAATATGTTTTTGAGCATTTGGTGGGATCTACAGTACACAAAAAAGTGCCCCAAGTGGGTTTCCCTCTTAGGACCCACATGTGCAATCAGTTCCAAGCCCAAAGGGCCTTCCCTTCACATCCCTTTGATCCAGACCCACCATTGAGGCCTTGGGGACCAGCAGATGTGCCACCTTTTGACTGGCAAATAAGGGCACCAAATGGTGGCCATCAAATGGTGCCAATTTTTCATTGAACGGTGACTTGCAATTATACATCTTTTTCTGTGGATCCTAATTTGAAATATAACTGCCAGAAAATTGCATTCTGCTTGCTCTCTCAGACTGATTGGGAATAGAAATTAGCAATGTAATTTTCCAGAATGTCGAAGTGTTTAAAAAGATGCCAAGATGATTCAGCTTGGCTGATGCAAATGCCAGCAGTTTTGTAAGACTCACATGACGTAATGGGGTTTTGAAGGACCAAAATCATTTCCTGAACCCAAATCTCCAACCTGCCAAAACCCCTGAACTCAAGTGAACCTCCTTAATAGTTTGCTTAGGAATTTGGCGGTAGTGGCAAGCTGCGGGTGGATGGGGCCCACCTGCCCCGGCACTATGCCTCCTATTTAGCCACATTTTCTAAGCTGCGTGCATGCGTGCAAACCCCGCGCACAAGCAAAGCGCGTGCATGGAAGGCCACGTGCATGTGGGGAAGGCGTGTGAGCGAAGCGAGCGTGTGCACACACACACTCACATTTTCGGTGTATGACGAACCGGTTGTAAAATTATGTGAAACCCAGCTCTCAGCAGGAGGCCAGGGTAGCTGTTCTGACCCCGACTCCCAAGCCTGTCCTAACAGAGGAAGAGGACTCAGAAGGTGATGGGGAGGAACTCACAAGGCCTCCCTCTCCAGGATCCTCCTTTCTGGCAATGCCTCAGGTTCCATCCAAAGGCCAGGAGGAACAGCTGGGGATGTGCCAGGAGGAAGGCATATCGGAGCACCATTGATAGGGAGTGAGGATGATGAATCCTGGCTTGATCCCAGGCAGCGTCGGAGGGAGAAGCGTGCGCAGCAACGGAAGAGGTGTGGGAGGGCCAGAGATTGAGCTGAGTCATGGAGCCATGCCCCACCAGGAATAAAAGTGGGTGGGATTGCTCTTCAGGCTTTGTGACAGACAAAGTTAAACCCTGAAAGTCACATCGTGATCTCTGAAATTCGGCTTGGATATATTTTGGACTGAACTTGAACATGGTCATTGAACTGAGATAATGTCTTCTGCTTGAAACGGTTGGAAGATCTATATTTTTATCCGGAGCATTGAAGGAAGTGAAGGTCTTGGCAGGCATTCGGCAGTTTGCTGCAAAACCTTGGTCTGCCAAGAATTCTAATCTGTTTACCTAATAAAATATTGGCAGGCGTGCTTGGTATTACGTTTGCCTGTGTGAGGAAGGGGGACAGAACAGTAGCACTTGACCCTGTGTTATTTGGCCCCGTGCTGTTGCTGGGCTTTTCAGGGTATGCAAGATGATGCATCTTAAAAACGAAGGACCCAACCGTGGTCACCATCTTGACTTTTTCGACCCACTCACCGTTGTGTGCCTGGCCCTGCTCCAGATTGGTCCTCCTGTCCTCTGTCTCCCCCTGCCCCCTGCCAGGCAAGTATGAAAAACCCCCTCAGTTGGGCAAGCTCTGCATCCATTTCAGGAAGGGGCCTTTTGTGGCAGCCTGGAGTAAACACAGGTAGTCCTCAATTTACGATCACAATTGAGCCCCAAAATTTCTATCGCTGAGTGAGGCAGCTGTTAACTGAGTTTTGCCCCATTTTATTTATTATTTTTTATTATATTGGTTCGATTTATATGCTGCCCTTCTCTGGAGACTCGGGGCGGCTTACAATGCATTAAAGCAATAGCCTTCATACTTTTGTATATACCTGCTTAGTAGGGCTTTCGGCCCCCCCCAGCGGTGTTTTTTTTTTATACAAAGTCAGCTATTGCCCCCACAATCCAGGTCCTCATTTTACCTACCTCGAAAGGATGGAAGGCTGAGTCAACCTTGAGCCTGGTGAGATTCGAACTCGCAGTAATTGCAGGCAGCTGGCAGCTAAGTGCTACTTAACAGCACTTTAGTCCGCTGCACCACCAAGCCTCTTACGACCTTTCTTGCCTCTGTTGTTAAGTGAACCTGGCTTCCCCATTGATTTTGCTTGTCAGAAGGTTGCAAAAGGGGATTGTGTGACACAGCAACGGTCACAAATGCATGTCAGTTGCCCAGCACCCAAAACTTGATCATGTGACCGCGGGAATGCTGCAATGGTCGTAAGTGTGGATTTCCCAGCCCCTTTGAGAGCACGTTCTTCGGGTCAAAGTCTCTTCACGTGATTAGAAATGGCTTCTTCCGGGGTTTCTCCCCTCCTGGGCTGAGCTGGCGTTGAGGCACAAGCTGGTAACTGAGTTTCCTTCCGTCGCTCGATTCCTTTGCCCACAATCTCTGACAGGAGGGAGACCCCTTTAAGGCCATTCATGGTTTGGATGGTCTTGAGACCCTACAGCAGGGGTCGGGAACCTTGCTGGCTCAGGAATTCTGGGAGTTGAAGTCCACAAATTATTAAAAAAAACCAAGCTTCCCCATCTCTGCTCTACAGCCTTGAACCATCACCCAATCACCCAGCCTTTTTGACGTTCCTGCCTTCAGCACTGGGCAGGGAGGGCACACTGGAACCCAGGAGGGCTTCAGCCCTCCTTGCAATGTGGGTGGGGGTGTGAGACCCTCCTGCGTTGTATGGCAGCCCACTCCCACCCTCTATCCCAGGTACCTAGCTGGTAGAACTCAGCCATGCTTCTGTCCTAGGTCTGGCCGTTGCTGGGGAGAGAGAGAGAGAGAGAGAGACACCAAAAGTCACCAAGCCTTCCAGAGATCCAGAGGGAAGTGTCAGCTCACACGACCCAGGATCATCCTCTCCCCCACCCCCACCCCCAGCTGGATCACATGAGACGTGATGGTAGTTTTGCTTAATCGCATTATCAGGCCAGGCTGTCCCAACTGTCCTTCAAGCCAGGGCTCTGGGCTAATCTGGTGCAGTAGGAAGGACGAGAATATGACAATGGCTGGCCTTTGAGAGACTGACGTTGCCAGATTACAAAGCCCCCATCTCTATGCTCCCGTTGCAACCCTTCATTTAGAGCAGTGTTTCTCAACCTTGGTAGCTTGAAGATGGGTGGACTTCAATTCCCAGAATCCCCCAGCCAGCAGCGCTGGCTGGGGGATTCTGGGAGTTGAAGTCCACCCATCTTCAAGCTTCCAAGGTTGAGAAACACTGATTTAGAGCATTGAAAAGTGGTCCTAGCCATCTTCAGTCTTATGCCTCCAAACTTGGCAATTTTTAAGACTCAACTCCCAGAATTCCCCAGCCAGTGCTTGCAGCACTTCTTCTTGTGCCATATCCATCATCGGATGTTGGCGATCATGTTGGCCATCCTATTTTTATCAACAGCTGCACAAAAAGTGCTGCTGAGTTTTGTCCAAACCGGTCCCTTAGATTTTGAAGCCATGATGTTCTTCTTCGGCTTGGACCTCGTTTGCTTTCAATCTTTCCCTGGAGGATTAAGTGAAGGATGTCGTACTTTTTCGGGTGTCGCATCGCATGTCCAAAATATTCTAACTTTTGCTTTTTGGTGGCTTTATTTATTTATTTATTTATTTATTTATTTATTTGTCGAGTACGTATTAGATAATATATATAAGTATAAGCATGAATTGAATACATAAAATGAATACAATTAAAGGGAACATTAGGACAGGGACGATAGGCACGCTGGTGCTCTTATGCACGCCCCTTACAGACCTCTTAGAATGGGAGTGAGTACTGTCTTCAACAGTAGACAGTCTTAGGTTAAAATTTTGGGGGTTTTGGGAGTCAGCTAGTGCATTCGAGGCATTGACCACTCTGTTGCTGAAGTTGTATTTTCTGCAATCGAGTTTGGACTGGTTCACTTTAAGTTTGTATCTATTGTGTGCTTGTGTATTGTTGTGATTGAAGCTGAAGTAGTCATTGACAGGTAGGACATTGTAGCAGATGATTATATGAGCTATGCTTAGGTTATGCCGAAGGTGGCGTAGTTCTAAATTTTCTAAGCCCCAAATTTGAAATCTGGTGGCATAAGGTATTTTGTTGCGAGCGATTTTCATGATTTCCCTTTGCTTTCCCAGGCGGCTTATCACCTCCTCCTTTCTGATTTTGTTAACCCAGCTTATACGTAACAGCCGCCTGTCAATCCACATTTCAAATGCTTCTAGTATCTTCAAGTGGCTTTCTGTCAGAGACCAACTCTCCACTCCGTAGAGCAGGATACAAAAGATGTAGCATCTGACAATCCTGATTTTTCAACTTTAAGCTTATGTCGTAAGTGCTTAGTGCTTGCAGGGCTGCGATGTGCAAAAGGGCTTCCCAGCATCACATGCGCTGTCCTTCCAGCTCAGCTCTCACCTGCCTTGGCAGTGAAGCCATTTAATGCGGCTGCATGAACTGCTGCATTTCGATGCCTGCTGTCCGTCCTGGTAGCAGCCTGGCTTCTGCCACTCCTCTTCTGTTTTCGGAAAGCACTCTTGAAAATACATTGTGCTTTCCAATGTTGAAAGAGAAACCTTTTAGCCATCAGTAGAGTTCAGGTTAAGATTAGGGCTGGAGACCTTCCAGTCGGAAAGCCACGTGTGGATGGCTCCGAGTTATTCACTGGTTTGAAGACGTCGCTAGCAATTTATGCATGAGACGCAGGGAACTCCACCATCAGGATGGTGGCCATGTTTACACCAAGTTTCCAAAATGTAAGGGTTCTGCCTCTGTTTCAGACCATGTGTTGACCATCTACCGATGTACGGTCACCACATGAAAAATATGTGTAAAACTTTACATGCGGTGTACATGTGCGAGAAGCCCTCGTTTCTGTGGGTCCCTCCCCTTTTTTTCCTAATGTTTTCTTTTCTCTGTTCCATTTAGTAAAATTAAGAGAGGCAAACAGATTTTTAAAAGAACAAGACCCCCACTGCCAAGGGGTCCTTCTGCAGCTGCTCCTCCTCCAGAGTTCAGCTGCACCCCCTCCCCAAGGGCCCTGAGGTGCCCGAAGTCTGGAGGGGGAGGGAGGGGAGGGGGACAGAGGCTGCAGCCATTGGAGTGGGCACCTCTCACTTGTGCCACAGTGTCTCCATCACCTGCAGGCGAGATCCACTCCTCCTTCAGCCATTGGGGGCTGAAGTGTTTCTTGGAGCCGTGGTGGCTCAGTGGTCAGAGTGCAGTACTGCAAGCTACTTCTGCTAACTGCTGGTTGCCTGCAATTTGGCAGTTCAAATCTCACCAGGCTCCGGGTTTCTGAGGTGGGTAAAATGAGGACCCAGATTGTTGGGGGCAAGAGGCTGACTCTGTAAACTGTAAACTGCTTAGAGAGGGATACAAAGCACTCTCTAAGTGCTTTGAAGCGAGGGCTATTGCTATTCCTTTTCTCCTTCCTTCCTTCCTTCCTTCCTTCCTTCCTTCCTTCCTTCCTTCCTTCCTTCCTTCCCTCCTTCCCTCCTTCTCTGTGATTAGAATGCAGTATTGCAGGCTAACTCTGCCCACAGCCAGGAGTTCGATCCTCCTTCTATCCTTCTGAGGTCGGTCAAATGAGGACCCAGATTGTTGGGGGCAATAAGCTGACTCTGTAAACCACTTAGCTGTAATAAGCTGTAAAGCTCTGCGAAGCAATAGAAGTCTAAGTGCTATGGCTATTGCTAGAGTATCCACCAGCTGGGATGCAGCCAGAAGCAAGGAGGAAGTTCAGTCTGGAACACTTGGACTACATCTCCCATTTCCCAACCTAACACATTTTCAGCTACGAATGCAAGACATGATGGAAGCTGTAGTCCAACAGTCCCTCCCTCCTCTTCCTGGGTGTTAAGCCTTTCTCCACAGAGCAGACAGGCACCTGCCTAAGGTCCAGGTGTGTGTTGCTGGCCTGCAGGTGCCTCCTCTTTCCCTTCTCAATGTCCTGACCCCTGTAGACCACGGGTGACCGCCATGTTTCTTCCACCAAGTGAGAAGCACTGGAGACTAACATAACATAGATGCAGGGCATATACTCAGTTTATTAAGAACATTTTTAAAAAGTGGGAAATTGTGAATGTCTACATCAGAGGTCTTCAAACTTGGCAGCTTTAAGACTTGTGGACTTCAACTCCCAGAATTCTCCGGCCAGCTATGCTGTGGAGAATTCTGGGAGTTGAAGTCCACAAGTCTTAAAGCTGCCAAGTTTGAAGACCTCTGGTCTACATGATGCAGGGAGAGACCATGTTAGGCCAGCCCAACCACCCTCTTACTTGAGCACCTGGGATGAAGAGCTATGGGGGTGTACGTCCAAAAGGTGTACAGGCAGTCCTCAAATTACAACCACTATTGGGACCAAAATTTCTGTTGCTGCAATGGTCGTTAAGTGCGAGGATTTATTGTAAGTTAAGTTTTTCAGGGCCGTTCGAACAGTCACTAAATGAATGGCTGTAAATCGAGGATTAAATGTAGCATAAAAAATAAAGATAGTGGCCCCAAGGGCTCAAATTCGGGACGCCTGGACTCTGACTGGGTGGGTTCAGGCGAGGTGTCCGAGGCGGGTCTTGAGAATGTTATCTGGGAGGAGTTTGATCCTGTGACTCCCGAGGACGTGGACAGGATGCTGGGGAGGTTGAACGCAACCACATGTTCATTGGACCCGTATCCCTCCTGGCTGGTGCTGGCTACCCAGGAGATTACACGAGGTTGGCTCCAGAGGATTATAAACACTTCTTTGAGTGAGGGTTTCTTACCTCCCGCCTTGAAAGAGGCAGTGGTGAGGCCCCTCCTCAAGAAGCCCTCTCTGGATCCGGCTGTTTTGGCAAATTACGGTCCTGTCTCCAACCTTCGCTTTGTGACGAAGGTTGTTGAGAGTGTGGTTACGTGACAGCTCCCACAGTACCTGGATGAAACTGTCTATCTGGATCCGTTCCAGTCCGGCTTCAGGCCTGGGTACAGCACGGAAACGGCATTGGTCACATTGGTTGATGATCTCTGGAGGGCTCGGGACAGGGGATGTTCCTCTGTTCTGGTCCTATTAGATCTCTCAGCGGCTTTTGATACCATCGACCATGGTATCATGCTGCGCCAGCTGGAGGGGTTGGGAGTGGGAGGCACCGTCTTATGGTGGTTCTCCTCCTATCTCTCCAACCGGTCGCAGTCCGTGTTGGCTGGGGGGCAGAGGTCGACCTCAAGTTACCTTGTTTGTGGGTGCCGCAGGGGTCGGTCCTCTCGCCCCTTCTGTTCAACATTTATGTGAAGCTGCTAGGTGAGATCATCCGTGAATTTGGGATGCGGTGCCATCTGTACACTGATGACACTCAGCTGTACATCTCCACCCCAGACCACCCCAACGATGCCCTTGAAGTGATGTCCCGGTGCCTGGAGGCCGTGCGGGTCTGGATGTGGAGGAACAGGCTCCGACTCAACCCCTCCAAGACTAAATGGCTGTGGCTGCCGGCGTCCCGATATAGCCAGCTGGTGCCATCGCTGGCTATTGGGGGCGAGTCATTGGCCCACACGAAGAGGGCTTGTAACTAGGGCGTCCTCCTGGATGCACGGCTGTCTTTAGAAGAGCATATGACGGCCGTGGTCGGGGGGCTTTTTATCAGATTCGCCTGATACGCCAGTTGCGTCCCTTTCTGGATTGGGACTCGTTATGCACGGTCACTAACGCTCTCGTCACCTCTCGCCTGGACTACTGCAATGCTCTCTACATGGGGCTCCCCTTGAGGAGCACCCGGAGGCTACAGCTGGTCCAGAATGCAGCCGCGTGGGTAATTATGGGGCGACATGGCGCTCCCATGTAACACCTCTCCTGTGCGAGCTGCACTGGCTCCCGGTGGTCTTCCGGGTGCGCTTCAAGGTATTGGTTCTCATCTTTAAAGCGCTCCATGGCTTAGGGCCCGGGTATTTACGAGACCACCTTCTACCACCGATAACCTCCCACTGGCCAATCTGCTCCCAGAGAGGGTCTCCTCAGGGTGTCATCGGTCAAGCAATGTCAACTGACAACCCCCAGGGGGAGAGCCTTCTCTGTGGGGGCACCCGCCCTCTGGAACGAGCTACCCCCAGGAATACGACTGATCCCGGACCTCCGTACTTTCCACCGAGCTTTGAAGACCTTCTTATTTCAGCAAGCCGGGCTGGCTTAAAATTTTAATGGGCTATTTTATGGGTAAAGGGTTTTAAAATTTGGGGAAGCCAAACTGATCTAATTCTGTTTTAATTTATTTTAATTTTTATACTGTATGTATTTTAATTTTGGCTGTTCACCGCCCTGAGTCTTTCGGAGAAGGGCAGTATACAAATTTAATAAACCTAACCTAACCAATCCAAGCTCTGTGCATCACATGTAAAACCCAGCCGGAGCCTCAACAGCATCATGACGATTTCACTAGTGTGTGCAAGATCATAATGACTCAGTTTCCCCCGTGTAGATTTATGAATTAATCGCACTGGGAGGGGGGGAAAAAGGAGAACATTTTCTGCCTGGGGTTGATTTTGGCCTTTCCAGACAAAGAGGCTGCATTCTGACAAAAGGGGCAGGAACAGAACAAAAATTAAGCTTGAAAGAACAAAAATTAAGCTTGATTTAATTAAAAGGCCAATGTACTTTTAATTAATAGCCAAGACAATCCTTCCCTGGTTATCCAGTAAAAAATCACCCTGACCCAAGAGCGGAATTCTGCACTTCAGCTTCAGCGTTCCTGCAGAAGAAACTTGGTCCGGATTCTATAAAGTGCATTGCCAAAAAAAAAAAAAAAAAAAGAGGGGGGGGGAGATGGAACCAGGGAAGGACGTGCAGATTCCAGTCATCCCAGTACATCAAGGGTGGTTCAGCCACAGAGGAGTAAGAAATGGAAGCTGCTCAGGCCACGTTCTGGTCTCCCAGCCGTCCAAGGGACCTTTCAGTCTTCTGCCTCGATCCACATGATGCAAGAAGACATTTTGGCACGTGGCACTGCAGGAGAAGCGGGCATGGGCTTGCCTTGGGAGAAGGGAAGGGTGGCGCCAGGCAGCACCCTGAGGAAGTTGTGCCCCCTCTCCAAGCAGCCTCAGCAGCTTGTGCCAGCCTGCAAAAGGTGCCCGCCACGTTTGTATATCCCTTCCTTCTCCTGCCCCCTCCGTGGACAGCATTCCAGCCCGGCGGTCCCACAGTTCCTTCCTTCAGCTCCACCCTGGGAGCTGCTACAATAGCAGCTCAAGTGCAAGTCCATGTCCGATGCGCTCCGGAGAGATCCTTGAGACAAGGGGAAGAGCCGGGAGAAGAGTCTCAGGGGAAGGTCGGGCTCGCCAAGCCTGGAGGAAGGCGGCTTTGCAGAGGTCCCCGAAGGGAACCAAACCAAGCAGGATTCCCAGCTCTTAGGAGCCTTTTCCCGTCAGCCAGGACATGTCTCCAGTTCTGCAGAAAAGACAAAATGGCGGCTGAGTTATGGCAGCCTCTCTGAAGGCCAGCACAAAGCGGGCAATGCTGGCCAAAAGGCCTGGCCCGGGGGTGCAGTTGGACCAGCCAGTAGCTCGGCCGAAGCCTGTTGTGTTGTGTTGTGTTGTGTTGTGTTGTTCTGACATTTCTGGCATTTCTGCCATTTCCCGAAGGGCTTCCCTCAATCTTCAAAGCCCCTCGGAGTTTCTTGCGTCCCCTCTTGCACCAAAGTGAATCAAGATGGGGTTGTTTTGAGGTTCCTCCTGACGTTTTCCATCTGCCCAGGATGGAGGGAAGGGCTGTTTCCCCCTCCCTTAATGGCTGACCCTTCCCTCCCATAGATCATCTTGATGTCCCTTTATAACTCCCAGCCTCCAGGGCTGTTTGCTATCTCCAGAATCACAGGCAGGGTCAAAAAAGTCAAGATGGTGGCCACAGCCATCTTTTTTTTTATAGGCATCACACCTTTAATCATACTGTTGTGGGTGGCATCTTAACGTTGTTTATTATTCCCTGTGGACACCCCAGGACGGTATACCGTAAGTGATAGATACCAATGGTGAAATTTAAATTTTTTTACTACCAGTTTTGTGGGCGTGGCTTGGTGGGCATGACAGGGGAAGGATACTGCAAAATCCCCATTCCCACCCCACTCTGGGACCAGCCAAAGGTGGCATTTGCTGGTTCTCTGAACTACTCAAAATTTCCGCTACCGGTTCTCCAGAACCTGTCAGAACCTGCTGGATTTCACCCCTGATTGATATGTATATGAGAGAGAGAGAGAAAGACAGACAAACAGACAGAGACAAACTGACGAGATAGATAAATAGATGGATGGATGGATGGATGGGAGAGGTGTAGCTCTCGCCTCACAATCAGGAGGCTGTGAGTTCAATCCTAAATAGAGGCAGATATTTCTCTCTCTGGGTACAATGAGAATATATCTGCTGAATATAACTCCGCATTGGCGTCAGGAAAAGCATCCGGCTATTAAAACACTCTGCTAGCTCCATTCAGTTGCCCAGACCCCACCCAACAAGGAATTATGGGGTTGTTAAAAGATGATAGATGATAGATAGATGATAGATAGATAGATAGATAGATAGATAGATAGATAGATAGATAGATAGATAGATAATAGATAGATGAGAGAGGGCACAGTGGCATAGTATCTGTTTATTCCCCAGCTGAAGGACCCAGAACTCTGCACAAAAGCAGCCCCTGGGCTCTTTTAACAATCATTTGTTAAATAATTGGTGGCACAGCAGACTAAAGCACTGTTAAGTAACACCAGCTGCCTGCAATTACTGCAAGTTCAAATCTCACCAGGCTCAAGGTTGACTCAGCCTTCCATCCTTCCGAGGTAGGTAAAACAAGGACCCGGTTTGTGGGGACAATAAGCTGACTTTGTATAAAAAAGAACACCGCTTAGGGGAGGCCGAAAGCCCTACTAAGCAGGTATATACAAAAGTATGAAGGCTATTGCTTAATGCATTGTAAGCCGCCCTGGTCTCCGGAGAAGGGCGGCATATAAATCGAACCAATAAACAATAATTTAATAATGGAGCATTTCTGTGCCACCATTTCCCTCTTTTTCCTAATTAAAAAGCAGGAATAGCTTCTCAGCTGAAGGCAGCCCCGCCAATGCCCTCAGCTGGGCCGTGATACTAATGCAAACATACACATGTACATACGTACCGGATGAAGAGCCTTAAATTGTAGCAGTAAAAAAGAGAAAGAGGGAGGAAAGGAGAGTAAGTCAGGGCCGCTTTCCTGGGTGCCGGGGGGGGGGAATCTAAATTCCACTCCAACCTAACACTGAATATGATCATTCACTTTCTAAACTGGGGGGGGGGGGAACTGTCCCTGTTCTGAGACCCCATAAGTGGAATTCATTGTTCTCTTGTCAATTCTGCTCATTAGAACAGCTTATGCCCAGATTTAGAACGAGGCATCCCACAGGGCTGTCAAATAAGTCATGACTGTGCAACCAAAGCTCTCCCCCCACCTTCCGTTTTACACATGGGGTTAATTGAACGACCAGCCTCTTGGCTTGGTGCTCCCACCACCCTCCCCCCCGACATGGAATGGGACAACTCGCTGCACCACAACCAACTCACTGCAGGATAATTCGCCTTGGGACAATTTAACAATTCAGTTTAATTATTTTTAAAATGAATAAAAGATTATTTTAATTTTTGTCGTTCCCATTTCATTCTGCCCCTCCTTTTGCATCCTTTTCTTTAAGGATTCCGTTGCACCGTTTCTTTGATGCTAGCGTAACTCTTGTCCCGCAGCGAGTTGTCCTGCGGTCAGTTGGCCACAGCAAATTGTCATAGACCTCCCCCAACACCCCCGATTCAGAATTAGAACAAAAAACGTTTGTAAGGAGAGAATGGACAGTCACTTGTCTGAGATGGTATATAGCAGTGACAGCTAACCTTTTTGCTGTCGCGTGCCAAAAGTGGACGGAGTGTGGGGAGATCGCGAGCGTGCATGCTCACATCCATAATTCAATGCGCCCCGCCCTCTCACGCACGTGCATGCGACACCCCCCCCCCCCCCACACACACTCCCATCTGCTTTTGGCACACAATGGCATGGTGGGCCCAGTAGGCCCATTTTTTGCCTTCCCCAAGCACCAGAGACTTTCTTGGAGCCTGGGGAGGGCAAAAACAGCCTTCCCCACCCTACCAGAGGCCCTCCGGAGAACAGAAATGGCCCGTTTCCCAACTTCCAGTGGGACCGGAAGGCCCATTTTTCACCCTCCCCAGGCTCCAGAGGCTTTCTAGGAGCCTGGGGAGGGCAAAAACAGCCTCCCCCCCCGGAGTCCCTTTGGAGGCTGGAAATGGCCCATTTTCTGACTTCCGGTGGGACCGGAAGGCCCGAAAATCAGCTGGATTCAGCATGTGTGCTGGAGCTGAGCTAGGGCAACACTCTCATGCCCACCGATATGGCTCCACATGCCACCTGTGGCATGCGTGCCATAGGTTCGCCATCACCCTGCTTGAGCAGGGGGCTGGACTAGAAGACCTCCAAGGTCCCTTCCAGCTGTATTCTATTCAAACCTTTCAAATCTCCCTCCTCCCAACCTGCAGGGACAGGTTCTCTTCTCTGGGCAGAAGAGACAAGTGGAGAGTCCTTTGGCAGGCAGGCAGGCAGGCAAGCAGGCAGGCAGAAAAATATAAAAAGCCCCGTTTAAAGTCGCAAGAATGATGCACTTGTGTTTAAGATGGTCAGGGAGAGCCACAGGAAGAGTGGTACGGTGGCCTAGAGGTGGATCTCTTGCCTCACAATCAGAGGCTGCGAGTTTGATCCTAGGTAGAGGCAGATATTTCTCTCTCTGGGCACAATGGAATATATCTGCTGAACAAAACTCTGCATTGGTGACAGGAAAGGCATCCAGCCAGTAAAACACTCAGCTCCATTCAGTTGCCCAGACTGCACCCCACCAGGGATTATGGGGTCGTTAAAAGAAGATGATGAGATGAGGGAGAGCCACAGGAAGCTCACACTCGTGTTTGCCAAAGGCTGTTGCTCTGACTTGTTTGCTCCACGGGGAGTGGGAGTGGTGGGGCTGGAATATATGCTCAGAGTTAAGCTTTCTGTGAAGGAGGAGGAAGGCGGCAGCTACTCAAGGTAACTTACTCCACGTCTCGCTTGCGGATGGCCCTGCCGGAGCCCATGACGTCAGCCACCTTGGAGACCAACGGGTCGTAGTTCATGCTGGCCACGGCCAGCACTTCGTCGCTCCTGGAAGAAAAGACCAAGGGCTCAGAAGTGGCGGTTAAGAGCCGCTGCCACCGAGCCAGGGTGCATTTCACGCAAGGCAGGAGGTTCCAGTGGATCCCAAGAGAGTTTTCTCCAGGCGCTTTGCTTCTTTTGCACCCAGGTCTGCTGAGTTGACCCAACAAACTGAAGGGATCAGCAATGGGGTGATATGAATGGAACACAAATGCTGACTAATTATATTCGCATGACCCACTTCATTGGCTCACAGAACAAGCTAGCAATGGTGGCATCTCTCAGGGATGGTCAAAAAAAAAAAGACACAGGTGGTGCAGTGGTTAGAGTGCTGTACTGCAGCTACTTCAGCTGACTGCTAGTTCAGCAGATCAGCGGATCAAATCTCACCGGCTCAAGGTTGACTCAGCCTTCCATCCTTCTGAGGCGGGTAAAATGAGGACCCAGATTGTCGGGGGCCATATGCTATTTAGTATACTGTCTTTGGTGTAAGCCGCCCAGAGTCCTCGGAGAGTGGGCGGCATAGAAATATGAATAATAAAAATAAATAAAAATAAAGATGGCTTTTCAAGCTCCCTTCTGTAGATGGCGCTGTCTGGCAGCAACAGGTAGACTCCTTTCTAGGAGCAGCTGCTGTGCATTATTGGTTTATTTGAAATCCGTGGTCTACCCAGACAGCAAGATCCTTCTAGCAGCTACAACTGCTAAGCCAGGAACTGCATATCTTCCTTGCATGTAACTTTGGATCTTTTTTCAAAGGTGCTTTTTTCAGGAGGCAACTGGACTTTCTTGTTGTTGTTGTTGTTTTTTTGAAGACGTTTCACTTCTCATCCAAGAAGCTTCTTCAGCTCTGACTGGATGGTGGGGAATGGAAGGATTTATATTCCTTGCAGACAGCTGGATATTTGCATCCTTATAGAGCAGTGTTTCTCAATCTTGGAAGCTTGAAGATGGGTGGACTTCAACTCCCAGAATCCCCCAGCCAGCACTGCTGGCTGGGGGATTCTGGGAGTTGAAGTCCACCCATCTTCAAGCTACCAAGGTTGAGAAACACTGTTTTAGAGGGTCATTGAAGCACTTGGAGGTTTATCTGTATCCTCAGGGTCACCTGAGTAGTACTCCTGGTAACACATGATGCACATGAAGAAAAAACCAGAAAGTCCAGTTGCCTCCAGAAAAAAACCCTTTAGGACAACCATGACTTGGATGACTGAGAATCTGTACATTTCTCACCACTGAACATGGACACTGAACTGGATGCAGCCCAATATTCAAGTCGATCAAAATTCTTCTGAACTTTGGAAGCCTGGAATGGTCCTTGGTGTGCTTCTTCAAAAATGTTTTATTTAGTACTGTGTTTCTCAACTTTGACAATGGGGGATCTTCAATCTTAGAATTCCCCACCCAGCTATGCAGGCTGGAGAATTCTGGGAGTTGAAATCCACCCATCTTTTTTTTTAAAAAATTGATTTATATGCCGCCCTTCTCCGGAGACTCAGGGCGGCTTACAATGCGTTAAGCAATAGCCTTCATACTTTTGTATATTTATACAAAGTCAACTTATTGCCCCACAAACTGGGTCCTCAATTTACCTACCTTAGAAAGGATGGAAGGCTGAGTCAACCTTGAGCCTGGTAAGATTTGAACTTGCAGTAATTGCAGGCAGCTGTGTTAATAACAGGGTGCTTTAGACCACTGTACTACCAAGGCTCTTATCTTAAAGTTGCAAAGTTGAGAAACACTGTAAATCTGGAGTTTCATGGCCAAGGTAATAAAATAAAATAAAAACTTCTATTATTCTTTGAAGCTAAAATCGATTGCACAGATTCACCCAGCTTCTGTGACATCAACAAGCAATACACAAGCAGTTGTATTTGCTTACTATAAACAAACAGCATAATTTTGCAACACACATCATGGTGGCTTGTAAATGAAAGCTTTTCAAGGGCACTTACTTAGTGTAAAAGGCTACAAATTTAAGTTCGTCTAGGTCTCCCCGAATAATCACATCATCAAATCCTTCTCCATGACCTAGAAAAGAAAAGCAATGTGTATATGTAGGAAGCATGAAGTTTCTTTTTCCTATTTTAATCTGCCATCTTGTTTCTTTTAAAAAAAAGCATTAAAATATATGTTATAAGAAACTAATTAAACTACACATGCATAAATACATTTAGAGCATTTTGAAACAAATAGACATTTTATAGCCTTGGTGGCGCAGCAGACTTAAGTGCTGTTAAGTAACATCAGCTGCCTGCAATTACTGCAAGTTCAAATCTCACCAGGTTCAAGGTTGACTCAGCCTTCCATCCTTTCAAGGTAGGTAAAATGAGGACCCGGATAGTGGGGGCAATAAGCTGACTTTGTATAAAAAAGAACACTGCTTAGGGGGGGCCGAAAGCCCTACTAAGCAGGTATATACAAAAGTATGAAGGCTATTGCTTAACGCATTGTAAGCCGCCCCGGAGAAGGGCGGCATATAAATCAAACCAATAAATAAATTTTAAAATGTATTTCACCACATTTTTATGGAGCACTGCATTGCAACATGGAAAAAACAAGGAGGATTTTGCTGCAAAGTGCAGGTGAGCCGACAAGGTGAAGAATTAGCTCCCTTTTGGTCAAGAGTGGAGAAAAAGACATTTTAAGGCACCCTAAACTTTCTCCAGCCTTTCAAATCTGAGCTTAATTCCATAGCACAAATCACACACAGATAGACTTCTGCATTTCTTCCAAGCTTTGTAAGGATGAAATGTGATAACTGTGGATTTTGCCAAACTCCCTGAGTGTATTCTTTTTTTATTTTATTTATCCAATATATATATGACACCTCCACTTTAATGAGTGACTCTGGGCAGAAAGCAGAATAAAATAAAAACAATAACGAACATTACAAGATTTAAAATACAAAGTACCTGAGAACATCAAGCAACCCTCCACCTCCCCAAAACCAGAAAGGCAACCAAGAAGCAGGTCTCAGCGCACTCTCTAATCCTAAACTTTTCTTCCCTCACCTGCATAGCGAATGCTCTTGCCAAACATGGCGGTCCACAGGTAAGGGACGGTGCTGATTTCGGTCCCATAGGCCAGCATATTCAGTGCTGCTATGCGCCCTGGGATGCAATAGAGAAGCAATGGAATAGAGAATGGAATAGAGAAGTCAATCAGGCATATGAATTAGGGCCCTTAGAGCACATCATTAGACCGTTTGTTCATTATTTGAATGGTGTAAGACAGGGGTCGGCAACCCGCAGCTCTGGAGCCGCATGTGGCTCTTTCATCCCTCTCTGGCAGCTTCCTGTTACTGGTCGGCTCCACAATTGATAGGTCTTTCGGTTAGGACAGGTAGAGGAAAAAGGATGCTATGCTAGAAGGAGATTCTATGGTGCGGGGACTTCCGGTCGGCTCCAGAATTGAACGGTGGTCTTCCGGTTAGGACTTTTGTGGCTCTTTTGAGTGTTTAAGGTTGCCAACCACTGGGGTAAGCCATTGTTTCTCAACTTTGACAACTTTAAGATGGGTGGGATTCAACTCCCAGAATTCCCCAGCCTGGCTAGGGAATTCTGGGAGTTGAAGTCCACCCACCTTAAAGTTGAGAAACACTGTGTAAGCCCTTGGAGGTTGCCTAGGTCAAAAAACAAACTGTGTTTATTGGCTCTCACACACTGCATTCAACAAATCCATTTTCTGAGACAAGAACACTGCAGGGACTCTAGCAGTGCCCTTTATTGTTGTGGAGTAAAGAAACAGCACCTTGGGAGCCTGTCCAACTTTCTCCCTGTCCCATACACAAAACCATAGCCATTTGGACAGTGGTGGAATTCAATTTTTTTTACTACCGGTTCTGTGGGCATGGCTTAGTGGGCGTGGCAGGGGAAGGATACTACAAAGTCCCCATTCCCTCCCCACTCCTGGGGGAAGGATATTGCAAAATCCCCATTCTCATCTCACTCTGGGGCCAGCCAGAGGTGATATTTGCCAGTTCACCAAACTACTCAAAATTTCCGCTACCAGTTCTCAGAACCAGCTGAATTTCACCCCTGCATTTGGAGTGTCTTTCTCCTGCTTTCCTGCTTCTCAAAACTAAGTCTTCTGGAAATCCTCTCTTAACAGCTCACTCCTACCTTCCTTATCGCCAAGACCAGCTCTACACTTCTTCACCAATGCAAAGTCTTAAGACTCCAGTAGGGAAAATCTAAAGATGTGTACCTAGGATGGGAGGTACTTCAGAGGACAGCAGGACATGGGGAAAGTCTCTGGGTATCCTAGTGGATCCCGATTTTGAACATGAGCCAGCAGACGGGCCTGGTGGCTCAGCAGACTGATAGCATTGTGATTAACAGCAGCTGTCTGCAATTACTGCAAGTTCAAATCTCACCAGGCTCAAGGTTGACTCAGCCTTCCATCCTTTCGACGGTAAGTAAAATGAGAAGCCGGATTGGGGGGGGCAATAAACTGACTTTGTATAAACATACAAAAAGTATGAAGGCTATTGCTTAACTCATTGTAAGCCGCCCTGAGTCTCCGGAGAAGGGCGGCATATAAATCAAATTAAAAAAAACAAAAACAAAGTGTCCTGCAGCTGCAAACAAGAGAGGCGCAATCCTAAGGGGCACTGAGAGAGATGCAAGATCAGGAAAAGTTGGTTGTAATGGTAGCCTTCTCTTCTTTTACACCCCACCCTGCTCTGCTGTTGCTGGAGGTGAATATGGGTGGCTTTATTATTATAATAATAACATTAACAAGATTTGGAAAGGACCTTGGAGGTCATCTAGTCCAACCCCCTGCTCACGCAGGAGACCCCGTACTAGGGATTCGAACTGCCGAACTGCTGACCTTTCTGATCGACAAGTTCAGTGTCTTAGCCATTGAGCCACCTAGTCAGGCTTTGTGTGTACATGTGATGCATACAAAAGCATGAAGGCTGTTGCTTAACGCATTGTAAGCCGCCCTGAGTCTCCGGAGAAGGGCGGCATATAAATCAAACCAATAAATACATAAATAAAATAAATTTGCCCTGAATAAGGAGGAGCGAAGCAAGCTTTAAAACCGGAACAGGTTTATTTATAGGGAAAATATGATTGGGGTAGGCGAAGCTGAACACACAACTAGACCTAGGAAGGTTCTGGGCCTGGGAAGGGACCCCAGAAGAGCAGGCAGGTGACCGAGATGGAGGAGATGCAAAATCCCCTCTCTCTATATACACCCCCACTGCTCCTTCTGCTCAGAAGGGGGGGAAGAATCAGCATCATTGGATTCAGGCCTCTGCCTGCCCCCCCCATCTGCCCCCTGGATATCTTGGCTGCCCTAAACTACGTGGAAAAACCAAGACAGGCTGCAGCTCCCTGCACCGTTTGCTCAGGACTTCCCAGGACTTCCAAGGGGGAAACGGAGGCTTCTCTTCCACGAAAGAAGGCCACAACCGTACCCACCGTGCATGTGAGCCATCTGCCAGTGTGGAACGTTGGTCTTCTTGTGGTTCCTCAGCGCCAAAGGAAAGGCCACCGTGTCGCCCGCAGCAAAAACTCCTGGAATGTTGGTCTGCATCATCTGGAAGGGAGAGAAGAGCTCTGTTGGGAGGGGGAGGGGCGCCTTGCAAGGACGGGACAGGGAATGGTCCGTTGCAGGAGGAAAGAGGGAGGGAGGGAAGGAAGGAACGAAGGAAGGAAGGAAGGAAGGAGCAAAAGAAAGGAAAGAGGAAGGGAGAACCAACCTAACCAAGGAGAAACTAAACTTGGATGAGAAGCAAAACGTCTTCAAAGAAAAAACAAGAAAGTGTTATTTTTATTTCTTCTACATTGTGTTTTTATTTTCTGTAAGTGCCTAGAGTCACTGGGAGGGAGTAGGAGGCTATATAAATTTGAATGAATGAATGAATGAATGAATGAATGAATGAATGAATGAATGGTGGTTCCCATCACCCACCTCCTCCCATTTATGACCTTGTTGCTGGTATCCTTACGATTTATATTGATATTGTTTCTTGATTGCTTATTTGTACCCTATGACTATCATTAAGTGTTGTAACTTATGATTCTTAATGAACGTATCTTTTCTTTTATGTACACTGAGAGCGTATGCACCAAGAGAAATTATTTGTGTGTCCAGTAAAGAAGTCTATTCTATTCTATTCTATTCTATTCTATTCTATTCTATTCTATTCTATTCTATTCTATTCTATTCCTATTCCTATTCCTATTTCTATTATTTCTATTTCTATTCTATTCTATTCTATGAATGAACTGGATGGATGGATGGATGGATGAACTGGATGGATGGATGGATGGAATGAATGAATGAATGAATGGTTCAGTGCTTGGCTGACACCCTCCCTCCGCCTCCTCCCTGGCTGGCCTGTTTGGCAGCTTCTACGGTACCTTGTTCACCACGATGTAACCTTTGGAGTCCAGATGGACCCCGCTCTGCTTCAGAAAGCCGGTGGCTGGAGTGGCCCCTGCGCCAAAGAGAAGAGGGGCATTAGCAGTGGGAGGGACTCTTGGCCCCCAACCCCATTTATTTGAACCACGGAAAAGGCCATTACCAAATGCTAATGGCTCTTGACAACTCCATCTGCTTTATAAATCATAGAAGGATAGACCATCCATATAAACTGGAGATAATACAAGTTTAAGTCCCCATTACCAATTGGTGCTTTGTGATAAGTTTTTTTTTTTGTCTTCTTCCCTCCTTCTCCTATTTTCCTTCCAGGTTACAATTTTTTAGCTTGTAACTATCTTTAGGAGGTGGTTGTTCTTTAGTGGCCTGTAGAATAATCTGGCTTTTTTGGGGGAAAAGTGAATTAAAATTAAAATAAAAAAGATAAAATACAGCATCTTTCTGCCCTGTTGCAGAGGCTGCCTTGCTGCCAAAGTTAAACACTTCTTGAACTCCCTCTCATCATGCCCTCACTTCCTTCTCACACTTTCTCATGGTTTCAGAAGACCCCGGATGAAATAATTATCCTTTGGCTATGCAAAGATTTCTCCAAGTGGTGCGGTGGCCTAGAGGTGGAGCTCTCGTCTCACAGTCAGAAGTGAGTTCGATCCTCAGTAGAGGCGGATATTTTTCTCTCTGGGCACAATGAGAATATATCTTCTGAACAAAACTCCACATTGATGACAGGAAGGACATCCGGCCAGTAAAACATTCTGCTAGCTCCATTCAGTTGCCCAGACTCCACCCCCCGAGGGATTATGGGGTCATTAAAAGAAGAAGATGATGCAAGAATTTCTCTGTCGTAGATAAAACTTTACTTCTCTCTCTTTTTTTTTTCTACAAATACAAGTGTTTTTCAGACAGCAAGTCAGAATTCCATGTGGTTTTCTTGGCATCAAGATGGTGTTTTGCCTCTCTCTTCATCTCTGGTCTTCCTATCTAGTCTGTTGCCTCAATTTTTGTGAATGAGCTAATGTCAACTATAATCTCTCTTCTGACTCTCCTCACTGAGCCCTGTGACTTACTTCAGGGACAATTTCCTTGGCAACCATAGAGAAGTACTTTGCCAGGGCCTCCTTTCCAGCTTAATCATTGTTCTAGAATCTCCAGATGGTCCCCCATCCAAAAATCTACAAATCTACAAAATGGCTTTTTTTCAAACTCAGCTAAGTACTGCCTCAGCTAAACTCAGCTAAGTGCTACCTTAAATTAAATTAAAATCAGGCTGTCATTGAGGGAAGCTCAAGGAAGGATCCCCGAAACACAGGAGCACTCAGAGGCATCCCCAGGTGGTTATTCCAAAACTCAAGATGGCCAAGAGCAACTGATCAAAGCATGTGTGATGGTCTCCCTTGGACGATTCCTCAGATTCTTTCTCGGAAGTCCTTCCTGGCATGTCAGGAACTGGGTTAATTAATGACTCTGAACAGCCAGCTGAAAGAAATTTACAGGAGGCTTCAACTGGGGACAGCTTGCAGGGGAGGACAGAGAAGGAGGAGCTGCCTTCCATGATGGATCCGAGAACATGCAGGGCAGAGAAAAGACAAGAGCCACAGAGATCTGCCAGATTACTCAGGAAGAGGCCCTGCCCATCTTGGCGGAGATATGTGCACTGCGAGACTCCCCCCTCTCGCAGGTTTGGCCCTCCACTCTATCGAGGGCCTACCTTAATGACGGGCTTTGGAACCCCGAGAGGTGGCATGGTGCGAGAAGGGGGTTGAGGGGTTTTTTAGCTAAATTTTTAACCAAAATTTTAAGGGGACCCGGGAGGAAGGGAGGGGGTTGTAAAAGTGGACCCGGGGGGGTTCAGATAGCAACTGAGCGGGGTGATGGGTCGATTGGCTGCAACAGAGGGGTCGTGAAAGGAAATTTAACCGGGGAGCAGGGGGATGATAGGATGGGCTGTGTAATTGAAACAATGAGTGGGAGGGGCAGGTATGACGGGCGCAGGGGGCCATATCATGTGCTGGGGGTGCGCACACGCTGTTTACAAGTAATTACGCACCCCGGCCCCCAATGCACGACTCGTGTCCTGGGTTGTGCAGAGTCTCAGGCCCAGGGTCCGCGGCTGATGTTGTGTAATGCCAGGTCGGTCGTTAATAAAGCCCCCCTCATTTGTGATCTTATTTTAGAGGGGGGTGCGGACCTGGCAGGTATTACGGAGACCTGGTTGGGCCAAGAGGGGGGGGTCCCCCTCATTGAAATGTGCCCACCAGGTTTCCGTGCATTTCATCAGCCAAGGGCCCAGGGGAGGGGTGGGGGAGTGGCGGTGATTATTAGGGAGAGTCTTTGTCCGAGGGAGACCACTGTTCCTCAGATAGCCGGATGTGAGTCCCTCTTTGTGAAGTGGGGCCATGGGGTGCAGATGGGTTTGCTGACTGCGTACCTGGCTCCCTGCCACGTGGCAGTGACCCTGCCCGAGCTACTCGACGTCATTGCCGGGGGGGGCGGTTGGCACCCCCAGACTTATTGTCATGGGGGATTTCAACCTTCCGTCTGCGGGTGAGGCGTCAGAGGCGGCTCGGGAGTTCATGGCTTCCATGACGGCCATGGACCTGACCCAGTTAGTTCAAGGCCCAACTCACATAGGGGGACACACTCTGGACCTGATTTTTGTCTCTGGTCAGTGGTTGAATGATCTTGGTAGAGGGGACCTAGACATCAAACCCTTGTCATGGACAGATCATTCGCTCCTTCACTTAGACTTTCCTACCGCTTTCCCCCGCCGCAGGGAGACGGAACCGACCAAATGGTTCCGTCCCAGGCGCCTGATGGACCCCGAAAGGTTCATGATGGAGCTTGGGCCGTTTCCTGAGACTCTGGCACACGACTCGACCGAAGAGCTGGTGGCCGCCTGGGAGAGTGCAGCCGCCGGAGCTTTGGACCGCGTCGTGCCTTTGCGGCCTCTGACCCGATGCCGATCTCAATTGGCTCCTTGGTTCTCTGAGGAGCTGAGAGAGATGAAGCGTCGGAAAAGACGCCTAGAGAGCATTTGGAGGACTAGTCAATCCGATTCTGACCGGACACAGGTGAGGTCTTATATCAAGACCTACCTAGTGGCGATAAAAGCGGCGAAATCTAACCATTTCTCTGCTCTTATCGCATCTGCAGAGAACCGCCCAGCCGCCCTGTTTAGGGTGACCCACTCCCTTCTTCGGGGGGGAGTGCGGGAAGATCCCTTGCAGGGCCGCGCTGAGGATTTTGTGCAATTCCTGCATGATAAAGTCGCTCGGATTCGGGATGGCTTGGACTCCGATTGGATGAGTCCAGGGGAGGAGACAGGGGCAGGCCTTGAGAATATTATCTGGGAGGAGTTTGATCCTGTGGCTCCCGAGGATGTGGACAGGGTTCTGGGTAGGATTAGTGCCGCCACATGTTTATTGGACCCGTGTCCCGCCTGGTTGGTACTGGCCTCCCGGGAGGTTGCACGAGGCTGGCTCCAGGGGATTATAACTGCTTCTCTGAGTGAGGGTGCCTTTCCCGCCGCCTTGAAAGAGGCGGTGGTGAGGCCCCTCCTCAAGAAGCCTTCCCTGGACCCGGCTGAATTAGCTAACTACCATCCGGTCTCCAACCTTCGTTTTGTGGCGAAAGTTGTTGAGAGTGTGGTGGCACGACAACTGCCCGGGCACCTGGATGAAGCTATCTATCTAGACCCGTGCCAGTCGGGCTTCAGGCAGGGGCACAGCACAGAAACGGCATTGGTCGCGTTGGTGGATGATCTCTGGAGGGCTCGGGACAGGGGTTGCTCCTCTGTCCTAGTCCTATTAGATCTCTCAGCGGCTTTTGATACCATCGACCATGGTATCATGCTGCGGCGGTTAAGAGGGTTAGGAATAGGGGGCACCGTTCTGCGGTGGTTCTCCTCCTTCCTCTCCGACCGCTCGCAGTTCGTGTTGGCAGGGGGGCAGAGGTCGACCTCGAGGCATCTCGCATGGGGAGTGCCACAAGGGTCGGTCCTCTCGCCCCTTCTGTTCAACATTTATGTGAAGCCACTGGGTGAGATCATCCGTGGTTTTGGGGTGAAGTGTCATCTGTACGCTGATGATACTCAGCTGTACATCTCCACCCCAGACCACCCCAACGATGCCCTTGATGTGATGTCTCGCTGCCTGGAGGCCGTGCGGGTCTGGATGGGGAGGAACAGGCTCAGACTCAACCCGTCCAAGACCGAGTGGCTGTGGCTGCCGGCGTCCCGATATAGTCAGCAGGTGCCATCGCTGACTATTGGGGGTGAATCTTTGCCCCCCACAGAGAGGGCTCGCAATCTGGGTGTCCTCCTGGACGCACGGCTGTCTTTAGAAGAGCATATGACGGCCATGGCCAGGGGGGCCTTTTATCAGGTTCGCCTGATCCGCCAGTTGCAGCCCTTTCTGGACCGGGACGCCTTGCGCACGGTCACTCATGCCCTTGTCACCTCCCGGCTGGACTATTGTAATGCTCTCTACATGGGGCTCCCCTTGAAGAGCACTCGGAGGCTCCAACTGGTCCAGAATGCGGCCGCGCGGGTGGTTATGGGCGCAACTCGTTGTGCCCGCGTGACACCCCTCCTGCGCGAGCTGCACTGGCTCCCAGTGGTCTTCCAGGTGCGATTCAAGGTGTTGGTTACCACTTTTAAAGTGCTCCATGGCACAGGACCCGGGTACCTTCGAGACCGTCTTCTGCCACCAATAGCCTCCCACCGACCAGTCCGCTCCCACAGAGAGGGTCTCCTCAGGGTGCCATCAGCCAAGTTATGTCGGCTGGCAACACCCAGGGGGAGGGCCTTCTCTGTGGGAGCCCCAGCCCTGTGGAATGAACTGCCCCCGGAAATACGCAAGATCTCCGACCTCCGGGTGTTTCGCTGCGCATTGAAGACCCTGTTGTTCCGCCAGGCCGGGCTATCGACATGATAATTTTAAATTGGGGTATTTTAAATTTTTGGGGTTTTAAATCGGCCAAATCTATTTAATTATTTTAATTTTTAATTATTGTTGTGTCTTGTGTTTTTAAATTGGCTGTACACCGCCCTGAGTCCTTCGGAAAAAGGGCGGTATAGAAATAAAATTATTATTATTATTATTATTATTATTATTATTATTATTATTATTATTATTATTATTGATGGGCTGCACCGGAAAGCTATTTATCACAGCAGCCAGAGGGAGGCATTGCTGGGAACAACGTGTTGGGTTTATGCTTGTGTGTGTGTTTATTCCTCATGCTTCCTGCCTGACTTCGTGCCTTGGAGACTCTGAACTTCTCTTGCCAAATGAGCTCTCGTGGATGTACTTTCAGTTTTGCCTGGTGGATTTAAGTTTGTTTGGTGGACTTACTTGTTGGAACAACTCTCTACTGTTTTATGGACTATTGGCCATGGTCTGGTGGACTAATCTTGGCTGCTTGTGGCTGGATTGATTTGGGACAGTTCTGAGGCCAGGTGAAGGGAACTGCTGGAGAACATCAATAAAACTCTCTATAAACCACACTTACGCGTGTGTGTGAGTGAGTGGGGCAGCACAGCATGTGAACCATGTAGAGAGTGAGCTTAGATTGTGCAGTCCTGGTGCCGTCTTGACTTTCTTGAGTCCCCCCCAGAGGACGCCCCCAAAGTACTCCAGTGACTTACCTATGCCAATCACGCAGACGTCTGCCCGGAGTACTTTGCCACTCTTCAGCACTACCTCCTTCAGCTTTGGGGAAAGGTAAAATGCAATCAATTTTAAAAAATCAAATCTATTTCTTTGACACAGCCCTGCCTGTCTGTGAAGCCAGAAAGCAAGGCATTGCTGGGTGGGAGAGGCTCCCCACCTCTCCTTGAGTGGGGGGATGTGGCCGGGCTGTTTCAAACAGAAATACAGTATCCTGGCCACCTTGCAAGCTCTGGCCAACTGAAAACAGCTGAAATATTATAGGTTCTCCTGCTTGAGCAGGGGGCTGGACTAGAAGACCTCCAAGGTCCCTTGCAGCTCATTCATTCTGTTGTTCTATTATTGTTCGACCTCCCCAGTGGGGCTGTGCCTCTCTTCCTCGCCTGCCCGGATCCAAGGAAGTCACCGGCTGCCTTGCAAACTGCCTCCACAACTGTGGACTTCCTCACTCTGTCCATGGGCAGAATCCTAAACTTTCAAAATGAGTCCAGCGGAGGGCTGGAGGACTTCTGGATCTTGGCTGCAAGGGCTGTGGCTGGATGGGGGTGGCAGTCATATCCGGAAGGGGCAAGTGCTAGGAGACAGATGAGGAAGGACCCTGTTCTCTTCTTGACATTCATACGGCCCACAGGTTGGGGATCCCTGCCCTATACCATTTCAGACAGGTGGCTGGCCAATCTCTTCTTAAAAACCTCCAGTGATGAAGCACCTACAACCTCTGGAGGCAACTTCTGTTCCACTGATTCATTGTCCTCACTATTGATAAGTTTCTCCTTAATCTCTCCTTGGTTGGTTTCAGAGGTGGGTTTCAGCAGGTTCTGACCAGTTCTGGAGAACCGGTAGAGGAAATTTTGAGTAGTTTGGAGAACCGGTAATAAAAATTCTGATTGGCCCCGTCCCCATCTATTCTCTGCCTCTCAAGTCCCAGCTGATTGGGAGGAAATGGGAATTTTGCAGTATCCTTCCCCTGGAGTGGGGTGGGAATGGAGATTTTATAGTATCCTTCCCCTGCCACGCCCACCAAGCCACACCCACCAAGCCACACCCATAGAAGCGGTAGTAAAAAATTTTGAAACCCTGGTTGGTTTCCATCCATTCCATCCATCCAACTCTACCTTGCCCTCCTGTTCCCGCAGTTCCGACACTTCAGTCTGCATGTAGAATTTCACTCGGTTGTTTTCAAACATCTGTCCGAGAGGAGAGGAAGGGAGAGAGAAGGTTGAAAAACGTTCCTCTCAAAATAAGGTTCGACCCTCCCCAAATGCCCCCTCCGGGCAGCTGCCTTGCCTTCATGATGGCTCGCCCAACCTTCTCCCCAAAGGATTTCTTGAAGGGCACTTCTTCCAGCTCCACCACTGAGACTGAGTGAGCCTTCTCCGAAAGGTAGGCAGCCACCTCCATCCCTGCAAAACGCCAGAGGGAGCAGGAGGGTTAGGAAGCCACTGCAGGAAAGACCCAGGACAAGCTGAGAGCCTGCAGGTTGGTGCAGCGCAAAAGCAGAAGATCCGGCTGCTGAAACAGGTCAAGTTGGGTGAGACGAGGAAAAAACAACAGCTAAAAACAGAGGGAAGAGCCCCCCCCAAATTCTCCAACTTGGACACAGAGCTTAATTTTCAAGACATATTTAGCCTGTGTCCACACCAGTAGTGGTTTCAATTTAGTTTGCTACCGGTTTGCTCGTGCACAGAAGCATCCAGGCAGGTGGGCAGAGCCTCCCGGGGCGAACCGGTAGCAACCCATCACTGGTCCACACAGAGTACTAAGCCATGATTTCCTTAATCACGATTTGTACAATAAACTACAAACAGCAGGCTTGGCTTTGCATGCTAAACCCTAAACCATAGATACCCTGTTTTTCCCTGAAAATAAGACCCAGTCTTTTGGGGGGGGGCAGGACCAAAAGACCTATTAGGTCTTATTTTGGGGGAATGTCTTACTTTATGCATGCCCGCCTGCTCCCTCCCACCATCTACTTGCCCACAGCCTCAACAACTTACAGGGCTTCCCAGGGTAGAAACACTTTTCACCTGGACGGAGAAATGACGGAGACTCGAAGCTTCGTCTGCTTGCAAATGGGACACTTTTAAATGGAGCAATTAGCTCCATTTGCAAGCAGATGAAGCTTCGTCTCCCTCTGGGCGAAAAGTGCACGGCAGAACCAGGCAGAGGCAGAGGCAGGAGTCAGGACGGGGGGAGGCAGGCGATCCCAACAACACTGCCCACTCTGTCCCACCCTCTCTCGGCTTGCCTGCAGCCATGCCAGGCAGGAACCTGCATGGGGCATTGGGATCACCTGCCTCCCCCCTCCCCTGCGCCTCTGCCTCTACCTGCCGCCGCTGCGCAAGCCTCCCACAAGCCTCCCGTGAGCCAGGCAGCCACACAGCACATCCGTATCGCCTGTCTCCCCCGCACCTCTGCCTCCACACTCGAACTTATCTGCACTGTGCCAAAGGGCCGGTGAGCTGCGGTTGCTACCACACACTGTCAGCCCCAATGTGCTCGGTGCCTCTTGTGCTGTCCATGCCTATCCCCCCAGGATTATTTGAGGGGAGGCCCACCCCAAAAAATCAGGTTAGGGCTTATTTTCAGGGTGTGTTTTATTTTTGGGGAAACACGGTAGTAAACCGTGCTAAACTCAGATGAAACAAACCACATTATGAATCAGCTCAGCTTCCGAGGCCGTCTACGCAGCCTTTGCTCACCCAGGAAAGAGGCTCCCACCACTACGGCGTTTTTGCCAGTGGCCACTTTGACCACCCGGTTGGCATCTTCCACAGCACGGATGGTGAAGACGTTCTCCACTTCCTTGCCTTTGCAGCTGAGCGTTTTGGGTCTGGAAGGAGAGATAGGAGAGGTCAGGCCGAAGGATCCTCCAAAGGTCAAAGAAGGGCAGGTGGCATAACAAAGGGAGGAAGCCTCCTTATTCCTGGCCCACCTTCCAAAACTCCTTAGGCCAAGTTAGATTAGAAAAAGACTAGAATCCTGGCTACCCATTTTGAGTCAAATCCTTTGGTGATCTGAGAAAGAGAACTGCAGCTCCTGCCTTTTATCATTTTCATCCCTTTTATTATTAGGTACGTTTGCCGCCTTGAGTTATTTATAAAAATGTGGGATAAAAAAAATCTAAAATCTATATATAGTATATAAAAGCGAAAACCACTCATGCATTAATTACAAAATCTCCAGAACCATAAAGCCTACAAACTTTAAATTTGTCACTTATGTTCCTCCTGGCTTCTAAGTGCTCACTAAGAAAGGATTTTTCGAAATGACCATTACAGCATTAGTATTTCCTATATTATTGTTAACACACTCTGATGCTAAGGAGTTGTACTCCCCCTCCCCACCTCAAAAGAAATCTGTTCCAAATGCAAAACACAAGCAGAGGAGAGGAGTTTCACTTTCCGTTTCACTTTCACAGCAACAAGCAGCTTTACTACAGAACAGTTGAGCTAAGCCACGCCCAGCCTCCTTCCTGTCTCCTTGCTCACACAGCAAATACTGTTTGAGTTTCCAAACAGCCTTCAACTTTCTCACACACTGACTGGATGCTAGCCAGATGAATACCGATGGATGCTGCGGGCTGGGACATTCTATTCCCCCTCCCCCTCTGTTCCAACTGCCAGTTGCATTATATTAACACACTCTGATGCTACGGAGTTACACATTCTACATTAAGTTTCAGGCTGCAAGTGTCAATTTATCAAGCCCCAGCACATAGTTTCATAGCGAAGCACGGGCGTCCAGCTAGTTACTAAATGAAACTGTTCAGTCTCCTCCTGTCTTTTGGCCAGCATGCACCACTCTCATCCTACATGATCTAAAATGAATTAGGACGGCAAGCTGTTGTACTGGTTTATTGTTCTCACTGTTAGGAAATTTCTCTTTCGTTCTATGGAATTTCACCAAATTCCATAAAACTAATTTCAATTTCTAAGCCATGAAAGCTTAGGCTGCAACCCACTGATTCATCTTGAAGATACCACAACATTCTCAGTCCATTTGTCAGTCCCAAATAACCAGATCCACCTGTGAAGAGTCCAATTAACTCCTTTATTGCTCATGCCTATTACAGAGAAATCTTCTCAGATTTTGCATGCTGTCCTGTGCATGCTTAAGGATTCCTGATTAATTCCCCACTTGACTCCTCCCCCTGGCTCAGCCAGTCTCTCTCCGACACATTTGGGGTGCAAAAAAACCTTCCCCGTCTGAAAAACAAGACCTCAACACTTGGTGTAAAACCTTTTAGGGCCACTTACGTGTTTCCTGTTGCCAGCAGCAACTTATTGTACTCCATCTTAAACCCATCCTTGAAAATGGCCGTCTTGTTCTTCACATCCACTGCCGCCACCTGAAACAGTATGGACAGGTCATTAACAGTAATTTCTTAGCTGTTCTTTCTTTTTTCCATCAGAGCAACACACACCTACAGAATTGTTGTGGCCTGTCAGCCACCAGCCCCTCCAGCAGCCGAATCAGAGGAGGAGAGGGAGGTGTGGGAGTCAGGGTCAGCATCAAGGCAGCCTGAGAGCTCCGAGGGGGAAGAGGGAATGGAGCTGGCAGAGAGAGAGAGAGAGAGAGAGAGAGAGAGAGAGAGAGAGAGAGGCACAGCCTGGGCTGTCCGTCAGCCCTCAGATGGAGAGTCAACAGCCCCCAGGTCTGGAGGTGGCTGATGAGGAAGAGGAGGAACAGCTGGGTCCAGTGCCTGACACAAGGATGGACAGAAGGCAGAGGAGAGAGTGGAAATCTATGGGCCAGTCCTTAGGAAGGAAAAGCCACCACTGCTAGCGAAGCCCCACCCTAGCTCTGGGGATAAAAGGCAGGGGGCGGAGATGAATAGATGTGGCAGACAACTATTCATCTCCCAGCCGGACAGGCTTGTTAGCCTGCGGTGAGAGAGGAACTTTTTGCCGGGGCTGCTGGCGCTCCTAATAAAGGAATCTTTGAGTTCACTTCAGAGGGTTTGTCGTGTTCTGGGTCAGAACAAGAGTCCACACTGGGGACAGGCTTCAGGGAGCCAACCACACCCATCCAGAACCATTTTTGGAGGCCAGGTGATGTGACCTCCCTTCATAGGTCCTGGTTTAGTAGAGCAGCTCTTGAAAGGGTGGGTTAAACCAAACCATCTCTGGATTAAAAACAAAGTCCTTTTTTTCAGTCCACACGGACTCTCCCTTTACACATCCCACAAAGAGAGCCAGGCCTTCTTTGAAGCTCCCCCCGCCCCCCACAGAGACAGACCCTCTCACCTGCATTTCAGTCAGGACCTCAATGTCATTCGTGCGGAAGAATTCTTTCGGACGCAGAGCGATCTGGTCAGCGTGGGAATCCATTGACTGAAAGCAGAAGTAAATTTTGTTATTAGATACTCCTTAAAAGCCTTCCAGGGGTGTGCCAGGAGTTGAGAGTTGTAATACCTGGAGGGTTTCACTAAGGAGGTGTAACGGTCTATGACAGGGCTGTCAAACTCGCAGCCCACGGGCCGGATGTGTCACGGGCTGGCCACACCCAGTTTAGCGAAGGGGGGAAAATTCGCGATACGCCAAGTGACAACACCGTGATGACGCAGGTTTGACACTCCTGGTCTATGAGAATGACCTTTGGAGACAGGTGGAAGAGCCACAGACTAGGGAACAATCTGCAGAAGGTATCTGCAGACCCCTCACATCCTGGACATAAACTATTTCAACTTTTTCCCTCACGATGCAGCTATAGGGCACTGCACGCCAAAACAGTTAGATGTAACGACGGTTTTTTCTCCCATGCCATCACTCTGCTGAACACTTAATTCCCACTGTCTCATTTCCCAGGAGTCTAGTGGGACATGCATTCATTCACAGATGAGTCCCAAATAGTTGTAAAGAGTCCTTCGGGATAAGGCTGATAATCACCCCCTTTATCTCCCTTGACACACTGCCAAAGACCTAATTGGCAAAGCCACACGGAGTCCAGAATCAAACAGAGCTTCAGACTTTAAACAGAATTAACAGAGTCCTCGTCCGAGCCTTCCCCAGACTCCAGGACTGGCCCATGTTTTTCCCCAACCTCCTCACTGTCCGACTCTGCTGCCAGCTCCTCAGGCTGCCGGCAGACCACAACAAGAGGCAGCTGAACCTGCAGAGGAAATGAGGGCATGGAAAACATCTCAGAAGGGACCCTCCCAAGTTTCTTGGACTGTAAAGGTGAGGAGGGAGATATGTGCTTTCAGGCTTGTAAGATGGTTGTCAGCCTTGTGAGGTAGTCCAGGCAAGAAGCACAACCAGAAGTACTAGCTCTTAATTTTATTGTCAGGTTACATTAACAGAATCTCTCTACCCCTCACCTTTACAGCCCAAGAAACTAGGGAGAGTCCCTTCTGAGACATTTTCCATGCCCTCATTTCGTCTGCGGGTTCAGCTGCCTCTTATCTGATTGTTGTCTAGTCTGTGGCTCTTCTTCCTGTCTCCCAAGGACATCCCATCATACCATTGAGAAGACTGCTTGAGGACAACCTGAGAGTCTTCTTCAGTCTTCCTGGAGCCGAGTGAGCCTTGCAGAGAGAAAAACCCAGAGGGATCTGCTGGGGCCTCGCAGGGGTTCGGGATAACCTCTAGCTAAGATTCCGTGCAGTTCAGAGAACCCCCAAATCCCACTCCTGGCTGGCCCCACCCACCTGCCCCTCCCCTCCCAGGAGTCCCCATGTGGCCCGTTTTGGATGCAGGTAAGTGCAGGGTGTGCGCAGAGGCTCAGGGAGGGCGAAAAACGGGCCTACCGGAAGTTCGGGAAGGCTGGAGAGGGCCTCTGGAGCCTGGGGAGGCCATTTTTGCCCTTCCAGAGGTTCACGGAAAGCCACCGGAGCCTGGGGAGGGCAAAAACAATGACGACCCACTGTGGTGCAGGAGGCCTACTAGGCCACGCCCACCATGGCCACATTCACCCAGCAACCGGGCAGAGAACCCCTTGCTAAAATTTTTGAGGCCCATCCCTGGACAGACCTATGTCAGTTTAGCTCTGGAGGGAGCATCATTTGGGCTGCTTGGCCTAAGCCACAATCAGTGGTGGGTTGCTCCCGGTTCAGTCCGGTTCTTGTGAACCAATAGTAAAAGCGGCGGGAGGGAGGCTCCGCCCACCCGCCCGGATGTCATCATGGATGATCTGTGCATGCTCAGAAGTGCAAGCGCGCGCAGGTGCTCCCGTTGCGAACCGATAGTAAAGGTAAGTAGAACCCACCCCTGGCCACAACCACTAGAGATGGTGGTAGCTTCTAAATTAATTTGAGGAGAAAGAGCAAAGGTTCAGTATTAACTCTGCCCTTAAATCCATGATTGACAAGTTACATGGACACCCACGAACTGCACGAAAAGGAATTGTGTTTCATTTCCAAGACAGCATCGCAACTCTCAGGGAAAGGATGGAAAAGTGAACCATCCCACCCACTGCCCTCGAGGAAGTCTTGGAGAAATTCCTGGGTAGGCACCAACCTTGCTGAGCTTGGGCCTGTCGTAGGGCAAATGTCGATCGATTGTGCACATCACAATCCTGTCCGAGAAGCCCTCTTGGCGGAGGGTCTCTGCACACACCAGCCCAGCAGGACCTGCCAGAGGAAGTGACTGTTGGTGGAAGCAGCTGTCCATTTGCGGCTGAGAATTCCCCATTATGTCTTCTCCATCTTCCTCCCAGAGTAGCAATAGCAATAGCCCTTAGACTTATATACCGCTTCACAGTGTTTTATAGCAGGGGTCTCCAACCTTGGCAACTTCAAGCCTGGCGGATTTCAACTCCCAGAATTCTGGGAGTTGAAGTCCGCCAGGCTTAAAGTTGCCAAGGTTGGAGACCCCTGCTTTACAGCCCTTTCTAAGCGGTTTACAGAGTCAGCCTATAGACCCCCAACAATCTGGGTCCTCATTTTACCCACCTCGGAAGGATGGAAGGCTGAGTCAACCTTGAGCCTGGTGAGATTCGAACTACCAAATCCACCCGAGGCTCCCAGGAAGTGGGAACAGTGCCGCACCAGCACAGAGGCACCAATTGGGCTGGACAATTATTTGATTTGGAGGTTTGATCCCAAAACAGAAACCCCAGACTGAATGGGCTCTCCAGAATAAATGAGAAAGCCGATCTGAATAACTGAATAGGGGCTTCCACGATGGGATGTCCTTGTGAGTTTTTCCCACAATTCTCTGACAGTCTGGGCAAAACCAGATTCATTTGGGGCGTTTGAAGGGATGGGTGGACATCCTTGCTGCTTGAACTCCGCAGTGGAGTCTCCAGGAGGACACCCATCCAAGCAGGGCTCTGACACACACACCCCCAAGCTGAGACCTCCACCCTTGGACACTCTCTCTCTCCACCAGCCGGTACCTGCCCCAATGATGAGCACGTTGGTGCTGCTGATGCTGTAGTTGCTCAGCGAGATGCATTTCGCCATCACCTTCGTCCGCTTCTGGGCTTGAAGAGCCTGGGATGCAAGAAGGGGCCATGTCAACTCAGTCCCCAACTTAAGCATGCAGCATCCCAATCCCTACAACATCCCCAATCCCAATTCTCCTCCAACCAGGACCCAACCAGAGAGGTGGACTTCAACACGCAGAATTCTCATGCTAGTGGGAGAAATATGGAATTTGAAGGCACTCAGGCTGGGAAAGGCTGCTCTACACACAGTTAGTTAGTTAGTTAGTTAGTTAGTTAGTTAGTTAGTTAGTTAGTTAGCTAGCAACAACACTTAGACTTATATACCGCTTCACAGTCCTCTCTAAATGGTTTACAGTTTACAGAGTACTATTGCCCACAACAATCTGGGTCCTCATTTTACCGACCTCACAAGGATGGAACCTTCAGCCGGTGAGATTCAAACTGCTGGCAGTGGGCAGAGAGGAAGGAAGGAAGGAAGGAAGGAAGGAAGGAAGGAAGGAAGGAAGGAAGGAAGGAAGGAAGGAAGGAAGGAAATAGCAATAGCACTTAGACTTATACACCGCTTCACAGTGTTTTACAGTCCCTCTCTAAGTGCTTTACAGAGTCAGCCTATTGCCCCCAGCAATATGGATCCTCGTTTTACGGACCTCAAAGGATGGAAGGCTGAGACAACTTTGAGCCAGTCAGGATTGAACTCCTGGCAGTGGGTAGAGTTTGCCTGCAATACTGCATTCTAGCCACTGCGCACCATGGAAGGAAGGAAGGAAGGAAGGAAGGAAGGAAGGAAGGAAGGAAGGAAGGAAGGAAGGAAGGGAGGGAGGGAGGGAGGGAGGGAGGGAGAAGGGGGGGACGGAAGGAAGGGAGGGAGGGAGGAAGGGGGAGGGAGGGAGGAGGGAAGGAAGGAAGGTAAGGAGAGAGAAGTGAAGGATGGAAGGAAGGAAGGAAGGGCAATAGACTTCTATATCGCTTCATACAGCCCTCTCTAAGCGGTTTATAGAGTCAGCCTCTTGCCCCCAACAATCTGGGTCCTCATTTTACTGACTTTGGAAGGACAGAAGGCTGAGTCAAACCTTGAGCTGGTTAGGATCGAACTCCTGGAGTCAGCCGTGAGTTAGCCTGCAGTACTGCATTCTAACCACTGTGCCACCACGGCTCCTGTTAGTTAGTTAGTTAGTTAGTTAGTTAGTTAGTTAGTTAGTTAGTTAGTGTTATATGGCTACCCATGTTCCTTTTATGTGACTGTAGGTGGCTTACAATCAAATAATTAAAATACACAACAGAAAAAATAGAAAGTAAAATTAAATAGCAACCGGGCATTGACCAAGCAGTCACTCATAGAGAGCCAGGAGGTGGGCTCTATGATCCCATGCCTTTTGAGGCACAATGCTCAGTTTCCAAGGCCTTGCAAAAGGCCAACAGGGATGGGGCCAGTCTAATCTTAGATGGGATGATGTTTCAAAGGGTGGTTGCCCTGGCAGAATAGGCTCTCTTGGGTACCTGGGGCATGCCCCTCCTGCCAGGTCAAAAGGACAGGAAAATAACAAAATGCAGATTAATCACTGCAGCACCCTAAACCAGGGGTCTCCAACCTTGGCAACTTTAAGCCTGGTGGACTTCAATTAAAGTAATAAAAATACTTTAAAAAGGTTAAAAAAAGGTTCCAAGGATCACAGCTATGCTGCACGATCGTCGGAATCTTTTTTTTAACCTTTTAAAAGCATTTTTAACTACCAGTTCCGGAGAACCGGTAGTTAAAAATGCTTTAAAAAGTAAAAAAAAAAAAAAAAGTTCTGACAATCACACATCGCTCAGCTGATCTTTGGAATTTATTTTTTTTATTACCGGTTCAGGCGAACCGGCCCGAACCGGTAGCATTTCACCCCTGGAAGCTGCCCTGAAGAATAAATGGCAGGGATTCGAGTGGGGTGCGGGTGGGGTGGTAGATCTTACAGCTCACCTGTTTGCTTGCTCGGATGTACACCTTTTCCTTCTCAATTTTCACCTGGAACGGGAAAGAATGCCTTCATGTTTCATGATGCAACTTTCACCCTCGTTAAAATAAGTGTTTGATCATCATATAAGCCTAACCCAGCTGCTCCCACCCACCACCCACCAATGAAAAACAAGGCAGCTTGTCTTCAGGCAGATGGTAGAGTAGAATGCCCAGCCTGCCCGAGCAGAGACTCAGATCACCTCCAAAGTCCTCCCAGACCAAGGATCCAAGGTCATCCCCAACACATGTGTCAGGTTTCACTCCCTCTCCCAAACAATTAATCTTTGCTGAAATATTCCATTTACTGAGTACGACAGATCTGGCCCCGACTTCGTCGTAGTCGATACTACTCCTCTGACCCCCAAACCCTTTCCCTTTCCCTTTCCATTCCCCAATTCTCATCTTCTCATTGGCCATCTTCCAAGTCAGTCTCCCCAGCTTCTGACCTCACCCCACAGGAATGTCCCCCCTCCCATCCCATCTCCTAGGGGATATTATCTACAGAGAAAATAAGCAGTGAAAAGTCAAGCCTCGTCTCCTCCTTTTTATGGCAGCATCAGAATGCTGACAACATGCAGTGGTGGGATTCAAAAATTTTTATTACCGGTTCTGTGGTGTGGCTTGGTGGGCTTGGCTTGGCGGGCGTTATGTGACTTAGTGGGTGTGGCTTGATGGGTGTGGCATGGGAAGGATACTGCAAAGTCTCCATTCCCACCCCACTCCAGGGGAAGGATACTATAAAAACTCCATTCCCACCCCACCCCACTAATCTGCTTTCCAGCTCCGTTCTCCTATGCAGGGCAACAAAAGAAGACCCAGCCAATCAGCTGGGACTCAATCAACTGGGATTCAGGAACAGTGGTGGGTTTCTCCCGGTTCGGCCTGGTTCAGCCAAGCCAATAGCGGTGACGATATGACGTCACCGAACCGGTTCCGCCCCCCCCCCCATTATTCTTACCTTTTATTTGGACCCACCCCCAATATATTGCTGCCTCCTGAGTCCCAGCTGATCGGCTAGAAGGAAAAAAACTATTTAAACTCTTGCCGCGGGGCTTAAAAGGCCGCCCTACAGCTGATCAGTGTTAAAAGGCAGTGTGGTGGTAGACTGGCGCCTCCAAAAACAAATGAGTAGACCGATGCCTGCAAAAATAAATGAGTAGACCAGTACAGTTCTGCAAGCAGTTAAAAGCCTGGTAGACCAGTACCTCTGCTAAATCCTAAAGAATTGTCACATGACCATCAAACCACGCCCACAAAATAAGCCATGCCCACAGAACCAGTAGTAAAAAATTTTAGAACCCACCCCTGCTCAGGAGGCAATGAATAGATGGGGGCAGGCCCAGCCAGAGGTGGTATTTGCTGGTTCTCCAAACTACTCAAAATTTCCACTACCAGTTCGCCAGAACCGGTCAGAACCGGCTGAATACCACCTCTGAACACATGGGGACTTCAGCTTCCCTTGAAAATCTTTAACAGGATCATCACCAGTCAGAGCTGCTCCAGGGGATCCAGCCTAGGTTTGGCTACATGACCTCTGAGTTCCTTTCCAACCCTAGGATTGTATGAATAAGACCAAAGAAAGGGTCTCAGAGCCAAGAATTGGTTAGGCATTTGTGGGACAGCATTAGCTGCTATTCCAGACAGCGTTCCTTATGCGCCATTATGTCCATGGCCACTGACAAGGAGTGTGTGTGTGTGTTTTGTGTAGACTGCCATCGCCTTTCAGCCCCTCTATAATTCCTCTCTATGACCTGGAGGACTGACAGGGCAGAGCTGAGCTATTGAGATACCATTTGGGTACCAAACTGCCTCCTTCTCGCTCATCCTTTCTTCACCTTGGAACCTCAGTTGACCTGGCCAGGTGTGTCAGGTGAACCCCCCCTCAAAGGTCTTTGACAGCCCCCAGTTCAAAGAGTCCCAGTCTGTAAACTTTTCAAGGTTTCTCTATCTTGGCCGCTTGAAGATATATGGACTTCATGCTGTCCAGGGAATTCTGGGAATTGAAGTCCACGTATCTTCAAGTGGACAAGGTTGAGAAATTCTGGTCTAGGGATTAAAGGGAGTGGCTTGCTGGGATATTTGCCAGGAACCCAGGTGAATAGACGGAAGGAGGCAATTTGTCTGAAGTCATGTGCAGAGGGGAAGGGGAAGGGGGTGGGCGGCTGCTGATTCCTAGTGGCACGAACTGGGTGGAGATCACAGGGTCTTTTCCTCAAATGACCGGCTGTTAAACTGCAGACCTCTCACCTGGAATTTGGGGAGACTATCCAGGCCTGGGAAGTCTTCAATGTCGCCAGTACCGATGTTGAAGCAAGCCCCGTGCCAGGGGCAACGGATCCGGCCTTTGGACAAGACCCCTGCAGGGGGACCCCAAGAAAGCAACAGCAAAATTAGTCCCCCTTTTGGTTGGAAGTAGTCAAACCTTGGACTTTTGCTGCTTTGAAACAAAAAGAGGTAGCTGAACTAAGTAAGGTTTGCCATTAAACACTGCAGGAGGAGAGCTGGGTTAATTCTATAGCAGTGTCTCTCAACCTTAACAACTTTAAGAACTGGGCCTGGCTAGTCTAGTGAAGAGGAGGACTAGGGGAGACAGGATAGCAGTTGTCCAATACTTGATGGGCTGCCACAGAGAGGAGGAAGGGGTCAAGCTATTTTCCAAAGCACCTGAAGGCCAGAGAAGGAATAATGGATGGAAACTGACCAAGGAGAGATTCAACCTGGAAATAAGGAGAAATTTTCTGACAGTGAGAACAATCAACTGATGGAACAGAAGCTGTCTTTGAAAGTTGTGGGAGCTTCATCACTGGAGGCTTTCAAGAAGAAATTGGACTGCCATCTGTCAAAAATGGTATAGGATCTCCTGCTTCGGCAGAAGGTTGGACTAGATGATCTACAAGGTCCCTTCCAACTCTGTTAATCTAATCTAATCTAATCTAATCTTTGTCAAGATGTCAGGACTTCCCAAAATTCCCCAACCAGCATGCGTGGATTCCTGGTGAACTCTAGGAGCTGAAGTCCATATATCTTAAAATTGCCAAACTGCTGTAAATGAAGTGGAGAACGGAGAGACTGCAAAAATTCTTAAGGTGGACTAAGGTTTCAGCTCTTCGGATTTAAAAGCGGGATCCACTGGAGCAGGGCAGGGGTCTCCAATCTTGGCAACTTTAAGACTTGTAAGACTTCAGTTCTGGGAGTTGAAGTCCACAAGTCTTAAAGTTGCCAAGGTTGGAGACCCCTGCACTGGAGAACCAAAAGATTAGCAAACAGAGCTCTGTTCTGCAAAGGAATCCTTCTGGCTTCTACGCAAATTAAGCTATTTGAGAAGCAGAAGGAGAACAGAACAAGTGTGCTTGTGGATGTAGAACGTACACTTGAACAATATCTAAGGTCTTTCAATCACACCCAGGTCCTTGTCTGAGCACTGTTGACATACACTTAAAAAATCTTGATGGTGGCAGGTGAGCGTCCATCCTCTTTAATGCGGTAAACTCAGAATTATCTTGGCACGATTGCTAACTTTGGCAGAGACGGAGCTGCCAAAGATTCTGGGAGCTCGGAAAAATGACATCAAGGTATTTAAAGGCCAGAACGTGTTCAATGTTATTATTTCAATTTACCATTGATGCTTAAGGCACCGGAAGAGAAAACAGTAACTTCATTTTTGGAGTGGCTGACCGCAAACAGTTCCTCCACTTAAACTTTTTTCAAGAGGCATAACTGGACTTCCTGGTTTTTCCTTGAGGACGTTTCACTTCTCATTCGAGAAGCTTCTTCAGCTCTGACTGGATGGTGGGGAATGGAAGGATTTATACTCCTGGCAGACAGCTGGTCATTTGCGTTCTTTCAGTTAAGGCCACCTGGAGGTTTATCTATCATCAGGGTCACCTGAGTGGTGCAAATGGGTGTGGAGCCAAACCTTGAGCCTGGTGAGATTCGAACTTACAGTAATTGCAGACAGCGGTGTTAATCACAATGCTATCAGTCTGCTGAGAAGCAGACAAACCAAGACGGGGTCAAACCAAGAGTGACAGAATCTTCTAGCGTCAGTGTCAGCTGCCATTAAGAGTTTACTATTTTCAGAGCCTTGCAGGCTTCTTCTTTGGGCAAACAATTGTCACAACTTCCCTCAGCCTTTTCAAGCCAGCCTTGCACAGACCTCTTCTAGCTCAGGGGTCACCAACCTTTCGGACCTCAGGGACCACTAAATTCATAATTTTAAATCCCGCGGACCACTAATATGATCTGTCTAATTACCAGCTGGGTGGGCGTGGCTAGGTGGACAGGTGAATGGGTGGGGGTGGTCAACTTGATGTCATTCATGTTGAGGGGTGCCTCGCCAGCCTCTACTTGCCCCTCTCCTGCCAGCCTCTGCTCACCTGCCTGCCCAGGCTCCTTAAGGGCCTGGTGGCTCAGCAGACTGATAGCATTGTGATTAACATCAGCTGCCTGCAATTACTGTAAGTTCAAATCTCACCAGGCTCAAGGTTGACTCAGCCTTCCATCCTTTCTAAGGTAGGTAAATTGAGGACCCGGTTTGTGGGGGCAATAAGCTGACTTTGTATAAAATATACAAAAAGTAAGAAGGCTATTGCTTAACGCCCTGAGTCTCCGGAAAAGGGCGGCATATAAATCAATTTTTTTTTTTTTAAAAAAAAGGCCCCAACAGGAAGCAGTTGTTGGAGCTAAGCAGCCACCATGAGAAAGAGTTGGCAAAACAGTTCAGTTCAGATTGGATCTGGCTGAGAAGGAGCACCTCACTGAGGACTAGGAGCATAGGCTTTCCAAGCAGAGGGAAGACCTGCGGGTGTGCAAGGCCAGGTACTGGTGCCTGGAGGCTCAGCGGACTGAGATGGTCAGCCAGTTCCAGGCCATGATGCAGTCCCACTGGAATGAGGCCCTCTGGCTCCTTGCCACCAGCGGCCCTTCCCTCCAGCCTTTGCCCAAAGCCCCACACCAGGAGGCTGAAGCAGACACCAAGTTGGAATTTCTGCCCTCTCCAAACTGCACAAAAAGACCCCGAAGGGGGAGACTCTCTGCAGCAACACAACCGTTCATTGCACGTATCCAGCCCGGGGTCTGTAGTTCGAGAACCCCTGATTTAGTGCAATATTAAAAATGCAAATAATTTTTCTGCAGACCACAAAATTTTCTCGCGGACCACCAGTGGTCCACGGGCCACCAGTTGGTGGCCGCTGTTCTAGCGAAGGCTCTGGGGCGGGTGGAATAAAACACACCTTTCACCAGTGGGGCTCCGTAGTGAGGACACTTGTGACCCATGGCGTAAAACTCTCCGTTTTCTTTCACCAGCAGAGCCTTCCCACAGCCCAGATCGACTTCTCGCATCCTAGGGAGAACAAGAAGGAACATTGCCAGTTGATAAACATCTTTTCCACACAGACCTGAGTTTGCCAGAAGCCCGGCAGAACAAAAACAGCCCGTGATGGGACCCACATGGAAGGAAGTGGGCTTAAGCGAGAGGCCAGAACTGTTTGCTCTCAACAAACGTCCCTCTGGATGAGCTACACGGGTGTCCTGCAAATCACGAAAACTGCATCCTGTTTTGACCAGCAAGACTTTCAAAGCAGAGGCAAAAATTAATGGCCAGAATGACACTATGCAAGTTTACTGGTCAGAAATAATCAATGGACAGATAGAAGAGCCTTGGTGGTGCAGCAGACTAAAGTACTGTTAAGTAGCACTTAGCTGCCAGCTGCTTGCAATTACTGCGAGTTCAAATCTCACCAGGCTCAAGGTTGACTCAGCCTTCCATCCTTCCGAGGTAGGTAAATTGAGGACCCGGATTGTGGGGGCAATAAACTGACTTTGTAGAAACACCGCTTATGGGGAGCCAACAGCCCTAATAAGCAGGTATATACAAAAAGTATGAAGGCTATTGCTATAAGTGCATTGTGAGCCCCCCTGAGTCTTCGGAGAAGGGCGGCATATAAATTGAACTAATAAATAAATAAATAAATAAATAAATAAATAAATAAATAAATAAATAAATAAGAGAATATTTGTCACCTAAGCTTGAACTGTGGGGCCCTTGGTGCTCTCTGAGCTTGGTAATTTTCTTGTAGACATTTCATTACCAAACTAGGTAACATCATCAGTGCTAGAATGGAGTGGGGTTTATGAGGAGGAGCAGGACTGTAGGGTCCTTGGTGCTCTCTGAGCTTGGTAGTTTTCTTGTAGACGTTTCATAACCAAACTAGATAACATCATCAGTGCTAGTCTAGCATTGATGATGTTACCTAATTGGATAATGAAATGTCTGCAACTAAACAACAAAGCTCAGAGAGCACCAAGGACTCTGCAGTCGTCCTCCTCCTCCTCCTCCTCCTCCTCCTCCTCCTCCTCCTCTCTGCAAACCCCACTCCCTTCTAGCATTGATGATGTTACCTAGTTTGAGAACGAAACCTCTGCAAGAAAACTACCAAACTCGGAGAGCACCAAGGAAGATACTTTAATGTGTCTTCTGGCTCTCTTGCAAGCAACAAAGAAATCAACACCTATTTACAGCTCAATAATACCAATAACATAGGAGGGGGCAGCTTATCATGTTCCTCACAGGGTCCCAAAGGGTCATATTTTGCCTGCACCCCACCTCACCCCTCTTGCAATTTTCAGCATATTTCAGGAACTCTGTCCAGCCACTGATTAACTCGACTCATCTATTTAAAAACATATTTAAAAGTTAAAAGGGTTAAAATGCCCAAACTCAGAAGGCTGCCCCTCTGGGGAAATGATGCCCAAGTGTCATCCTTGTGTCGAGTTCAGGAGGGGAATGTGAGGAAGGGGCTCTCGGCTTGATTCCTGACAGAGCCTCAGAGTTCCCTTTCTGGGGTTCATCCCATCTCCAGCTAAACCTGCCTCCCAGGATTGCTGCAGGGGGGAATATCCTGTAGGTGTTCCCAGAAGAAAAGTGGAATTATGACAGTGTGTAGCTATCCCACTCTTAGGGGCCTGGAGTGTTGGACCTTTGGCTCCCTTTTGACATTGATTAGACGCCATTCTTGGAGAGCAAAGCGATCTTTTGCGGGACAGGCAGCGTTTGCAGAGAGCAGGCCTCCCCCCGCCTCATTTTGACTAAAGCAGCGTTTCAGCCACTTTAAGATACGTGGACTTCAACTCCCAGAAGCTCTGCTGGCTGGGGGATTCTGGGAGCTGAAGTCTGCACATCTGCACATGAAGTGGCTGAGGTTGAGAGACAGTTTTAAAACCCCAAGAAAAAGCCCTGGGCCCCCACTGACTGTCCATTGTCCAGGTCCTTCACGTGGCAAACAGAGGCCTCCACCACATCCTTCATGTTCCGGTAGGGGTTGGGGGCAACCGGGTACTCCTCCAGCTGGTAATGCCGTGAGGTGCCATTGGTCTTGTAAACAATGGGGCTGGCCTTCCCGTTGGGCAACGTCTCCTCTTTGATGCGTTCCTTCTCTGGCAGCACCACCTCGATTTTCACTTCCACTGCAGGAGCAAAGAGAGCCAAGGGAGAGAAGTGAGAAGAACAGGGGAGCATCTTTGACACCCTGGCTTCAAGCACAACCAAGTAAATAGTGTTAGTGGATAAATAATAAATAAGTAGGGGACAAGCAATTAATTAGTGGACAACCAATTAAACAAGAGTCAACAGCGTGCGGCTCAGTCAATGCGATCCTAAACTGCATTAACAGAGGGACACAATCAAGATCAAGGGAGGTGCTAATACCACTCTATCAAGCCTTAGTAAGATCACACCTAGAGTACTGCATCCAGTTTTGGTCACCACACTATAAAAGAAGATGTGGAGACTCTAGAAAGAGTGCAGAGAAGAGCAACCAGGATGAAGAGGGGACTGGAGGCTAAAACATATGATTAACGGTTGCAAGAACTGGGCATGACTAGTCTAGTGAAGAGAAGGAGCAGGGGAGACAGGATAGCAGTCTTCCAATATTTGAGGGGCTGCCACAGAGAGGAGGAAGGGGGTCAAGCTATTTTCCAAGGTATCCGAAGGCCAGACAAGGAATAATGGATGGAAACTGAGCAAGGAGGGATTCAATCTAGAAATAAGGAGACATCAACCACTGATAATTGACCAACCAAAGCTGCTGGGGAATTCTGGGAGTTGAAGTCCTCCAGGCTTAAAGTTGCCAAGGTTGGAGACCCCTGACTTAAACAGCTATTGTGATTCATTTAAAAACTGTCACAAAAAGGTCATAAGGTATGTCTCGTTTAACAACCACCTTGCTTGGCAATGGACTTCTGATTGTGGTCATAAGTCGAGGACTACCTGTGTTGCATCTGATTGATTCTGATGCCCTCCTGTGCCCGCGTTCCTGGTCAGAGCCACAGGCGGCCCTGTTCATGCTGTCTCTCTCCCTCCCTCTCTGTGCCTCCATCAGTATCAAGTATTATTTAATAGAATAACAGAGTTGGAAAAGACCTTGGAGGTCTTCTGGTCCAACTCCCTGCTCAGGCAGGAAGGCCGACGCCATTTCAGACAAACGGTTGTCCAACCTCTTCTTAAAAACTTCCAGTGTTGGAGCATTCGCAACTTCTGGTGGCAAGTTGTTCCACTGATTAATTGTTCTCACTGTCAGGAAATTCCTGCTTAGTTCTAAGTTGCTTCTCTCCTTGATTAGTTTCCACCCATTTCTTCTTGTCCTGCCCTCAGGTGCTTTGGAGAATAGCTTGACTACCTCTTCTTTGGGGCAGCCCCTGAGATATTGGAACATTGCTATCCTGTCTCCCCTGGTCCTTCTTTTCATTAAAGCAGACTTACCCAATTCCTGCAACCGTTCTTCCCCTGCAGCTCCCCTATGCCGCCAGGCACAGCCAGGGAGCCCAAAGGTTGCGATGAGCCTTTTGAAGCCTGTGTCAATTCAACACACCTGGAGCTTTGCTGCTGCTGCTACACACCTTATTGGCTCCCTCCAGGCTTCAGCACTTCTGGACAAGGCCACCAGGGGGCTCTTCCTAACCACGTTGGTGTCAAAAAGGCAAAAGGCTAGTTCTGACACCCTCAGGCCAGTTCTGCCCTCCTGATTGCAGGTGTCAATCAATGAAGTATTGAAGAGGTGAAGCTCCTTTTGTGACTTGCAACACATTTGTCATCACTCACCCTGTGCCTCTTCGGGCAAGTAGCCCACAACTTTTTTCTGCTCTGTTTATTTTGAATAAGGATAAGGATGAGGATGAGGATGATAGGGCTAAGGGTAAGGATAAGGGTACGGATTAAGGATAAGGCAGCGGTGAAATCCACTTACCTTCACTACTGGATCGGGAACAGGAGTATGCTACACACGCACGCGCTACACATGCGTGTCTCTTCTGCACATGCGCAGAACCTTCTGCACATGCACAGATGGTAAAAAACCGGGACGTAATGACATCCCACTGAGTGGGCGGAGCCTCCCACCACCAGCGCTACCAGTTCGGGGAGCTGGATAGAACTGGGAGGATTTCACCGCTGGGATAAGGGCTAAGGGCTAAGGGTTAAGGGCTAAGGGTTAAGGGTTAAGGGTTAAGGGTAAGGAAACAAAGGTAGTACCAATCGTAATAGGCACCTTGGGTACAATCCCAAAACAACTGAAGCACCACTTGAACACCATCGGCATTGACAAATTCACCATCAGTCAATTGCAGAAGGCAGCTTTACTTGGAACAGCTTACATCCCGCGAAGATATCTTTAACAGCATCAAACATCCAGATCCCAGGTCCTTGGAAAGGACCCGATAGGTGGATAAAAAATGCCAAATGACTGCTCAGCTGGTGGAGCTGCAGTTGGCTCAGAAGGGGTACTATAGTCCTTTCAGCAGGACCAAAGAGAGTGGATTTCCTTTGATCAGACTTGGATACCTTCTTGGCAGGTTTTCCTCCCACCCACCCCCACCCCAAACAGCCCTGCCCCCCTACCCCAGGCCAGTCAAGATCAGAAGAGCCACAAGAGCTGCGTTGGCAGAACGAAAAGCTGGGAACGGAGAGAGATTTCATACCTTCCCGAAGTCTCGCTGAGTCGGCAGATTTTCCTCCGCAAGGAATTTAATAAACATGAGGGCTTCCCAATTGTTTCTAAATAACACTGCACGGCCCTTTGCAACAGGAATGATTACTGCACCGTAAGGTTGTTATGATTAGCATTTAAATGACAACTTTGGAGTAGGAAAAGCAATTCCCATGAATTCTCTCCGGGAACTTTTCCATTAGTCCCGTGAAGTAAGCAACTTTACGACCTCTCGTCTTACTCCTCGTTTTATTATCTTTGAAGGCTGGCAACACAAGAAACGCCACCACCGGCTCCTCGGATAAACGGAGCCAATGGCTCAAAAGAGCAGATTCAGCCCGGCTGCCAGGAGGACCTGACAGAGGTGAAACCGGGCGGACGATTTGCCTCCTGCCCAATGCCAGCCTCAGCCTGGTGAGCCAAGAACCATCACCAGAAAATGTGCCAGCCGAACTCAGGTTGTTTTCCTGACCACATCAAAACAGGGTTGCACGCTGCTTTTTTCCCCCCAGATGTTTGTGCAGCTCCCCAATCTGGCTCTCAACCTCAATGCTTTCTTAGAATTCCTTCCTTCAGCTACAGGGAGCCCTCAACCTATGACCACAGTTGAGCCCCAAATTTCCGTTGCTAAGCGAAACATTTGTTAAGTGAGTTTTGTCCCATTTTACGACCTTTCCTGCCAGGACGCGCTGCAGTTGTGAAGTTAGTAATACAGTTGTTAAGTGAATCCAGCTTTCCCATAGACTTTGCTTGCAAAAACTCCCCCCCCACCCCCACCATGGTGCAGGAGGCCGAGTAGGCCACGCCCACCGAGCAACTGGGCAGAGAACCAGTTGCTAAAATATTTGAATCCCACCCCTGGATCCAGCTGATTTAAGCCCTTGTCCACCTCAGGATGGTATACTCCCAAGCTGCAGTCATTTTTAAAACAGGATGCCTTAGCAACAGCCACTCATGCTTTTATTACTTCACAGCTGGACTACTGCAACCTCTTCTTTGGGGTACTGCTCTTGAAGACTATTTGGAAATTTAAGAGGGTACAAAGCCCAGCTTTATTGGTTACCGATTTGTTTCCAGGTGGAGTTTAAAGTGCTAGTTATTACCTACAAAAGCTTAGGTGGCTTAGCTACAAGCAACTGACAGGATCCCCTCCCAAGGTGATCTACCTCTCCGTTCATGAGATGCTCTGGGCTCCCCTTCTCAACCGGGGTGGATTCTTTTTCATATATTCCATCCCTCCCATCGTTTAAAATATCTAAAGTAAACTTAAAATAGGTAAAATGCTTATACTCTGCTATTTCTTATTTGATGCTGTCATTTACAGGTATTTTTATATTATGATTATTCTTTTCACTTAATATGTTAAAACCGATGTTAGCTGTCAGGAACTTTTGTAACTGGGTAAGATATGAGTGTTAGCAAATAAGTAGATTGATTAAAAAAAATAACTAAATAAATAAACTGAATTTACAAGAGACACATAGAAACATCTAACTCTAAAGGAGCCGAGGTGGCGCAGTGGTTAGAGTGCAGTACAGCAGCCCCTTCAGCTGACTGCTAGTTCAGCAGATCAGCGGATCAAATCTCACCGGCTCAAGGTTGACTCAGCCTTCCATCCTTCCGAGGTGGTAAAATGAGGACCCAGATTGTTGGGGGCAATATGCTATTTAGTATACTGTCTTTGGTGTAAGCCACCCAGAGTCCTCGGAGAGTGGGCGGCATAGAAATATGAATAATAAAATAAATAACTAAATAAACTTAAAACTAAATAAACTTAAAAGAACCTAGAAGGGCAGTGAAGGGCAAAAAAGATGGTCAGGACTCTAAAATGGATGTCCTGCAAGAGCTGGGACTGCAGAGCCCTGAGAAGACTGAGGAAGGACTGGACAGTCCGAATACCTGGCGGGGGGGGGTCACCCAATGATTCCCCTCCCCCTCTACAGTGCAGGACAAGGAATCAAGCAACCAAAATGATGAGGGGACTGGAGGCTAAAACATACGATGATGGTTCCAGGAACTGGGCCTGGCTAGTCTAGTGAAGAGAAGGGGAGACACGAGAGCAGTCTTCCAATATCTCAGGGATTGCCACAGAGAGGAGGAAGGGGTCAAGCTATCTTCCAAAGCATCTGAAGGCCAGACAAGGAATAATGGATGGAAACTAATCAAAGAGAGATTCAACCTGGAAATAAGGAGGAATTTTCTGACAGTGAGAACAGTCAACCAATAGAACAGAAGTTGCCTTTGGAAGTTGTGGGAGCTTCATCACTGGAGGCTTTCAAGAAGAGACTGGACAGCCATCTGTCAGAAATGGTGTAGGGTCTCCTACTTGGGTGGGGGGCTGGACTAGATGACCTACAAGGTCCCTTCCAACTCTATTTATTTATTTATTTTATTTTATTTTTCAATTTATATACCGCCCTTCTCCCTGAGGACTCAGGGCGGTGCACAGCCAGAGTTAAAAACATGAAATACAAATATTAAAAACAATTAAAATCTATATAAATTTGGCTCAAAATTTAAAAACCACAAACCAATTAAACATTTAAAAATTAAAAAAAATTTCTTCCTAAGCCAGCCCGGCTTGCTGGAAAAAGTGGGTTTTAAGGGCACGGCGGAAGGCGCTGAGGTCTTGGATTCTCCTTATCTCCGGGGGCAACTGATTCCAGAGGGTGGGAGCCCCCACAGAGAAGGCCCTCCCCCTGGGGGTCACCAGCCTGCACTGTTTGGCTGATGGCACCCCGAGGAGGCCCTCTCTGTGGGAGCGCACGGGTCGATGGGAGGTCGTCGGTAGCAGCAGGCGGTCTCGGAGATAGCTAGGCCCTATGCCATGGAGCGCTTTAAAGGTGATAACCAACACCTTGAAGCGCACCCGGAAGACCACCGGAAGCCAGTGCAGCTCGCGCAGGAGCGGTGTTACATGGGAGCGCCATGCTGCTCCCATCACTACCCACGCTGCTGCGTTCTGGACCAGCTGGAGCCTCCGGGTGCCCCTCAAGGGGAGCCCCATGTAGAGAGCATTGCAGCAGTCAAGGCGAGAGGTGACGAGGGCGTGAGTGACTGTGCACAGGGAATCCCGATCAAGAAAGGGCCGCAACTGGCGAATCAGGCGAACCTGACAGAAGGTCCCCCTGGTTACAGCCGTCAGATGTTCCTCCAAGGACAGCTGCATATCCAGGAGGACTCCCAGATTGCGAGCCCTTTCTGTGGGGGCCAAGGACTCGCCCCCAATAGTCAGTGATGGAGTCAACTGACTATATCGGGATGCCGGGAGCCACAGCCACTCAGTCTTGGAAGGGTTGAGCCTGAGCCTGTTCCTCCCCATCCAGATCCGCACAGCCTCCAGGCACTGGGACATCACTTCAAGGGCATCGTTGGGGTGGCCTGGGGTGGAGATGTACAGCTGGGTGTCATCAGCGTACTGATGGTATCTCACCCCGAAGCCACGGATGATCTCGCCCAGTGGCTTCACATAAATGTTGAACAGAAGGGGCGAGAGGACCGATCCCTGCGGCACTCCACAGACGAGAGGCCTCGAGGTCGACCTCTGCCCCCCTGCCAACACAAACTGCGACCGGTCGGAGAGAAAGGAGGAGAACCACCACAATACGGTGCCTCCCACCCCCAACTCTTCCAGCCGGTGCAGCATGATACCATGGTCGATGGTATCAAAAGCCGCTGAGAGGTCTAACAGGACCAGAACAGAGGAACAACCCCTGTCCCGAGCCCTCCAGAGATCATCAACCAACGCGACAATGCCGTTTCCGTGCTGTGCCCAGACCTGAAACCCGACTGGAACGGATCTAGATAAGATGTTTCCTCCAGGAATTGTGGAAACTGTCGCGCGACCACACTCTCAACAACCTTCGCCATGAAGCGAAGGTTGGAGACAGGACGATAGTTGGCCAATATTGCCGGATCCAGGGACAGCTTCTTGAGGAGAGGCCTCACCACCACCTCTTTCAAGGCAGCGGGGAAGTAACCCTCACTCAACGAAGCGTTGATAACACCCTGGAGCCAGCCTTGTGTAACCTCCCGGGAAGCCAGTACCAACCAGGAGGGACACGGGTCCAGTAAACATGTGGCCGTACTAAGTCTCCCCAAAATCCTGTCCACATCATCGGGAGTCACAGCATCAAACTCCTCCCAGATAACATTCTCAAGACTATTCCTCGTCACCCTGCCCTGATCTACCCAGTCCAAATCCCCCCGGATCTGAGCGATTTTGTCATACAGGTATTGTCCGAAATCCTCCGCCCTGCCTTCCAGGGGATCCTCCCGCACTACCGGATGGAGCAGGGAGCAGGTCACCCTAAACAGGGCGGCCGGACGATTCCCTGATGACGCAATAGAGGCGGAAAAGTAATTAAACTTTGCCGTCTTTATCGCCACTAGGTAGGTCTTAATATGCGACCTTACCAGTGTTCGATCAGATTGAGCGAGACTGGCCCTCCAACCGCTCTCCAGGCGTCTTTTCCGGTGCTTCATTTCCCTCAGCTCCTCAGTAAACCGAGGAGCTGCGTGGGATCGGCACCGGGTCAGAGGCCGCAAAGGCACGACTCGGTCCAAGGCCCCACCAGCCGCCCGATCCCAGGCGGCTACCAGGTCCTCAGCCGAGTCATGTGCTAGATCCTCAGGAAATGGCCCAAGCTCCATCTGGAACCTATCAGGATCCATCAGGCGCCTGGGGCGGACCCATCTTATTGGCTCCGCCTCCCTGCGGCCGGGTGTAGCGGTTCGAAGGTCCAGGCGAAGGAGTGAGTGATCTGACCATGACAAGGGTTCCATGTCTATATCCCCTATAATAAGATCACTCAACCAGTGGCCAGAGACAAAAATCAAGTCCAGAGTGTGTCCCCCCCTGTGGGTGGGGCCATGAACTAGTTGGGTCAGGTCCATGGCCGTCATGGAAGCCATGAACTCCCGAGCCGTCTCAGACGTTTCACCGATGGACAGCAAGTTGAAATCACCCATGACCATAAGCCTGGGTGTATCAACTGCCACCATGGCTATCACGTCGAGGAGCTCGGGCAGGGCTGTTGCCGCGCGGCAGGGAGCCAGGTACGCAAGCAACAAGCCCATCTGAACCCCATGACCCCATCTCACAAAGAGGGATTCACATCCGGCAATCTGTGGCACAGTGGTCTCCCATTATCCTGTTTCCCCCCAAATAAGACATCCCCTGATAATAAGACCAATCGGGATTTTGAGTACATGGCAATAAGGCCAAGCGCTTATTTCAGGGTTCAAAAAAATATAAGACGGGGTCTTCTTTTCGGGGAAACATGGTAATCTGTTATCTGTTTAAACTACAGGAAAACAGGTTCCAGCTGAATGCTAAAAAAATACCTTTGAAGTTGGTCGGCAGGACGAACAGTGGGAAAAGTGGGGAGTTCAAGTGGAACGGAAGAAGCTGCCTGGATGAGAAGCGAAACGTCTTCAAGGAAAAACAAGAAAGTCCGGTTGTCTTTTGAAAAAGCATCTTTGGGACAATAGTGACCTGGATGACGGAGAATCTCTACAGACAAGTGGAGGGTTGGAGGGCCATCACTCAGGGCCTGGCTTTAATAGCTGAGTGGACTCTTAAACCTCACATCTTATGGTTCACTCGACATGGAACAGGTTTGCAGAGAAATTCCTTTGCCTAATCTCACTGTGTTTGGGAAGTGCCACCTGCTTCGGTCTAAGGTTTCCCTGCACTGACATTCAGCCCTAATTGATGTCCAAGTGCCAACTTTACAAGGGCTTTACTTTCCCCCCAGCTTTGGCCTCTCTTTCTCAAGAGACTTGATCTCCGACTGCTCCTCCAGAAAGACCCCCCCCACACACCGCCTTTGCTCCCCGCAGCCTTCCAGGAAGGGTTCTTAATCTTCTATTAAAGAATTATGCTTGCATGAAATGAAGTTTCCAGGGGATTAGCCAATCGCTTTAGCAATTCCGCCACGTTGAAATTCTCCACTGACTCTCTTGGCAGAAAGGCCTCCGGCATGCCTGACCTAGTTTAATCATGGCTTTGCAGAAAAGAGGCCATGTTTGGGCCACGGAGCCAGGAAGCTTTGCGGGAAACAGCTCACCTGGCTTGGGTTTGGAGAAGCATCCTCCCATGGCGAGTCAAGCAACGGAAGCCGTCCGGCAAGGGAAGGACTGAGGGAGGAAGCGGCACCTTCAGCCCAGCCTCTGGGCAGTGGGGATCTCCAAGCCAGCCAACAAGCGACGGGAGCCGGGGAAAGTCACCATGGTGGCCGCTGCTGAATGGCTTTCCGCAAAACCGGGCTTCTTCTTGCTACTTTGGTCATCATGTGGCTTCTTGGGTGACCTGCATGGGATAAAAAATGCAATGAGTTGTAACCACCAAGTAAAGTCAATTTGAAATCTTGACCCTGTCAGATTCACCACCTTCGGCTTGGCGCCTTGCTGGCATTCCGCGATCAACCATGGCGGGGGCGGAAACGACAAATGGCCAATAAAGCTGTATACCTTTATGATGGGAAATTGGGAGGGGGGATTGACAGTTTTTAACAGATGAACAGAGTTGGAAGGGAGCTTGTAGGTCATCTAGTCCAACCCCCCACCCAAGCAGGAGACCCTATACCATTCCTGACCAATGACAATCCAGTCTCTTTTTGAAAGCTTCCAGTGATGAAGCTCTCACAACTTCCAAAGGCAACTTCTGTTCCATGGGTTGAGGAAGATCCGAGTGGTTTGGAATCTGATTCGTGCTGGCATCTTCAAGGCCGTTTGCCCTGAGAGTGGGATGTCACCAGCCTAAACACCTCAGCGTTTCCCAAAACATCTCGGCAGTGCTGGATTGGTTGCACACAGAGGGACCATAGGGGGAGGGCTAGGGGAAACCAAGGGGTTAGTTGTGTATTGCTGCATGGGAACTTCAGATTCCACCTGATTCTCCTGCGATCAGCATCTCTTAGTAAAAGTGCATTTTCACTGCAACCAAATGGAGTCGAGAGTTTTACTTTCCTAGGAGATCAGACTGGGGCAGGTCTGACAGTCCCTTTTTTGCACAACCAGGATTTTGGGCCTGCAGAACTGTCACGCTGTAGTTCTATAGAAACTCCTAATGCCAGTCTCTGTAACCTGCCAGCCTTGCCCAAATGCTGTCTCAGCCACCGGCCAGGCTCCCAGAGTGTAGAGGGAGGGCAATGCCTCTGTCCTACAGTCAAGGGCAACAGCTGGGCAACTGTGACCGGCCCCAAGATAGGGACCATCCTCTTTAGGATTTGAGAGACCACCAGGGCTGGAGGCTAGACTGGGAAGCCAAGGAAACACCTTAGACATGGCCAGGGATGGGCACTTCCACCAAGGAGCCTGAGTGGCATAGGAGGCTAATGCCTCCTAAGGCAGCATTTAACATCCAGCTGCCTGCAATTACTGCAAGTTCAATTCTCACCAGGCTCAAGGTCGACTCAGCCTTTCATCCTTTCTAAGGTAGGTAAAATGAGGACCCAGTTGTGGGGGCAATAAGCTGACTTTGTATAAATATATAAAAGTATGAAGGCTATTGCTTAATGCATTGTAAGCCGCCCTGAGTCTCCGGAGAAGGGCGGCATATAAATCAAATTAAAAAAAAAAAAAAAGATGCCCCCACTTGGAGAAGACAGGTTCTCTCTGACTTTGAGACCACCAAGAAAGACCCAGGCTGGGGAAAGTTATTAAAAATCATATTGCTTGTGAAGTGTTTGTGGACGGTGGGTGGTAGAGGGGGAGACACCAAAGGTAAAGCTGATGGCCACAACTTGCACAATGCCTGTGAAGTCCTGGATGAAGTCCTCTCGATATTTAAACCCCAGATATCCACTTTGTTCCCTAAGAACAGCAGGGGAACTCAGGAAGTCCCACCCGAAAAGAACGCATGACCTTCTCAATTATTTTTCAGTCGTGGCTTTATTTATAGATTCTTGTGAAACATTCATGTGAAAATAGCTGTCTTGCAAAAGGGAAGAAAGAGAAAGACAGATTCATCAAGTGTGAGGTAAGATCACGCTCGGAATTTGGTCACCACAATGCAGAAAAGATGCTGAGACACCAGGAAGTGTGCAGAGAAAAGCAACAAAGATGATTAGGAGACTGGAGGCGAAACCATATGATGAGGAGATGCAAGAACTGGGTATGTCTAGTCTAACAAAGAGAAGGACCAGGGATGACATGAAGACAGTCTTCCAATATTTGAGGGGCTACCACAAAGAAGAAGCGTCAACCTATTCTCCAAAGCACCTGAGGGCAGGACAAAAAGCAACGGATGGAAACGAATCAAGAAGACCAACTTAGAACTAAGGAAAAAATTCCTGTTAATAAGAAAATCAGTGAAAGGGCCTTCAGACATTGTGGGTGGAAGTTTTCAAGAAGGGACAGGACAGTCATTCTTCTGAAATTTGTTGGGTCACCTGCTTGAGCAGGGGGTTGGACTAGATGACCTCCGAGGACCTTTCTAACTCTGTTATTCTGAACTTCCATCTCTTCTCAGGGAAGGAATCAACGTAACACACATCGCAGTTCAGAGCTTGGTTCTGGGAGAGCTTTTCTCCCCACAGACAAACATTTACGGGGAAATGCAATCCAGGAAGGAACCCCAGCCAGGATGAGGGCTAAGCTCTGCTTCCCACCCCCCTCACAGAGACACTTTGCCCTCCTTTGTGGTTGATGCCACACATCAAAGAAAAAAGCCATCCGACAGCTAGTAGCATAATCATCATTAGACCTCATTCCCTCCACTCCAGAGTTGAATGTTACCAGGGTATCCATGGGATCCAATACGTCAAGATGGCGACCCAGCATGGCATAAGGAAAGCTTTTTCCTTTTTCCTTTAGTGGACTGGAGGCTAAAACTTATGAAGAACAGTTGCAGGAACTGGGTATGTCTAGTTTAATTGAAAGAAGGACCAGGGGAGACATAATGTCAGGGTTCCAAGGAACACCCCCAACAAAATAAAGCTCTGAGGCCTGAAGTTCCTCAAAGTTCCAACACATGATAGCAGTCTTCCAATATCTCAGGGGCTGCCCCAAAGAAGAGGGAGTCAAGCTATTCTCCAAAGCACCTGAGGGCAGGACAAGAAACAACGGGTGGAAAATAATCGAGGAGAAAAGCACCTTAGAACTAAGGAGAAATTTCCTGACAGTGAGAACGATTAATCAGTGGAACAGCTTGCCTCCAGAAGTTGTAAATGCTCCAACACTGGAAGTTTTTAAGAAGAGATTGGACAACCATTTGTCTGAAATGGTTTCCTGCCTAAGCAGGGGGTTGGACTAGAAGACCTCCAAGGTCCCTTCCAATTCTGTTATTCTATTCTATTTCCATTTTAAGGCATTGTGATGCACACACAAACGGTCAGAGCTTCAATTTATTTATTTAATTGACATGCCACCCATCTCATCACCCAGAGTGTCTCTGGCTGCCATCTTGGCATTTTCGACCATATCCTGAGATAACCCCTGAATTTAACAGGGCAACATATTTTCTCTGCTACCTTCACATAACCCAGTGGTTTACAAACCATTGTTTGTTTGTTTATTACATGTATACGCCGCCCATTTCACCGTCAAGCAACTCATGTTTGGCTGCCTGATGCCTGGTCCTATCCTTCTGAACTGGGCTAAGACCCTGTTTGTTTCTATTTCTGCTATTGCAACCAGAACCAAGAAGAGGCAGAGAGAGAGAGAGGGAGGGAGGAAACCTCTCCACCTTTCAGGAAGTCATCTAGATATCTAAAGAGCCTGAAGATATCTAGCCTTGTGGTGTGACCGGAACAATCTTTAACTAAACACACTCAAAACTGTAGAAAAGGTGGTAGACTTTAGTAGAAACCCTCCCATACTACCACCTCTTATAATACTAGACAACACAGTATCAATAGTAGAGACCTTCAAATTTCTAGGTTCTACCATATCTCACAGCCTAAAATGGACACCCAACATCAAAAACGTCATCAAAAAAAGCACAACAAAGAATGTTCTTCTTGCGCCAACTCAGAAAGCTCAAATTATCCAAGAAGCTGCTGATCCAATTCTACAGAGGAATTATTGAGTCTGTCATCTGCACCTTCATAACTGTCTGGTTTGGTTCTGCAACCCAACAAGACAGACACAGACTTCAGAGGATCATTAGAACTGCAGAAAAAAACAATGGCTACCAACCTGCCTTCCATGGAGGACCTGTATACTGCAGGAGTCAAAAAGAAGGCTGTGAAAATATCTACAGACCCCTCACATCCTGGACATAAACTGTTTCAACTGCTACCCTCAAAACGACGCTATAGAGTATAGCACACCAGAACAACTAGACACAAGGACAGTTTTTTCCCGAACGCCATCACTCTGCTAAACAAATAATTCTCTCAACACTGTCAAACTATTTACTAAATCTGCACTACTATTACTATTAGTCTTCTCATCGTTCCTGTTGCCCATCCCCTCCCACTTATGACAGCATGACTCTAACTTTGTTGCTTATTTCCTTACGATTTATATTGATTGTTTCTTAGAATGATTTGATTGCTTACTTGCACCCTATGACTACCATTAAGTGTTGTACCTTACGATTCTTGACGAATGTATCTTGTCTTTCTCTGTACACTGAGAGCGTATGCACCTAAGACAAATCCCTTGTGTGTCCAATCACACTTGGCCAATAAAAAATTCTATTGTATTCTAAAAAAGATAAGAGGAGCAGCCCTGAAGCACTGCTGGGCCTGGCTCTTCCCCCGAAATTGCCCTTCAGAGGCCTTTGGGCCGGTTGGTGTGGTGCATGCTTGCCTAAGCCCTGGGTCATTCCACCCTCAGCAATCTTCCGATGTACCTCATTTCCTTCCTTATCTTTACAAGAAGCAAATGGAAAAGGTAACATAAACCTTGAGCAGGAAAGGAAGGGGGGAGGGGAGGGCTGTGTGAGGCTTGCCATGTCATTGACCCAGCCTTCGGAGGGCAAAAGGTAACACCGTTTGGACTAGTCAGGTTACATTCATCCGTTCCCAAAAACCGAGCTGGAAGAAAGGAAGAGTCTTTGAAAGTTCCCTGGAGTTCTTTGATGAGATGGGTAGACCTGCCTTTCCCCTAAAGCAACATGTTTTTAAGCAGCTGTGCTTGGGCCTCTCTGCTTTTTCTCCAAGGCATCCATTTTGCTGCTACGGTCCCTAGCAGTATTTCTCAACCTGGTCAAGGTTTTACAGATTAGCAGAGTTGGAAGGGACCTTGTAGGTCATCTAGTCCAACCCCCCGCCCAAGCAGGAGACTCTACACGAGTGGTGGCAAACCTTTTAGGCACTGAGTGCCCAAACTGGAATGCGTGCATGCGCACACCGGGGAACC